GAATCTAAAACAAAAATCCAGAAAATCACATTTGTATGATTTTTTAAGTAATTAATTTGCATTTTATTGCATGACATAAGTATTTGATACATCAGAAAAGCAGAACTTAATATTTGGTACAGAAACCTTTGTTTGCAATTACAGAGATCATACATTTCCTGTAGGTCTTGACCAGGTTTGCACACACTGCAGCAGGGATTTTGGCCCACTCCTCCATACAGACCTTCTCCAGATCCTTCAGGTTTCGGGGCTGTCGCTGGGCAATACGGACTTTCAGCTCCCTCCAAAGATGTTCTATTGGGTTCAGGTCTGGAGACTGGCTAGGCCACTCCAGGACCTTGAGATGCTTCTTACGGAGCCACTCCTTAGTTGCCCTGGCTGTGTGTTTCGGGTCGTTGTCATGCTGGAAGACCCAGCCACGACCCATCTTCAATGCTCTTACTGAGGGAAGTAGGTTGTTGGCCAAGATCTTGCGATACATGGCCCCATCCATCCTCCCCTCAATACGGTGCAGTCGTCCTGTCCCCTTTGCAGAAAAGCATCCCCAAAGAATGATGTTTCCACCTCCATGCTTCACGGTTGGGATGGTGTTCTTGGGGTTGTACTCATCCTTCTTCTTCCTCCAAACAAGGCGAGTGGAGTTTAGACCAAAAATCTCTATGACCATGACCATCTCCCATTCCTCCTCTGGATCATCCAGATGGTCATTGGCAAACTTCAGATGGGCCTGGACATGGGCTGGCTTGAGCAGGGGGACCTTGCGTGCACTGCAGGATTTTAATCCATGACTGCGTAGTGTGTTACTAATGGTTTTATTTGAGACTGTGGTCCCAGCTCTCTTCAGGTCATTGACCAGGTCCTGCCGTGTAGTTCTGGGCTGATCCCTCACATTCCTCATGGTCATTGATGCCCCACGAGGTGAGATCTTGCATGGAGCCCCAGACCGAAGGTGATTGACCGTCATCTTGAACTTCTTCCATTTTCTAATAATTCCGCCAACAGTTGTTGCCTTCTCACCAAGCTGCTTGCCTATTGTCCTGTAGCCCATCCCAGCCTTGTGCAGGTCTACAATTTTATCCCTGATGTCCTTACACAGCTCTCTGGTCTTGGCCATTGTGGAGAGGTTGGAGTCTGTTTGATTGAGTGTGTGGACAGGTGTCTTTTATACAGGTAACGAGGTTAATACAGGTAATGAGTGGAGAACAGGAGGGCTTCTTAAAGAAAAACTAACAGGTCTGTGAGAGCCGGAATTCTTACTGGTTGGTAGGTGATCAAATACTTATGTCATGCAATAAAATGCAAATGAATTACTTAAAAATCATACAATGTGATTTTCTGGATTTTTGTTTTAGATTCCTTCTCTCAAAGTTGAAGAGTACCTATGATAAAAATTACAGCCCTCTACATGCTTTGTAAGTAAGAAAACCTGCAAAATCGGCAGTGTATCAAATACTTGTTCTCCCCACTGTGTGTGTGTGTGTGTGTGTATATATACAGTGGGGGAAAAAAGTATTTAGTCAGTCACCAATTGTGCAAGTTCTCCCACTTAAAAAGATGAGAGAGGCCTGTAATTTTCATCATAGGTACACATCAACTATGACAGACTAAATGAGAAAAACAAATCCAGAAAATCAAATTGTAGGATTTTTAATGAATTTATTTGCAAATTATGGTGGAAAATAAGTATTTGGTCAATAACAAAAGTTTCTCAATACTTTGTTATATACCCTTTGTTGGCAATGACACAGGTCAAACGTTTTCTGTAAGTCTTCACAAGGTTTTCACACACTGTTGCTGGTATTTTGGCCCATTCCTCCATGCAGATCTCCTCTAGAGCAGTGATGTTTTGGGGCTGTCGCTGGGCAACACAGACTTTCAACTCCCTCCAAAGATTTTCTATGGGGTTGAGATCTGGAGACTGGCTAGGCCACTCCAGGACCTTGAAATGCTTCTTACGAAGCCACTCCTTCGTTGCCCGGGCGGTGTGTTTGGGATCATTGTCATGCTGAAAGACCCAGCCACGTTTCATCTTCAATGCCCTTGCTGATGGAAGGAGGTTTTCACTCAAAATCTCACGATACATGGCCCCATTCATTCTTTCCTTTACACGGATCAGTCGTCCTGGTCCCTTTGCAGAAAAACAGCCCCAAAGCATGATGTTTCCACCCCCATGCTTCACAGTAGGTATGGTGTTCTTTGGATGCAACTCAGCATTCTTTGTCCTCCAAACACGACAAGTTGAGTTTTTACCAAAAAGTTATATTTTGGTTTCATCTGACCATATGACATTCTCCCAATCCTCTTCTGGATCATCCAAATGCACTTTAGCAAACTTCAGACGGGCCTGGACATGTACTGGCTTAAGCAGGGGGACACGTCTGGCACTGCAGGATTTGAGTCCCTGGCGGCGTAGTGTGTTACTGATGGTAGGCTTTGTTACTTTGGTCCCAGCTCTCTGCAGGTCATTCACTAGGTCACCCCGTGTGGTTCTGGGATTTTTGCTCACCGTTCTTGTGATCATTTTGACCCCACGGGGTGAGATCTTGCGTAGAGCCCCAGATCGAGGGAGATTATCAGTGGTCTTGTATGTCTTCCATTTCCTAATAATTGCTCCCACAGTTGATTTCTTCAAACCAAGCTGCTTACCTATTGCAGATTCAGTCTTCCCAGCCTGGTGCAGGTCTACAATTTTGTTTCTGGTGTCCTTTGACAGCTCTTTGGTCTTGGCCATAGTGGAGTTTGGAGTGTGACTGTTTGAGGTTGTGGACAGGTGTCTTTTATACTGATAACAACTTCAAACAGGTGCCATTAATACAGGTAACGAGTGGAGGACAGAGGAGCCTCTTAAAGAAGAAGTTACAGGTCTGTGAGAGCCAGAAATCTTGCTTGTTTGTAGGTGACCAAATACTTATTTTCCACCATAATTTGCAAATAAATTCATTAAAAATCCTACAATGTGATTTTCTTGAAAAAAAATTCTCAATTTGTCTGTCATAGTTGACGTGTACCTATGATGAAAATTTACAGGCCTCTCTCATCTTTTTAAGTGGGAGAACTTGCACAATTGATGGCTGACTAAATACTTTTTTTCCCCACTGTGTATATATATATATATATATACAAACGTTTTCGAGAAAGATGATAATAAATTAGTATTTATTGTTTCTCTTAATTTTGGTGAGAGATGAAAATGTAATGAATTGAACGTTATTTGTCGATGCGATTTTAAGGTTCTGTCGTTAGATTTGGGGTAAGGCTGCGGACGCCAGAATTTCTGTCAAACAATGGGGTCCCCAGAAATTCTGGGGCTGGAAATGGGGTCCCTGCTGAAAATGTTTAATACCACTGCCAGAGATACTGATCTGATTTATGTTTAATACATCAACTGGTGCCCCGCTTGTAGGGGTTTATAAGACACCATTTCATTGAGTATGTGCACTAGGGTTTAATACACTATATATATATATATATATATATATATATATATATATATATATATATATATATATATATATATAAAAGTATGTGGACACCCTTTAAAATTGGTGGATTTGGCTATTTCAGCCATACCCATTGCTGACAGGTGTATAAAATCGAGCACACGGCCATGCAATCTCCATAGACAAACATTGGCAGTAGAATGGCCTTACTTAATGCCACCTTTCCGTGTAGCTCAGTTGGTAGAGCATGGCGTTTGCAACACCAGGGTTGTGGGTTCGTTTCCCACGGGGGACCAGTATGAAAAAAAAAAAAAAAATGTATGTATGTATGTACTCACTAACTGTAAGTCGCTCTGGATAAGAGCGTCTGCTAAATGACTAAAATGTAAAGTCAGTTCGTCAAATTTCTGCCCTGCTAGAGCTGCCCCGTCAAATAAGTGCTGTTATTGTGAAGTGGAAATGTCTAGTAGCAACAACGGCTCAGCCGCGAAGTGGTAGGCCACACAAGCTCACAGAACGGGACCGCCGAAGTGCATAGCACGTAAAAATCATCTGTCCTTGAACTCAACACCGAGTTCCAAACTGCCACTGGAAGCAACGTCAGCACAATAACTGTTCGTCGGGAGCTTAATGAAATGGGTTTCCATGGCCAAGCAGCCGCACACAAGCCTAAGATCACCATGCGCAATGCCAAGCGTTGGCTGGAGTGGTGTAAAGCTCGCCGCCATTGGACTCTGGAGCAGTGGAAACATGTTCTCTGGAGTGATGAATCACGCGTCGCCATCTGGCAGTCCGACGGACAAATCTGGGTTTGGTGGATGCCAGGAGAACGCTACCTGCCCCAATGCATAGTGCCAACTGTAAAGTTTGGTGGAGGAGGAATAATGGGGCTGTCTTTCACATCACGCTCTTCATATAAATAATGTATTATAATTTACCGGTTTCTCGCAATTATATATCCCAGGAAAAGGGAGTGGGTTTGGGCAGTAAATCTCGGTAACCCGGTTCCCGCCATTAAACTCTAGTGTGTACCAAACACAAAACCAAAGAAATTACATTTGGCAAATTCAATGCATTTAACTATTAAATGCATAATTAACAATCATAACAAAGTATGTATTTCACACTACACAATGTATAATGGAGTGTTCTATTTATATCTACGATACGCACATATTTAATTATACGATACGCACTTCATATTTAATTATACGATACGCACTTCATATTTAATTATACGATACGCACATCATATTTCATTCTACAATACGCACATCATATTTCATGATACGATACGCACATCATATTTCATTCTAAGATACGCACATCATATTTCATTCTACGATAAATGCATCGTATCTAATTCTACGATACGCGCATCGTATTTCATTCTACGATACGCGCGTCGTATTTCATTCTACGATACGCGCGTCGTATTTCATTCTACGATACGCGCGTCGTATTTCATTCTACGATACGCGCGTCGTATTTCATTCTACGATACGCGCCTCGTATTTCATTCTACGATACGCGCATCGTATTTCATTCTACGATACGCGCCTCGTATTTCATTCTACGATACGCGCCTCGTATTTCATTCTACGATACGCGCCTCGTATTTCATTCTACGATACGCGCCTCGTATTTCATTCTACGATACGCGCATCGTATTTCATTCTACGATACGCGCATCGTATTTCATTCTACGATACGCCACCTCGTATCTCTAACCCTGTTGGTTGTGATGTCTGTGGTCCTCAGAGGTCAGTTGAAGCCCCGTGGCTGTCCAGGGTTGAGTCCAGCTGCGTGGTGGTTGGTCAGGGGGTGCTGATGTGCGTGGACCTCGCCACTCTCGCCCTCTACACCCTCCCTATACAGGCCGAGGAGACGCCACAGTTCAGCAGGATCCTACTACAGGTAACTCCTGCTCAACCATGACTTGAAGCTCCGACACTCCGGTGGTGTGCAGCTTTCTTTACACTTGATAGTCTGTTTGGTGGACATGGTGGGATGTGACCGGTTATAGATTGTAGCTTTAGATTAAAACATCTACAAAACAACTATAAATGTTTTTATGACGGTGTGAACCCCCCCCCCCCCCCCCCCCCCCTCTCTCTATCTACCCCCTCCCCCTAGTCTCTGGATCTGGAGGTGTCCCCAGGCTTCCAGCCCGTCCTGGTGTCCAGCCAGCCCCACCCGGCCCGCTCCCCACTCTCAGAGTTCTTTCTCCAGCTAGGACCAGATCACCACATCCTGTTGCAGCTCCATGATGATGGATCCACCATCGCCCCACTCAGAGACTTCCAGCCGGTACAGAATCACCATTCATTCATTCAATAGAATTCCATTCAATAAACTTAATTTATCCCAGTCAGTTATTATTATTATTATTATTATTACAACTATTATTATTGGCACTGACCCTTGTTTTTTTTTCTACATTATACCATTCATGTTTTCCCTGTACTACACGTCTCTCTGGATAGAGCATACAGTGAGGGGAAAAAGTATTTGATCCCCTGCTGATTTTGTACGTTTGCCCACTGACAAAGAAATTATCAGTCTATAATTTTAATGGTAGGTTTATTTGTACAGTGAGAGACAGAATAACAACAAAAAAATCCAGAAAAACGCATGTCAGAAATGTTATAAATTGATTTGCATTTTAATGAGGGAAATAAGTATTTGACCCCCTCTCAATCAGAAAGATTTCTGGCTCCCAGGTGTCTTTTATACAGGTAACGAGCTGAGATTAGGAGCACACTCTTAAAGGGAGTGCTCCTAATCTCAGTTTGTTACCTGTATAAAAGACACCTGTCCACCGAAGCAATCAATCAATCAGATTCCAAACTCTCCACCATGGCCAAGACCAAAGAGCTCTCCAAGGATGTCAGGGACAAGATTGTAGACCTACACAAGGCTGGATTGGGCTACAAGATCATCGCCAAGCAGCTTGGTGAGAAGGTGACAACAGTTGGTGCGATTATTCGCAAATGGAAGAAACACAAAATAACTGTCAATCTCCCTCGGCCTGGGGCTCCATGCAAGATCTCACCTCGTGGAGATGCAATGATCATGAGAACGGTGAGGAATCAGCCCAGAACTACACGGGAGGATCTTGTCAATGATCTCAAGGCAGCTGGGACCATAGTCACCAAGAAAACAATTGGTAACACACTATGCCGTGAAGGACTGAAATCCTGCAGCGCCCGCAAGGTCCCCCTGCTCAAGAAAGCACATATACAGGCCCGTCTGAAGTTTGCCAATGAACATCTGAATGATTCAGAGGAGAACTGGGTGACAGTGTTGTGGTCAGATGAGACCAAAATCGAGCTCTTTGGCATCAACTCAACTCGCCGTGTTTGGAGGAGGAGGAATGTTGCCTATGACCCCAAGAACACCATCCCCACCGTCAAACATGGAGGTGGAAACATTATGCTTTGGGGGTGTTTTTTTGCTAAGGGGACAGGACAACTTCACCGCATCAAAGGGACGATGGACGGGGCCATGTACCGTCAAATCTTGGGTGAGAACCTCCTTCCCTCAGCCAGGGCATTGAAAATGGGTCGTGGATGGGTATTCCAGCATGACAATGACCCAAAACACATGGCCAAGGCAACAAAGGAGTGGCTCAAGAAGAAGCACATTAAGGTCCTGGAGTGGCCTAGCCAGTCTCCAGACCTTGATCCCATAGAAAATCTGTGGAGGGAGCTGAAGGTTCGAGTTGCCAAACGTCAGCCTGGAAACCTTAATGACTTGGAGAAGATCTGCAAAGAGGAGTGGGACAAAATCCCTCCTGAGATGTGTGCAAACCTGGTGGCCAACTACAAGAAACGTCTGACCTCTGTGATTGCCAACAAGGGTTTTGCCACCAAGTACTAAGTCATGTTTTGCAGAGGGGTCAAATACTTATTTCCCTCATTAAAATGCAAATCAATTTATAACATTTTTGACATGAGTTTTTCTGGATTTTTTTGTTATTCTGTCTCACTGTTCAAATAAACCTACCATTTAAAATTATAGACTGATCATGTCTTTGTCAGTGGGCAAACGTACAAAATCAGCAGGGGATCAAATACTTTTTTCCCTCACTGTATGTTATTATACCATTCAACCTGAACAAGATTTGACCTCAAATGGGAGGTCAATGGAGCTGAGTGAGTTCTGTGACTAACTAACTAACTGGAGAATATCCATGTTTCCAGGCGTTCTTGGTCTCATTTGCCACCACAGGGGAGAAGACGGTTGCTGCCGTCATGACTCCCAAAAACGAAACTGTGAGTCGTCCAAAAAAATCAACAACCAGTTGTTTTTAAGATGTCTCAGAATGACCTAAAATCGAAGTGTTGCGTCGTGCATGTGGTCACATAGTGTAGTTAGTTATGCTGAAGTAAGTAACCCGTTGGTAAGCTTCCTCTCTGTTCCTACTCCAGGCGTGTGCTATCAATCTGTTCAGCGCTGACTCTGGTCGCAGGTTGCTGGATACAACTGTCATCTTTCCCCTGGATCTTAACGGTGGGAAGCCACACAAGGTGAGTGTATCTGCAGGCAGTATAGGGTGGAGTGGGGGCCGCAAAAAATCTGAACTCGTCACGTGGGGGGCCGCAGTGGCTTGTGGGTCTGCATACCCACATCCATACTTCAACCTTGCGAGCAAAATATTTACGGTAACCCCCTCTTGACAGCGGAGATAATTGTTTTTTTGTTTTTTTGAGTTAATTTAAATTGTTTATTTTTTGGGGTCTTTGGGAATTTATCCGCGGGCTTACGAAAGGGGGGCCGCCAATTGCCCATCCTTGGTATTGATTATAGAGCACTACGGCCCCCCGTTTGAAGGCCCTCTGATCAATTTACTCAGTCGGTGTCTCAACTTACTGTTGTGAGTTTGAATAGTAGAATACACAAGGTGCAAATTTGGTTGTGCATCAGAAGTTTTTCTCTTGTTATGTCAGTCAATTAGCCCATATCAGCATTGTTGGGGTGATTGCCAAGTTAGTCATGGGCGACTTACCAGCCAGGGGGCCCCTATTGATTTTGTTACTCAGTCTCACTCAGATATCATATTAAAAACCTGCCAAATTTTCTCTCAACCCTATGGCAAAATGTGTAGAATTGCACAAAATTAACTCTAAAACCTACGAAATGTCTCTCCGCTGTCAAGACGGGGGGAGGGGTGTGTCTGGATGTGGGTACGCAGACCCACGAGCAATTGCCCCCCCCCTCAGGATGTGTTCAGATTGTTTGTGGCCCCCACGCCCATCAAACCCGCCCGTCCCTGGTATAGAGTAGTCTGGCATGAGCCCCACCGACCCGACCCTTCACCTAAAGAAAAGTCTATAGGAAACACTGTTGGAATCTACCTATGTAGGGGTGCTGGAGGGCAATCAATCAATCAATCAATCAATCAATCAATCAAATGTGTGTGCTTAAAGACGTCCTCCAGCTATTTTTTTTTACTTTTCTTGTTGAAAAGCTAAAGGGTAAAATAAAATGTTTAAAGCAAATAGTGTTTTTTTTTTTTTTTACACAACTGCAAACTTCAGGGAGTAGGGCGTTCAAGGGGTTGGTCTGATGTGATGTCACTTTCCTCCCCCCTTGCTTGAGGAGCAACAGAGGAAAGCCCCCCCCCCCCCCCCCCCCCCCCCCCACCCACCCACTTGTGCCATGTCATGACTTACCCGTGTCTCCTGTTGAGACGTGTCTCCTGTTGAGACGTGTCTCCTGTTGAGGAAATCGGGTGTTAAATGAGATGTGTAACAGTAGTGTCTGATGTATTTCCTCCCCAGCTGTACGTCCATGCCTTCCTGAAGAAGGATGACTCTGTGGGCTACAGGGTCCTAGTGCAGACACTGGACCATGCTCTCACCTTCATACAGCAGCCAGGTAGACACACACACACACACACACACACACACTGGAACAGACACACACACACACACACACACACACTGGAACACACACACACACACACACACACACACACACACGCTGGAACAGACACACACACACACACACACACACACACACACTGGAACACACACACACACACACACACACACACACACACACGCTGGAACAGACACACACACACACACACACACACTCACACACTGGAACAGACACACACACACACACACACACTGGAACACACACACACACACACACACACACACACACACACTGGAACAGACTCAAACACTGGAACAGACACACACACACACACACACACACACACACACTGGAACAGACACACACACACACACATACACACACTGGAACAGACTCAAACACTGGAACAGACACACACACACACACACACACGCTGGAACAGACACACACACACACACACACACACACACACACTGGAACAGACACACACACACACACACACACACACACACACACACACACACACACACACACACACACACACACACACACACACACACTAGACAAGGCTTCTAACCATCACCTGTGTTTCCAGGGCGTGTGGTGTGGACCAGAGAGGAGGCCTTAGCTGACGTTGTTACCATGGAGATGGTGGACCTGCCACTCACTGGGACCCAGGCGGAACTGGAAGGGGAGTTTGGCAAGAAAGCTGGTAAAGAACTTCAAAGAGCCTGGCTAACATTATTCATTTTCTCATTTTAAAAACATACATGGCAAAGACAACGTGCATAAATAAAATGAGTTGTCTCGAAACAATGCTATCAATGCTATTATGCCTAGTCATTCCCTTCAAACCTACAGTGCATTCGGAAAGTATTCAGACCCATTGACTTTTCCCACGTTACAGCCTTATTTTAAAATGGATTAAATAAACATATCTCCTCATCAATCCACACACAATACCCCATAATGACAAAGCAAAAACAGGTTTGTAAAAATCTTAGCAAATGTATTACAAATAAAAAAACAGAAATACCTTATTTAGATAAGTATTCAGAACCCATTGCTATGAGACTCAAAATTGAGCTCCGGTGCATCCTGTTTCCATTGATCATCCTTGAGATGTTTCTACAACTCGATTGGAGTCCACCTGTGGTAAATTCAATTGATTGGACATGATTTGGAAAGGCACCCACCTGTCTATATAAGGTCCCACAGTTGACACTGCATGTCAGAGCAAAAATCAAGCCATGAGGTTGAAGGAATTGTCCGTAGAGCTCAGAGACAGGATTGTGTCGAGGCACAGATCTGGGGAAGGGTACCAAAACATTTCTGCAGCATTGAAGGTCCCCAAGAACACAGTGGCCTCCATCATTCTTAAATGGATGAAATTTGGAACCACCAAGACTTCCTAGAGCTGGCCGCCTGGCCAAACTGAGCAATCGGGGGAGAAGGGCCTTGGTCAGGGAGGTGACCAAGAACCCGATGGTCACTCTGCGAGAGCTCCAGAGTTCCTCTGTGGAGATGGGAGAACCTTCCAGAAGGACAACCATCTCTGCAGCACTCCACCAATCAGGCCTTTATGGTGGAGTGGCCAGACGGAAGCCACTCCTCAGTAAAAGGCACATGACAGCCCGCTTGGAGTTTGCCAAAAGGCACCTAAAGGACTCTGGTCTGATGAAACCAAGATTGAACTCTTTGGCCTGAATGCCAAGCGTCACATCTGGAGGAATCCTGGCACCATCCCTACGGTGAAGCATGGTGGTGGCAGCATGCTGTGGGGATGTTTTTCAGCGGCAGGGACTGGAATACTAGTCAGGATTGAAGGAAATATGAACAGAGCAAGGTACAGAGAGATCCTTGATGAAAACCTGCTCCAGAGCGCTCAGGACCTCAGACTGGGTCGAAGGTTCCACCTTCCAACAGGACAACGACCCTAATCACACAGCCAAGACAATGCAGAAGTGGCTTCGGGACAAGTCTGAATGTCATTGAGTGGCCCAGCCAGAGCCCGGACTTGAACCTGATTTGAACATCTCTGGAGAGACCTGAAAATAGCTGTGTAGCGACGTGCCCCATCCAACCTGACAGAGCTTGAGAGGATCTGCAGAGAAAAATGGGAGAAACTCCCCAAATACAGGTGTGTCAAGATTGTAGCGACATACCCAAGAAGACTCAATGCTGTAATCGCTGCCAAAGGTGCTTCAACAAAGTACTGAGTAAAGGGTCTGAATACTTATATAAATGTGTTATTTCCAGGGTTTTTTGTTTTTGCAAAAATTCCTAGAAACTTGTTTTTGCTTTGACATTATTGGGTATTGTGTGTCGATTGATGAGGTGGGGAAAAAATGTACCTTTTTTTTAGAATAAGGCTGTAACGTAACAATGTGGAAAAAGTAAAGGGGTCTGAATACTTTCCGAATGCACTGTATGTATTCAAGTTTTTAACATGGGTTTTTTTTTTGTTCAAATTGCTGCGCTTGGATCCAGCCATTCAAGGTAACGTTATGAGCATTCCGTCTTTTCTGTTTGCTTATGTTGTGCTACGTTGAAGGTCTATTTTAGAAAAGATCAGTAGCAAAGAGCTCTGATAAAGGTTCTGCTTTGTTGGATGTTTGTTGTAATCTATTACGTGATCGTTGTAGATCCGTTAGATCCAGCCACATCACTCCCTAACAATAATAGATTTTGAATGTTAAGGAAATAAAGATGTAACTGTAGATACTAACATGGATGTCTCTCGCCCCCCCCCTCCACCCCCCCCAGACGGGTTGTTCCCCATGGTGCTGAAACGTCTGTCATCCCAGGTGATTCTGCTCCAGGTGTGGCTGGCCCACCTGTGGAAGATGTTCTACGAAGCCCGTAAACCCCGCAGCCAGGTTAAGAACGAGGTCACCATAGAAACGCTGTCTAGGGATGAGTTCAACCTGCAGAAGATGATGGTCATGGTCACCGCCTCGGGGAAGGTGAGTGGTGGGGTGTGTGTGTATAGAGAGTGAGATGGCAGACAGGTTGAAGAAAAAAGAAAATAAATGAGAGATAGGATCTACCGTCTGACGACCTCAGCATCAACATTGGTAGAGATGGGATCTACCGTCTGTCGACCTCAGCACCAACATTGGTAGAGATGGGATCTACCGTCTGACGACCTCAGCACCAACATTGGTAGAGATGGGATCTACCGTCTGACGACCTCAGCACCAACATTGGTAGCGATGGGATCTACCGTCTGTCGACCTCAGCACCAACATTGGTAGAGATAGGATCTACCGTCTGACGACCTCAGCACCAACATTGGTAGCGATGGGATCTACCGTCTGACGACCTCAGCACCAACATTGGTAGAGGTAGGATCTACCGTCTGACGACCTCAGCACCAACATTGGTAGAGATGGGATCTACCGTCTGACGACCTCAGCACCAACATTGGTAGAGATGGGATCTACCGTCTGACGACCTCAGCACCAACATTGGTAGCGATGGGATCTACCGTCTGACGACCTCAGCACCAACATTGGTAGAGGTAGGATCTACCGTCTGACGACCTCAGCACCAACATTGGTAGAGATGGGATCTACCGTCTGACGACCTCAGCACCAACATTGGTAGCGATGGGATCTACCGTCTGACGACCTCAGCACCAACATTGGTAGAGGTAGGATCTACCGTCTGACGACCTCAGCACCAACATTGGTAGAGATGGGATCTACCGTCTGACGACCTCAGCACCAACATTGGTAGCGATGGGATCTACCGTCTGACGACCTCAGCACCAACATTGGTAGAGATGGGATCTACCGTCTGACGACCTCAGCACCAACATTGGTAGAGATAGGATCTACCGTCTGACGACCTCAGCACCAACATTGGTAGAGATAGGATCTACCGTCTGACGACCTCAGCACCAACATTGGTAGAGATGGGATCTACCGTCTGACGACCTCAGCACCAACATTTGTAGAGATGGGATCTACCGTCTGTCGACCTCAGCACCAACATTGGTAGCGATGGGATCTACCGTCTGACGACCTCAGCACCAACATTGGTAGCGATGGGATCTACCGTCTGACGACCTCAGCACCAACATTGGTAGAGATGGGATCTACCGTCTGTCGACCTCAGCACCAACATTGGTAGAGATAGGATCTACTGTCTGACGACCTCAGCACCAACATTGGTAGAGATGGGATCTACCGTCTGTCGACCTCAGCACCAACATTGGTAGAGATGGGATCTACCGTCTGACGACCTCAGCACCAACATTGGTAGCGATGGGATCTACCGTCTGTCGACCTCAGCACCAACATTGGTAGAGATGGGATCTACCGTCTGACGACCTCAGCACCAACATTGGTAGCGATGGGATCTACCTAGTCACTTTACTGGAACACAATCTGGAACACAATCTGTAATATCACCTGGTTATATTATATCATGGAACACAATCTGTAATATCAACTGGTTATATTATACAGTGGGGGAAAAAAGTATTTAGTCAGCCACCAATTGTGCATGTTCTCCCACTTAAAAAGATGAGAGAGGCCTGTAATTTTCATCATAGGTACACGTCAACTATGACAGACAAAATGTGGGAAAAAAATCCAGAAAATCACATTGTAGGATTTTTAATGAATTTATTTGCAAATTATGGTGGAAAATAAGTATTTGGTCAATAACAAACGTTTTTCAATACTTTGTTATATACCCTTTGTTGGCAATGACACAGGTCAAACGTTTTCTGTAAGTCTTCACAAGGTTTTCACACACTGTTGCTGGTATTTTGGCCCATTCCTCCATGCAGATCTCCTCTAGAGCAGTGATGTTTTGGGGCTGTCGCTGGGCAACACGGACTTTCAACTCCCTCCAAAGATTTTCTACGGGGTTGAGATCTGTAGACTGGCTAGGCCACTCCAGGACCTTGAAATGCTTCTTACGAAGCCACTCCTTCGTTCACATATGGAATCATGTAGTAACCAAAAAATTGTTAAACAAATCTAAATATATTTTCTATTCTTCAAAGTAGCCACCCTTTGCCTTGATGACAGCTTTTGCACACTCTTGGCATTCTCTCAACCTACTTCATGAGGAATGCTTTTCCAACAGTCTTGAAGGAGTTCCCACATATGCTGAGCACTTGTTGGCTGCTTTTCCTTCACTCTGCAGTCCGACTCATCCCAAACCATCTCAATTGGGTTGAGGTCGGGTGATTGTGGAGGCCAGGTCATCTGATGCAGCACTCCATCACTCTCCTTCTTGGCTAAATAGCCCTTACACAGCCTGGAGGTGTGTTGGGTCATTGTCCTGTTGAAAAACAAATGATAGTCCCACTAAGCACAAACCAGATGGGATGGCATATCGTTGCAGAATGCTGTGGTAGCCATACTGGTTAAGTGTGCCTTGAATTCTAAATAAATCACAGACAGTGTCACCAGCAAAGCACCATCACACCTCCTCCTCCATGCTTCACGGTGGGAACCACACATGCAGAGATCATCCGTTCACCCACATCGCATCTCACAAAGACACAGCGGTTGGAACCAAAGATCTCAAATTTGGACTCATCAGCCCATGTTAGCGGTGGGGTTATGGTATGGGCAGGCATAAGCTACAGACAATGAACACAATTGCATTTTATCGATGGCAATTTGAATGCACAGAGATACCGTGACGAGATCCTGAGGCCCATTGTCGTGCCATTCATCCGCCGCCATCACCTCATGTTTCAGCATGATAATGCACGGCCCCATGTCGAAAGGAACTGTACAGAATCCCATTCAACTGGAAATGGCCCTGTTCTTCCATGGCCTGTATTCTCACCAGACATGTCACCCATTGAGCATGTTTGGGATGCTCTGGATCGACGTGTACTACAGCAACTTCGCACAGCCATTGAAGAGGAGTGGGACAACATTCCAGAGGCCACAATCGACAGCCTGATCAACTCTATGCGAAGGAGATGTGTCACGCTGCATGTGGCAAATGGTGTGATCACACCATATACTGACTGGTTATCTGATCCACGCCCCTACCTTTTTTTTAAAGGTATCTGTGACCATCGGATGCACATCTGTATTCCCAGTCATGTGAAATCCATAGATTAGGGCCTAATGAATTTGTCAATTGACTGATTTCCTTTTATATGAACTGTAACTCAGTCAAATCTTTGAAATTGTTGCATGTTGCGTTTTTAATAATTTTGTTTTACATTATTAGAGAAAAAAATTGAATGGCGCTTTGACATCTGTTGGAGTAGTGGATTACCTGCCCATCCCTATGCTGAGTGATCCGTTGGCGTAGCAACACAAGCTCTATATGCTCTGAATATCTTGTGGTGTTTTTTTGTGCAATGGATGAGTTAACTATTGGAATGTTTGATTTGTTCACAGCACATTCATCTCAGCCAATAGTCTTGAGTCGTACTTTATAGGACACTGTGTTTAGCTGAAGGAGTCATCTTTGATCTCTGTCTGGTTCCAGCTCTTTGGCATCGACAGCAAGTCAGGCTCTATTCTATGGAAGCACTATCTGGAGAATGTCCAACCCAACGCAGCTTTCAAACTGATAGTCCAAAGGACCACTGCTCACTTCCCCCATCCCCCACAGTGCACTCTGCTCATCAAGGATAAGGTAGGAACAGCATCATGGACTGTTGCAAACTAGTCCTTACTACACCATTTTGTGGGTGTTGTTTATTTTTTTATTTTTTTATGTGAGCTCTGGCGATTTTAAGTTTCCCAAATTTATTTATTACATATGGCGAATGAACTTAGTGTACATTTGATCTTGAACGTGAAAAATACGTATGTGGCCGTAGTTAAACCACCGAAGCGTTTACATAGCTATGCAGGGCAGCCCCTAATCCGACTGGATCTAATGTTGGGTGAAATGTCTCTAGTTTTCTGAACATTTCTGCTGTCTCTGTGTCTGTTGTTCCCCCCCAGGACACTGGCCTGGCCACCCTGCATGTGTTCAACCCCATCTTTGGCAGGAAGAGCCATATAGCCCTGCCTGCCCTGCCCCGCCCCATCCTCCAGTCATTACTATTACCTGTTATAGACCAGGACTACGCCAAGGTCCTGCTGCTGGTCGACGACCAATACAAGGTAGGTCTGCATCTGTCTGATTTTAAGGCCTTGGGGGGATGAAACGTCAACGGGTTTTAACTAATGTGCTGCGTTATGGGAGAGCCTATGTTTTCTAATGTACCTGTTATTGTTCACTGCACCTCTATACATCTTGGTTGAGGGCTGTGGACTCACCATTCTATATTTAATGCATGTCCTCCCCTCCCTCCCTCCCCCCCCTCCCTCCCTCCCCCCCCCTCCCTCCCTCCCTCCCTCCCTCCCTCCCTCCCTCCAGGTGACAGCCTTCCCCTCCACTAAGAACGTTCTGCAGCAGCTTCAGGAGATGACCTCCTCCATCTTCTTCTACCTGGTCCACTCAGAGCAGGGAACCTTGTCTGGATTCAGGCTGCGCAAGGTGACAACACTGTGTGTGTGTGTGTGTGTGTGTGTGTGTGCGAGCATGGGACATTTGTTTATGTGTGAATGTGGCATTCAGTGTGTGTGTGTGTGTGACATTTGTGTGTGTGTGTGTTTGTGACACTAAACGTGTGTGTTCCTCCAGGACCTGTCCACAGAGCTGATCTGGGAGGTGGTTCTACCTATTGAGGTCCAGAAGATAGTAGCGGTCAAAGGGAAGAGACCCAACGAGCATGTCCACTCTCAGGGCAGAGTGATGGGGGACCGCAGTGTGCTCTACAAGGTAACGACAGCTCTATGTACTAGTAAACTAGAGGGTCCACACTCAAAAATGAGGGATTAAGGGACGGTTTCCCGGATCCAGATTTCGACTAGTCTAAAATAAATTTTCAAACTGGCACCAAAAGTTGAACTTTTAATGATTCTCAAGGGGCAACAAGTGCAAATACCAACGTTTTTGGAAATAATAAAAATAGTAATATTGTGTGAAGACTTGAATAACAGACTCTTTTTACCACAGTACCTAAACCCTAACCTGCTGGCAGTGGTGACGGAGAGTACAGACGCCCACCCTGAGCGTGCCTTCGTGGGCATGTTCTTGGTCGATGGTGTGACCGGACGCATCATCCATGAAGCCGTCCAGAGGAAGGCCAGGGGGCCCGTCCACTTTGTCCACTCTGAGAACTGGGTGGTGGTGAGTAGTAGTAGTAGTAGTAGTAGTAGTAGTAGTAGTAGTAGTAGTGTCATCAGTAGTAGTAGTAGTAGTAGTAGTAGTAGCAGCATCATCAGGAGTAGTAGTAGTCGTAGGCAGTACAGGAGTAGTAAGCAGTAGTAAGTAGTAGTAGTAGTAGTAGTAGTGTAGCATCAGTGTAGTAATTAGTAGTAGTAGTAGTATAGTAGTAGTAGTAGTAGTAGATAGCATCATCAGTAAGTAGCAGTAGTAGTAGTAAGCAGCATCCAGTAGTAGTATTAGTATAGCATCAAGTGTAGTAGTAAGCAGTAGTAGTAGTAAGGCAGAGTAGCATCAAGTAGTAGTAGTAGTAGTAGCATCATCAGTATAGTAGTAGTAGTATCACATAGTAGTAGTAGTAGTAGTAGCAGCTCATATCAGTAGTAGTTAGTAGTAGTAGCATCATCATAGTAGTAGTAGCAGTAGTAGTAGTAGCAGTAGTAGCATCATCAGTAGTAGTAGTAGTAGTAGTAGCATCATCAGTTAGGTAGTAGTAGTAGTAGTATAGTAGTATAGTAGTAGTAGTAGCATCATCAGTAAGTAGTAGCAGTAGTGCAGTAGTAGCAGTTAAGTAGAGTCATCAGTAGTTAGTAGTAGTAGTAGTTCTAGTAGTGGTAGTAGTTAGCATCATCAGTAGTAGTAGTAGTAGTAGTAGTAGTAGTATTAGTAGTAGTCAGTAGTACAGTAGCATCATCAGTAGTAGTAGTAGTATTCAGTAGTAGTAGTAGAGTAGAGTAGTCATCATCAGTAATAGTAGTAGTAGTAGCTATCATCATAGTAGTATTAGTAGTAGTAGACATCATCATCATCAGTAGTAGTAGTAGATCATCAGTAGTATAGTAGTAGTAGCATCATCAGTAGTAGTAGTAGTTAGTAGTAGTACTAGTATTTAGTAGTAGCAGCAGTCATCAGTAGTAGTAGCAAGCAGTAGCCATCATCAGTAGTAGTAGTAGCATCATCATAGCAGGGAGTAGTAGTATAGTAGTAGTAGTAGTATATATATATATCAATAGTAGTAGTAGCATCATTCATCAGTAGTTAGTAGTAGTGAATTCATCATAGTAGTAGTAGTAGTAGTAGCATCATCATCAGTAGTATTAGTAGTAGTAGTAGCATATACAGTATGTAGTAGTAGTATTAGTAGTGAGCTCATCATCAGTAGTATGTAGTAGTAGTAGTAGATCATCAGGTAGTACGTAGTAGCAGTATTAGTAGTAGCATCATCATCAGTAGTAGTAGTAGTAGCATCATCAGTAGTAGTATAGTAGTAGTAGCATCAGTAGTAGTAGATAGTAGTAGTAGTAGTAGATTAGTAGTAGTAGCATCATCATCAGTAGTAGTAGTAGTAGTAGTAGTAAGTAGTAGTAGTAGTTAGTATTAGTAGTAGTAGCATATATAGTAGTAGTAGTAGCATCATCAGTAGTAGTAGTAGTAGTAGTAGTAGTAGTAGTAGTATTAGTAGTAGTAGCATCATCATCAGTAGTAGTAAATAGCATCATCAGTAGTAGTAGTAGTATTAGTCGTAGTAGCATCATCATCAGTAGTAGCATCATCATCAGTAGTAGTAGTAGTAGTAGTAGTATTAGTAGTAGCATCATCATCAGTAGTAGTAGTATCATCAGTAGTAGTAGTAGTAGTAGGGAGTATCAGTCAGTAGAGTTAGTAGTAGCGTAGTAGCACATCAGTAGTAGTAGTGGCATCATCATCAGTAGTAGTATTAGTAGTAGTAGTCATCATCATAGTAGTATTAGTAGTAGCATCATCATCAGTAGTAGTAGCATCATCATCAGTAGTAGTAGTATCATCAGTAGTAGTAGTAGTAGTATCATCAGTAGTAGTAGTAGTAGTAGTAGTAGTAGTAGTAGTAGTAGTAGTAGTATAGTAGTAGTAGTAGTAGTTAGTAGTAGCATCATCATCAGTAGTATTACCAAAGTAGTAGTAGTAGCATCATCATTATTAGTAAGTAGTAGTTATAGTTTGTAGTAGTAGCATCATCAGTAGTAGTAGTATAGTAGTAGTAGTAGTAGTAGATCATCAGTAGTAGTAGATATTAGTAGTAGTAGTATCATCAGTAGTAGTAGAGTTAGTAGTAGTAGTAGTAGTAGTAGTAGCATCATATTAGTAGTAGTTAAACAGCATCATCAGTAGGTAGTAGTAGTAGTAAGTAGTAGTAGTAGTAGTAGTAGTAGTAGTAGCATCATCAGTAGTAGTAGTAGTAGCAGCAGTAGCATCATCAGTAGTAGTAGTAGTATTAGTAGTAGCAGCATCATCAGTAGTAGCATCAGTAGCATCATCAGTAGTAGTAGTAGCATCATCATCAGTAGTAGTAGTAGTAGTAGTAGCATCATCATCATCAGTAGTAGCATCATCATCATCAGTAGTATTAGTAGTAGTAGCATCATCATCATCAGTAGTAGTAGCATCATCATCAGTAGTATTAGTAGTAGTAGTAGCATCATCAGTAGTAGTAGTAGTATTAGTAGTAGCATCATCATCAGTAGTAGTAGTAGCATCATCATCATCAGTAGTAGCAGTAGTAGTAGTAGCATCATCAGTAGTAGTAGTAGTATTAGTAGTAGCATCATCATCAGTAGTAGCATCATCATCAGTAGTAGTAGTAGTAGTAGTAGTAGTATTAGTAGTAGCATCATCATCAGTAGTAGTATCATCAGTAGTAGTAGTAGTAGTAGTAGTAGTATCATCAGTAGTAGTAGTGGCATCATCATCAGTAGTAGTATTAGTAGTAGTAGCATCATCAGTAGTAGTATTAGTAGTAGCATCATCATCAGTAGTAGTAGCATCATCATCAGTAGTAGTAGGTAGTTAGTAGTAGTAGGGAGTAGTAGTATCATCATCATCAGTTAGTATCTAGCAGTAGTAGTGTAGTAGCATCTCATCATTAGTAGTAGTAGTAGTAGTAGCAGCATCATCAGTAGTAGTAGTAGTAGTAGTAGTAGTAGCATCATCAGTAGTAGTAGTATTAGTAGTAGCATCATCATCAGTAGTAGTAGTAGTAGTAGTAGCAGTAGTAGCATCATCATTAGTAGTAGTAGCAGCATCAGCATCATCAGTAGTAGTAGTAGTAGTAGTAGTAGTAGTAGTAGAGTAGTAGTAGTAGTCATCATCAGTAGATAGCATAGTAGTAGTATAGTTAGTAGTAGCATCATCAGTAGTAGTAGTAGTAGTCATTAGTAGTAGCATCATCTATCAGTAGTAGTAGTAGTATTAGTAGTAGCATCATCATCAGTAGTAGTAGTAGTAGTAGTAGTAGTAGTAGTAGTAGTAGTAGTAGTAGTAGTAGTAGTAGCATCATCAGTAGTAGTAGTAGTAGTAGCATCATCAGTAGTAGTAGTAGTAGTATTAGTAGTAGCATCATCATCAGTAGTAGTAGTAGTAGTAGTAGTAGTAGTAGTAGTAGTATCATCAGTAGTAGTAGTAGTTACAGTCACAAGTGTTCCAAAGATGATTTCTGTGGTGAGAGAAATGTTAATGAACTACTGCCTTCCAGCTACTGAGTAACCCTCAGCATTTTCTCCCCCCAGTATGAGTACTGGAACACCAAGTCCAGGCGTAATGAGTTCAGTGTGCTGGAGCTGTTTGAAGGAACAGAGCTGTATAACAGCACTGTGTTCAGTAGTCTGGACAGACCCTACCTGCCCCAGGTCCTACAGCAGACCTACATCTTCCCATCTCCCATCACCACCATGGAGGCTACGCTCACCGAGAAGGGCATCACCTCCAGGCACCTCCTGGGTCAGTATGGGTGGGGTGGATGGATGTAGGGGTGGTTGGGTGAATGGATGGAGGGGTCGGTGGGTGGGTGGGTGGAGGGTTGGGTGGGTGGGTGGATGAATGGAGGGGTGGGTGGATGAATGGAGGGGTGGGTGGATGAATGGAGGGGTGGGTGGATGAATGGAGGGGTGGGTGGATGAATGGAGGGGTGGGTGGATGAATGGAGGGGTGGGTGGGTGGGTGGATGGAGGGGTGGGTGGATGGATGGAGGGGTGGGTAGATGGAGGGGTGGGTAGATGGAGGGGTGGGTGGACAGAGTGGTTGGTGGGTGGAAGGAGGGTTGGGTGGGTGGGTGTTGCTCACTGGGAAGGGCACCACCAGCAGACACCTCCTGGTTCAGTACTTTGTTTATTGTTTAAATAATAAAGAGATAGCAAAACGTTGCGTAAACAATAGCCAAGGATACCGTAACCAACGATACTAAGTATTTGTTAATAACAGTCATTAATGGTTCACAGTTTCATTTTTTTATTGCTAAACCTTTAGTTATGCAGATTTTTCTTTGGTGTCATGTACCAGTTTAGTGGATTTAATGCCCTCTTTCACCACCATATCTATCGGTATCGTAACTCTCATTTTTCTCTGGATATTTCTCGCTCAAAGTGGGGCTACCATCAGGAGCCATCTTGTCTCTCCCCAAGATGTTCCTGGATCCACGGAGACCAGAGGTCGTCACTGAACACAGCCGGTTAGTACCAACAACACATACCCCTGGGTCATGTTCATTTGGCACCAAATGGAAGAAAATGGACTGAAACAGGGTCCAACAAGAAACGCTCATTTTCTATTGCAAAACGTTTTGCAAAGGTGTGCGCTAATGAACAGGACCCTGTTGTTTTATAACGTTATCTGACCGTTTAGAGAGGAATACTGGTTCCTTGTCACTATATGAAATGATGAAAGTAAGAATTGGTTTATCATTTATTTTCAGTGAAGAGAATCTTATACCCTACGCCCCAGAGATGCCCATCCGCACAGAGTGGTTCATCAACTACAATCAGACCGTATCGAGAGTGAAAGGAATCTACACTGCCCCCTCTGGCCTGGAGTCCACATGTCTGGTGAGTCTATAGGCCATTTAGAACACTATCTTTTGATGTATCGAGTCTGGACTGACTTCTGTATTTCCAAGAAATGGTACACTGACAATGCAGAGGGAATGTAGATTAAATGAAGATTCAACTATAATGTAGGTCAATATTTAACATGGAAATGTATATGTTTTGTTACAGGTGGTTGCGTACGGTCTTGACATCTACCAAACCAGAGTGTACCCCTCCAAGCAGTTTGACGTGCTGAAAGATGACTATGATTACGTCCTGATCAGCAGTGTTCTGTTCGCACTGTTCTTCGCCACCATGATTAGTAAACGTCTGGCACAGGTCAAACTGCTCAACCGGGCCTGGCGGTAAAGAGTCAACTTAGGCCTTTCAACTCTGACCTCCCCATTGCTGCGTGGATGAACCCGGACGATGGAGGTGGACGAGCTGAAGCCGATTTGGAGATCTCAGCTTAAAATCACCCCAATGTGTAAATTGATGGGGGGGAGGGGTCCATCTTTCTTTTTCAACGGAAGAGGTTCATTTCGATGTGCATAATTTATTTGGTGACACTTTACATTGAGGTAGCCTTTAAGGGGAGTTATGTCATTGCCATTTAACAAATAATTAACTAAACCACTGATAAACCATTTATATAACCTCCCTTAAAGGATAGCTTAATGTAAAGTGCTTTTCATGATCACACTTTATGAAATTACATTTTCTTTCACCACAACGAAAGAGCAGTCCATGATTACTTGGTGCATCTCAGAGCAAGTGTTCTTATACTGAAGCTCTGGAACACTGTTTAGCTGTGAACGATTACTAAAAAGTCTAAAGATTAGACCTAATTTAAGATGACTAAATGTGGTACAAATCAGGGGGGGGGGGTTTGATGATTACTTTTGTTTAATTGGGTTTTTAATCTTTTTTTGTTGGTCAAGATGTTTTGTTAATAATGTTTGTTAAAAGGAACTGTGGTGTGGGTGGTGTTCGGGTGTACTGAGGGGTTTGTTTTTGGGATCGTCTGCCTCCGAGGCCAGCACTGTTGGTCTTTCTTTGATGCACTGGAAGTTTTGTGTTCACATGATTTAGCTTAACTAATATTGTCCCCCATGGCTTTTGTGTAAACGATAGTTTGTGTACAGTATATTTATGTCTTAAAAACATTTATTAGTATGGCACTCCAGAGTATTCATTTTTCCTATTGGGGAGAATAGACAACTGCTTGTGCAACACATTTTCACCAAAACGCCAATACCCTCAATAAAATGATTATTACCATTTATGAAAGTCTGTATTCAATTTTTAGCGGTTTACAAAAGTAGGCCTACTTCTGATCTTTGGTTGTGCTGTAAATAAATAATAGCAACTTACTCTCTTTCTTTACTTTACTTCTCTCTATCCTTTCTACACCTATCTACATCATTTACCTTACTAGTTAGGTTATTGTAGTAGTTTACTATAGCCCTTACTTAAAGTGCTTTGATTTATAATATCTATATGTCAACCTGTTTTGTATCCCTTTCCTTGGTTTCCAGTAGTTACAACGGCCACAAAGTCAAATTTGGCGATAGTAAAAATTCATGAAAACAACAATTTGCTTTTTGGTCTTAATTTAAGCTTAGAGTTAGGCATAAGGTTGGCAGTGTCTTAAGGTTATCGTTTTAGGTTAGGGTTTGGTTTAAAATCACATTTTTGAAAAGAGAAATTGAAGGAATAGGCGGGGGTTATGACTTTGTGGCTGTGATAACTAGTGACGACCCCTTTCCTTTCAAGGGAGGTTGTTGGAGAAAGTATCGCTCGCTTGTCTAGTACGGAATCTCAAGATGGCGTCGAGTGGAGGAGATGGAGAACCGGACTGGGCTGCTGATGTACGGCCGCTTTTATCAGCTTCGTACACAGCTTTTGAAACGAAAGAGCTACCTCAGCTCATAGGATCCATAATAAACAGGTAAAAATCGTCCCTGTCTGCGAATTGCAGTGCTCTGTTGACGAGAAAGAGCTGCATATAACAGCTAGCTAGCCTGCTAACTTGGCTAGCTTCTTCACTCAGCTGGTTTGCATAGTGTTAGCATAGCGTGCTAGCTACAGTAGCTATGTCCAGAAGGAATCTGCTTCATCATCAGGCCGAATAGGGTGTGTAGCGTTACGTGCTAGCCATGTTAGCAGCTAGGTAAAACATCCCTGACATTGTATACTGCAGCTTACGTTGAAGTAAACATTATTGTAAAACCATAAATTCTGAAGAGTTTGTCGTATTTACATGACAATACAACAACCAGTTTTAAAGCCAAACATTGTCACTTAGCTAACTAGCTTGCTAAATTGAGGCTTTAGTTAGCCACAGCTGACGAGCTAGCCAGCATTTCTAGCCTCGTAAGAATCGAAAACGAAAGCTTAGCCTGTGGTTCTGTTACTTGAGCGTAAATTGTTTGTCATTATGTTGCTGATGGCATTATTGTTCTTGAATGTTTTAGATAATAGTTATATATGTCAACATCACGAGCAGACAGCTGTTGATGTGATCGTTTCAAATGTCATTTGATGTGGGCTAGCTAGTTAAGTTAGCTAGCTAAGTATTCAAGATCAACATTCGACTTTGCACTCCCCGATCAGTTCGAGTTGGCTAACGTTAGGTAACGTTAGCTCAAGGGGCTTTCAACAGCTACACAATCTGGGATATTTCCTGCAGTTCAATCAACGGTCGCTTCAGTTATTGATACCCATTGATTCTTGAAGAATATAGCTTATAAATGCCTGAGTTTAGTGCAACTATCTCACCCTATTATAACCCAAAGAGTGATAGGCCTAGCAAGGTTGTATGCTTTTGTCATTTGAGTACAATGTTTTTATAGCTTCAAATGTTGTTAAAAAGTATCAGAATTTCAGAATGTCATGGACTGTTTCAGTCCTTCCATCCAGAGATGTCTGAATTTGAGTGGTTATTTCTCCAGCCCCTGAGCTGAAGTGGTGGGGCTGCGGTTGCACATATTTGATCTATCCAAACACTAGCAGAACTGATTCAACTAGTCAACTAATCATCAAGTCTTTGGGTAGTTGAATCAGGTGTACTGGAGTTTGGATAGATCAAATACACTATATATACAAAAGTATGTGGATACCCCTTCAAGTTAGTGGATTCTGCTATTTCAGCCACACTCTTTGCTGACAGGTGTATAAAATCGAGCACACAGCCATGCAATCTCCATAGACAAACATTGGCAGTAGAATGGCCTCACTGAAGAGCTCAGTGACTTTGAACGTGGCACTGTCATAGGATGCCACCTTTTCAACAAGTCAGTTCGTCAAATTTCTGCCCTGCTAGAGCTGCCCCGGTCAACTGTAAGTTGTCTAGGAGCAACAACGGCGAAGTGGTAAACCACACAAGCTCAAAGAACGGGACCGCTGAAGCGCGTAGCGTGTAAGAATCGTCTGTCCTCGGTTGCCACACTCACTACCGAGTTCCAAACTGCCTCTGGAAGCAACGTCAGCACAATAACCTTTCGTCGGGAGCTTCATGAAATGGGTTTCCATGGCCGAGCAGCCGCACACAATCCTAAATTGACCATGCGCAATGCCAAGCGTCGGCTGGAGTGGTGTAAAGCTCGCCGCCATTGGACTCTGGAGCAGTGGAAAAGCTTTCTCTGGAGTGATGAATCACGCTTCACCGTCTGGCAGTCCAACAGTCGAATCTGGGTTTGGCGGATGCCAGGAGAATGCTACCTGCCCGACTGCATAGTTTCAACTGTAAAGTTGGGTGGAGGAAGAATAATAATCTAGGGCTGTTTTTCATGGTTCGGGCTTGGCCCCTTAGTTCCAGTGAAGGGAAATCTTAACGCTACAGTATACAATTACAGAGCCCTGACCTCAACCCCATCAAACACCTTTGGGATGAATTGGAACGCCAACTGCGAGCCAGGCCTAATCGCCCAACATCAGTGCCCGAACTCACTAATGCGCTTGCGGCTGAATGGAAGCAAGTCTCCGCAGCAATGTTCCAACATCTAGTGGAAAGACCTTCCCAGAAGAGTGAAGGCTGTTATAGCAGCAAATGGGGGGGACCAACTCCATATTAATGCCCATGATTTTGGAATGAGAGGTCTGACAAGCAGGTGTCCACATACTTTTGGGCATGTAGTGTATGTGCAATAGCAGCTCTGCCACTTCAGCTCAGGGAGGGGGATGGAGAAATACAACCACTCAAATTCACAGACACATCTCTGAATGCAAGGACTGACAGACAGTCCATGACATGATACTTTTGAAAACAAATGGAAGCTACAAAAAACATTGTACTCAAGTTTAAAATTTAAAAATTTAAAATGCCATTTAGCAGACGCTTTTATCCAAAGCGACTTACAGTCATGCGTGCATACATTTTTTTTGTGTATGGGTGGTCCCGGGGATCGAACCCACTACCTTGGCGTTACAAGCGCCGTGCTCTACCAGCTGAGCTACAGAGGACAACAAAACATACAACCAGATATGTGAATCAGTTTGACCTGTGGCTGGTGGTCCCCCAGGACTCTAAACCACAACATGTAGGGTCCTAGCAAAATAAGTCCTCAGGGCTTGACATGCAGGGCTGCCCGCTGGCTTGGGGAGGTTTTGGAAGCTCTCGGGGCCAGTCGATCATCCCCGTCAGTGGAACAGTGGGACACATTTTTTTTGTCATTATGCTATTTTTCATCTAAGCTATATAATTGATTTAAAAAATGAAAAAAGATTCCCGAAGCTGTTTGTTCGTTATCACACGCGCGCTGCTCACATGTAGCCTATAGATAATCTGTCAAGCAGAGTGGTCCTCTGTAGCTCAGCTGGTAGAGCACGGCGCTTGTAACGCCAAGGTAGTGGGTTCGATCCCCGGGACCACCCATACACAAAAAAAAAAAATGCACGCATGACTGTAAGTCGCTTTGGATAAAAGCGTCTGCTAAATGGCATATTATTATTATTATTATTATTGAGAGCTGCACACACTAACAGCTTGCTTGGAGCGGTTTACTGATGACAGACAGCGGTAAGGGTAGAGTGGTAGGCAAGATGTTCCCAGTGCTGATATCTACCAGTAAATGCTAAGGCAAGAATGGGTATGCAAACCAGCTATTTAAAGTCTTGCTTGAATATTTGCCATATGCAATTCAGTCATCATGGAATAGCCTACCTTGAAAATCAGACGTTTTCTTTAGGCTCTTTTGGTCCTTGAAAAGTAATTGAAGTTATGGTAGGCAATTTTTTTGTTGTTGAAGTTCTACTGTTCCATTTCTGATCAGTTTTCTCGAGAGATGTATTTGCTTAGTTTGTTTCCCGCAATTTCAATTGACATGTGTTTTGCTGTAGTCTGTTGCGGTAAAACCACGTGTGGTTATTATGAGCAAGACGACACGGAGTTGTTGGCTTCAACTTGGTTTGTCATACAAGGCGTTACATTAAAAAGCGAACCCGTTTTTTTGGGTCGCTTTTTCATTTTAAAGCGTGATACAATAACTCCTCAATAACTCTTCAACCTCTCAAATGAAGAGACTGACTAGCTACATGGACAGACGTCCTTAGTGTGTTTGTGTCAGGAGCATGCTGTCTATTTAGTCAGGCAATGGCCACATTATTCGGACATATTTTAGAATGTAAAACTAGTGTGAATGTCAATGCATATTGCCATTGTGTAGGCCTATTAACAAAATGCATAATTCTTAAAGTGGTAATGCATACTTTTTTTTGCATACTTTTTGGGGGGAGTTTTTTCCCCCCTATTATTAAGGCTACTCATTGGCTGACTTGTTCTTGTATTTTGTTCTGTATTTATTCATGACATAGCATAATATATACTTGTCTTGAACTGTAGTTTTGTAATGCATTTGTTGTGTATTTTGTAATGACCCTCCCTCCTCATTTCCCATGTCGTTGCAGTGAATCTGAGATCCTACACCATGATAAACAGTATGAGCCATTCTACTCCTCCTTCGTGGCCCTCTCTGCACATTACATCACCACAGTCTGTGGACAAAGTACGTTCAGCTACCCATTAACCACCCAATAACTACCCATTTGACTAGTTTAACTACTTCCTGAATACCTACCGTTTTAACTACTTCCTGAATACCTACCGTTTTAACTACTTCCTGAATACCTACCATTTAACTACTTCAACTATTTCCTGAACACCTACCATTTAACTACTTCCTGAATACCTACCATTTTAACTAATTTAACTACTACTCCTTTGTACATGTATTTTGTTTTGTGAAAAGAGAAAAAAACATTTGATAGTAACGCGGATACAGTAGCCTAATTCTGCTTGCAGGCCTATTTATTTGGCTACTAATGTATCTGCGAATTAGTAATTAGAAGGCCACACATGCATGTTGTCTCACTCTGCTTCTTTTTGCCTAGCCTAGTTACATTAGTGTTAGTTTGTGTTCTTCATGGCCTTGTAGGTATATACATGTACATTACAATTTTATACAAAATCTTTTGATCACGAGGCAGTTCATATGAAATCTAATCTGTCGTCTTCCCTCATCTGTTCTCTCCACCGTCCTCTAGTCCCCAGAAACCAGTTGCTGTCAGTAGCAGCGGCCTGTAAAGTATTGATTGAGTTCTCACTGCTGCGGCTGGAGAACCCCGACGAAGCATGCGCCGTCTCACAGGTGAGAGAAGAAGGAAGTGCATAGACCGTCCAATCCTCAAGCCTGTTCCCAGAGCTGTTTTGTGCTGTTTTTTCCCAACTCCTATAGTCAATTGGTCACGCCAGAGTTGGGAAGACCGCGCAAACAGATCTGGGATCAGGCAGGCTATCCATCCTCCACTGCGTTTATCTAAACCTGCCCTGTGTATTTTATCTAGTCTGTTTTCCCACAGACGGGCAGCAGGGATTTGATTTTTTTCCTGTTTAATCTGGAATTCCTCCATGCAGTGCCTTCAGAAAGTATTTACACCCCTTGACTTTTTCCACATTTTGTTGTTACAGCCTGAATTTAAAAATGGAATAAATTGAGATTTTGTGTCACTGATCTACACACAATACCCCATAATGTCAAAGTGGAAATTAAGATTTCTGAAAATGTTTACAAATTAATAAAAAATTAAAAGCTGATAATGTCTCCAGTCAATAAGTATTCAACCCCTTTATGGCAAGCCTAAATTAGTTCAGGACTAAAAATGTGCTTAACAAGTCACATAAGAAGTTGCATGGACTTTTACTCTGTGTGCAATAATAGTTTTTAACATGATTTTTAAATGACTACCCCGTCTCTGTACCCTACAGATACAATGATCTGTAAGGTCCCTAAATCGAGCAGTGAATTTCAAGCACACATTCAACCACAAAGACCAGGGAGGTTTTCCTATGGTTCGCAAAGAAGGGCACCTACTGGTTGATGGGTAAAAATAAGAAAAGTAGACCTTGAATATGCCTTTTGAGCATAGTGAAGTTATTAATTACACTTTGGATGGTGGATCAATACCAGGGCCTAAAATTTACTTTTTTTGTGCACCAGCCACTGTATCAAGTAGATTTTAAAAATCTTCCGGCCACTCAGATTTTTTTACTAGGCAAAATATTTTTGTTCGTTGAAATTACACCATCAAAACACAAAACGGATGAGCATGCTTTGAAATGTTTCTAAAACAATAAATGTTCGGAAATTATTCAGACCCCTTGACTTTTTCCACATTTTGTTACATTAGCCTTATTCTAAAATAGATTAAATAAAAACATTTACTCATCAATCTACACACAATACCCCATAATGACAAAGTGAAAACTGGGTTTATTTTTGCATATATATAATACATTTTACTATGACATTTACATAAGTATACAGACCCTTTACTTAGTACTTTGTTGAAGCACCTTTGGCAGCAATTACAGCCTCGAGTCTTCTTGGGTATGACGTTTCAAGCTTGGCACACCTGTATTTGGGGAGTTTCTCCCATTCTTCTCTGCAGATCCTCAAGCTCTGTCAGGTTGGATGGGCAGCGTCGCTGCACAGCTATTTTCAGGTCTCTCCAGAGATGTTCGATCAGGTTCAAGTCCGGGCTCTGGCTGGGCCACTCAAGGACATTCAGAGACTTGTGCCGAAGCCACTCCTACGTTGTCTTGGCTGTGTGATTAGGGTCGTTTTCCTGTTGGAAGGGTCAACCTTCGCCCCAGTCTGAGGTCCTGAGCGCTCTGGAGCAGGTTTTCATCAAGGATCTCACTGTACTTTGGTCCATTCATCTTTCCCTCGATCCTGACGTCTCCCAGTCCCTTCAGCTGAAAAACATCCCCACAGCATGATGCTGCCACCACCATGCTTCACCGTAGGGATGGTGCCAGGTTTCCTCCAGATGTGACGCTTGGAATTCAGGCCAAAGAGTTCAATCTTGGTTTCATCAGACCAGAGAATCTTGTTTCTCATGGTCTGAGAGTCTTTAGGTGCCTTTTGGCAAACTCCAAGCGGGCTGTCATGTGCCTTTTACTAAGGAGTGGCTTCCGTCTGGCCACTCTACCATAAAGGCCTGATTGGTGGAGTGCTGCAGAGATGGTTGTCCTTCTGGAAGTTTCTCCCATCTCCACAGAGGAACTCTAGAGCTCTGTCAGAGTGACCATCGGGTTCTTGGTCACCTCCCTGACCAAGGCCATTCTCCCCCGATTGCTCAGTTTGGCCGGGCGGCCAGCTCTAGGAAGAGTCTTGGTGGTTCCAAACTTCTTCCATTGAAGAATGATGGAGGCCACTGTGTTCTTGGGGACCTTCAATGCTGCAGAAATGTTTTGGTACCCTTCCCCAGATCTGTGCCTCGACCAAATCCTGTCTTGGAGCTCTACGGACAATTCCTTCGACCTCATGGCTTGGTTTTTGCTCTGACATGCACTGTCAACTGTGGGACCTTATATAGACAGGTGTGTGCCTTCCAAATCATGTCCAATCAATAGAATTTACCACAGGTGGACTCCAATCAAGTTGTAGAAACATCTCAAGGATGATCAATGGAAACAGGATGCACCTGAGCTCAATTTCGAGTCTCATAGCAAAGGGTCTGTTTTTAATTTTTAATAAATTAGCAAAAAATTATAAAAAACTGTTTTCGATTTGTCATTATGGGGTATTGTGTTTAGATCGATGAGGAAAATGTTTTATTTGATCCATTTTAGAATAAGGCTGTAAAGTAACAAAGTGGAAAAAGGTAAGGGGTCTGAATACTTTCCGAATGCACTGTATTTTCAAGCATGGTGGTTACCGCATGTTATGGGTATGCTTGTCATCGGCAAGGACTGGAGTTTTTTTTAGGATAAAAAAAAAAAGTAATAGATCTAAGCACAGGCAAAATCCTAGAAGAAGACCTGGTTCAGTTTTACAACAGACACTGAGACAAATTCACCTTTTCAGCAGGACAATAACCTAAAACACAAGGCCAAATATACAATGGAGTTGCTTACCAAGACGACATCGAATGTTCCTGAGTGGCCTAGTTATAGTTTTGACTTCAATCGACTTGAAAACCTATGGCAAGACTTGAAAATGGCTGTCTAGCAATGATCAACAACCAACTTGACAGAGCTTGACACATAAAAAAAAAGAGTAATGGGCAAATATTGTACAATCCAGGTGTGCAAAGCTATTAGAGATTGACCCAGAAACACTCAACTGTAATGCCAAATACTAATCTAATCAATATATATTACTGTTTTATTTTCCAGTTTATACTAAATCAAATAGAAATTTCTTCCACTTTGACATTATTTTGTGTAGATAATTTACAAAAAATAGCAAATCCATTTTTTTTATCCCACTTTTCGACACAACCATGTGGGGAAAAGTCAACGGTTGTGAAAACTTTCTGAAAGCGATGTGTATAATTGAAACTCACCTAATTCCTTTTGCAAAATCCTGATATTCTTGTGTTGTCCTGGTCACATCCCAGTAAGACTGTCCATTTTCCTGTTCTCCACCCTCTTCTCTTCAGAAACACCTGATCCTCTTGATCAAGGGGTTGTGTACTGGCTGCAGCCGCCTGGACAGGACCGAGATCATCACCTTCACAGCCATGATGAAGTCGGCCAAACTGCCCCAGACCGTCAAGACACTCTCCGACGGTGAGTCCTCTGCTTTGCTGAGATCCAATCTCACTGTATCAACATTGTTAAAGGTAGACTCGGTAGATAAGTATCAGTTCATTCTGTGGTCCTCTGTAGCTCAGCTGGTAGAGCACGGCGCTTGTAACGCCAAGGTAGTGGGTTCGATCCCCGGGACCATCCATACGTAAAAATGTATGCACACATGACTGTAAGTCGCTTTGGATAAAAGCGTCTGCTAAATGGCATTATTATTATTATTATTATTATTATTATTATTCTGCCTATGTTGTTGGATTATGTAAAATATAGCCTATACAATTTTTAGGGTGACAATGTTTGTAAACAAACCAATGGATTATATGATGTCATGCTTTGCAAGCGACTGAGCTCAGTCATTTTTGGCGCCAACAGGGTTAGGGTTAGACAGCTATGGTGCTAGTCTACTCAACAGGGTTAGGGTTAGACAGCTATGGTGCTAGTCTACTCAACAGGGTTAGGGCCAGACAGCTATGGTGCTAGTCTACTCAACAGGGTTAGGGCCAGACAGCTATGGTGCTAGTCTACTCAACAGGGTTAGGGTTAGACAGCTATGGTGCTAGTCTACTCAACAGGGTTAGGGTTAGACAGCTATGGTGCTAGTCTACTCAACAGGGTTAGGGTTAGACAGCTATGGTGCTAGTCTACTCAACAGGGTTAGGGTTAGACAGCTATGGTGCTAGTCTACTCAACAGGGTTAGGGCCAGACAGCTATGGTGCTAGTCTACTCAACAGGGTTAGGGTTAGACAGCTATGGTGCTAGTCTACTCAACAGGGTTAGGGTTAGACAGCTATGGTGCTAGTCTACTCAACAGGGTTAGGGCCAGACAGCTATGGTGCTAGTCTACTCAACAGGGTTAGGGCCAGACAGCTATGGTGCTAGTCTACTCAACAGGGTTAGGGTTAGACAGCTATGGTGCTAGTCTACTCAACAGGGTTAGGGTTAGACAGCTATGGTGCTAGTCTACTCAACAGGGTTAGGGCCAGACAGCTATGGTGCTAGTCTACTCAACAGGGTTAGGGTTAGACAGCTATGGTGCTAGTCTACTTGTTGCTAAGTTGTTCCCCATGATGAAATTGGGGAGGGAACTGTGGATCGGCCGCCGTCTATCCATCCGTTCATACGTTAGTCACGCGGTATCTCAGACAGCACTGGCCCTATTTGATTAAACTTGGGGGAATGAAGCGTCTTGCCATAGAGATCCGGCATTTACTAAATTACACTGATTGGCCCAAGGGGGGAGCGATGGTAATGAACTGAAATGTGTGAGTCCTTCTTCTCCAGCAGGGGGTGTTTTTTCTCTCTCACCAAGCGAGGAGTTTTTGTATGGAAGTCAAAGTGTTGAATTTGGTTTACAAAAAAATTGAATGGTTTATTTGCTCGAATAGAAGTTTCCTAGTGCTTAGGTTGTCAAGAGGGTACTGATAAGTAGGACACGTGACATCCTGGCAACTTTGAGAGAGAAAAAAATATTTTATATTGGTTCTGCCTGTTGTTCACACGCGTGTATCTGTACCTGATCTTGCCTCCTCCCGACTGCTGTTCCAAAATATTTTGGAAAACATGGCGACCGTTTTTTTGAGCTGAAGCGAGAGAAAATCAACTCCCATGTTTGAGTGAGATGTTAGCCATTCGTGTCTCGTATGTTACTCCACTACAATATTATATAACGATACGTTAATACGTACATGCTGTGTTCAGTTTGTCATGTTTAACTGCCGAAAGTATCCACGGTGACGCGCATGCTAAGTCAAATAGGCTAATTCGCTAGCTAGCCATGTAGATTTTACATATTTGTTTTTCGTTTTAGATTTGTTTTTTTTGTATGTTTAACTAGCTGGCTAGCTGAATGAATACCATTTATAATTCCTAGCTTAGATTTGTGAAGTAAAACGTTTTCTAAATCTAGTCATCCTTATATTTGCGTTGCCATTTGACTTGACTGGCAGGAGGTTGAGTGGATACCCAGGGCAGCGGCGAGACCTCTTTGTTAGATAATACATTCCAGTACAAATGTGGAAGCAAACAGGCAGCAACAAGCTATAGCTATAGGAAATACATGGGGAAATTGAGTTTGAAGTTAAAATATGCTTCATAAAAAAATCTATTATTGTTGTCCATGTGCTCATTGCTCATCATTGCTCCAGTGTCTCATACCCCACTCTATTGCCAGCAACATTGCTCTGCAATATTGCCTAAGAAAATGACCAGTGTATCAAGGCCTTTTGTCTCGGAAATCCCAGAGCTATGCTGAAACATTGTTAACATTGTGGGAGGCAAGCTGTCAGCTTAGGGAGATGGAAAAAACATGGGGATGAAATAACTGATTGCTGCACAGTTTAGTTTCCTGTCACTAACCACGTTTCCATCCACAGTTTAGTTTCCTGTCACTAACCACGTTTCCATCCACAGTTTAGTTTCCTGTCACTAACCACGTTTCCATCCACAGTTTAGTTTCCTGTCACTAACCACGTTTCCATCCACAGTTTAGTTTCCTGTCACTAACCACGTTTCCATCCACAGTTTAGTTTCCTGTCACTAACCACGTTTCCATCCACAGTTTAGTTTCCTGTCACTAACCACGTTTCCATCCACAGTTTTTATGCGGGAAGTTTTGTTAACATTTTATAAATGCCTGTGGGAATCGAACCCACAACCCTGGCGTTGCAAACGCCATGCTCTACCAACTGAGCTACATCCCTGCCGGCCATTCCCTCCCCTACCCTGGACGACGCAGGGCCAATTGTGCGCCGCCCCATGGGTCTCCCGGTCGCGGCCGGCTACGACAGAGCCTGGACTCGAACCAGGATCTCTAGTGGCACAGCTAGCACTGCGATGCAGTGCCTTAGACCTCTTAGACTTTTGTGTGCACTACGTTGTCACGCACTGATTTTTTATCTGCAACAAGTCCATTTGGTAGAAACACCACTGTTGGGAAAATGCCTAATATTTAAGAATATTCGCATGAAAATCTGTCACCGATTGGATGGAAACCTAGCTATTGTTGTATAATATGAAACTGCTCATGCGCTTGTGGTCTAGACCTTGTCTTATCAGTCTATGAACATGTATATGTAGGGCCCTATAAAATCTGTGTTGCGGAGAACCGGGTATGTCTCCACTTTGTGTAGCCATTAGTGAAAATGCTAATGATAACCTTCTTCTGGTAGAGATGGAAAGGCTTTTCAAAAAATTAAATGTTATAGCCCAAATACAGTCTTTGACATTTTATTTTTAAATCATCACTGTATGTCTAGTACATTTTATGAAAATAACTCATTTTTGTAAAAATGTATTTCCCTGATCCACCTTTGGCCCTTGAAATGCTCAGTCTGATCGTGTGGGTGTTAGGAAACAAATTTGAAGATATTTTCCATACACAGCCCTGATTAGCTGATTGGATGGTCTAGAGCCCACCCCCTTACCCAGATGAACAGTCATTGGTCTATTGTAATCAGATCACATTGTGACGTCATGATGTGGGCCAAAAGTTCCATCCTGCCTGAACAGGCTGAAATTCCAGGTTTTTTTTCCAAACCGCTCGTACACAAAAAAGGCATCATAATTTTCTAAATTTCAGAGTGTTATTTCTACCTCCCAGTGTAAAAAATAAAGGAAAATCGCATTTTAACTGCACTGCCCCTTTATCTACAATGTAGCTTATGCCTACCTGGCATGATATCATGATAATTTGCATCAATCCAGTTGCCATTTGTTTAGCAAACTCTGCAATCACATGACAATCACCCAACAATCTGAATTTCTAAGATTTTTCCCAGACCTCGAAAGTGGTCTCCTCATGCGGTTTAAGCATTGTGTTGTGGACTTAGAACATCAAATTGTGTTTTCCTATTTAAAAAAAAAAAAAGTGTGATTATTCTTTTTTTCTACGGAAACCTGAAAAAATAGGGGGGGAATCGGGGGGGGAAATATTTAATAGAGCCCTATATACTGTTATTTAGAAGATATTCTATTTGACTTTATTGGGTTCTATCCTATACTCCAGTCTATTGGTCTAGACAGTGTCTCATCACCAGTCTATGGACCAGTGTTATTTGACTAGTGCTGGGCTGTGCTGGCAGAAAGAGAGCTTTGTTCCCCTGCTTCTGTCAGTAGGGATTTAGCCCTCGCACATTCCCACATGGATGGTCATTGGTCCCTGCCCAGGGACAGGGTTGTGTGTCTGTGTGTGCTTGTCAGTGTTTTCTGTATTTGTGTGTCTGTCTGTGTGTGTGTAGACCTGTGTGTCCTGTAGTGTTGTCACGATACCAGAATTTTGACTTCGATACCATGTTTAGTATCACGATACTCGATATCATATTAGCCAAAGTCATAGAATGTCACTCGATCCAAACAGATAAACTCGGCTACTGCTCTGTTCAATCGGTGGGCATCTTTTCAGTTCAATATCATTAGATTTTAAATGTTTTACGTCAAACATGTTCAGAGACAGCCATGTATACATTAAGGAATCAATTAGACAATCAATTTGACTTTTGTTTTAATCTATCTAACTACGTAACATAATCGTAATCATTTATTTGAATGGTAAATCTCTTGATAAACTGGGTAAATTTAAGAAAATATTCACAATACAGGTGAATGCATATTCAAAAGGTTTGTGTGCATGCATTGAGTTATTGAGCTTGATTTTGGCTGTTTTTAATGTGGCTACAGATTGACAAACAATCTGTATCCCTTTCATGTGGCATTTATTTTATTGTAGTCATCAACAACATTTGCATAGAAGTAGCTTATTTTTATAAAAGTGTGCCCTGTCTCTTTAACCAGTAATTACGTCATTTACGGCCTGTCGGAAGCCCTCAGTTCTCTGAGGCAATACATATTTGCCTGAGGGAGAGACGTGAGGGAGACTGATTTTAAGTGAATGAATAAAGTTATGGGTGGCAATCGGCTTTGAAAACAGCATATTTTGCGTTATGGTTTTGCATGTTATCACTGCGCCACTCGGAAGGCCCGTATTACGTTTCTTTTTATAATAAAATAAAAAAAACTCCATACTTCTTGCCGATGACAAGCATACCCATAACATGATGCAGCCACCACCATTCAACTTTTCATTTGTAATTAATTTGTATACATCATTCTGACAACAAACAAAATTCCACGGACATTATGGGGTATTGTGCGTAGGCCAGTGACACAAAATATACATTTAATCCATTTTTAAATTCAGGCTGTAACACAACAAAATGTGGAAAATGTCAAGCGGTGTGAATACTTTCTGAAGGCACTGTAGCCTACAAAGCTGGAATCTACCGGTATCTTTTTTGCATTGTGAAGTTATTCTAGCCTGTGTGGTCATTGTTTTGCGAACAGTGATGAACAGTTTCAATATTTCTTCATGCCGTGTCGCATTATTCAACTAACTGTGTTAACTTCTGTGCATGGTGAGTGGGGAGCTCATATGATTTAGCCCAGTCTTCCAGTGCAGGCTAGCAGTGAGCAAGTGGAGCAGGCAGGGTGGGGAGCTAACATGATGCAGACCAGACTCCCAGTGCAGGCTAGCAGTGAGCAAGTGGAGCAGGCAGGGTGGGGAGCTAACATGATGCAGACCAGACTCCCAGTGCAGGCTAGCAGTGAGCAAGTGGAGCAGGCAGGGTGGGGAGCTAACATGATGCAGACCAGACTCCCAGTGCAGGCTAGCAGTGAGCAAGTGGAGCAGGCAGGGTGGGGAGCTAACATGATGCAGACCAGACTCCAGTGCAGGCTAGCAGTGAGCAAGTGGAGCAGGCAGGGTGGGGAGCTAACATGATGCAGACCAGACTCCCAGTGCAGGCTAGCAGTGAGCAAGTGGAGCAGGCAGGGTGGGGAGCTAACATGATGCAGACCAGACTCCCAGTGCAGGCTAGCAGTGAGCAAGTGGAGCAGGCAGGGTGGGGAGCTAACATGATGCAGACCAGGCTCCCAGTGCAGGCTAGCAGTGAGCAAGTGGAGCAGGCAGGGTGGGGAGCTAACATGATGCAGACCAGACTCCCAGTGCAGGCTAGCAGTGAGCAAGTGGAGCAGGCAGGGTGGGGAGCTAACATGATGCAGACCAGGCTCCCAGTGCAGGCTAGCAGTGAGCAAGTGGAGCAGGCAGGGTGGGGAGCTAACATGATGCAGACCAGACTCCCAGTGCAGGCTAGCAGTGAGCAAGTGGAGCAGGCAGGGTGGGGAGCTAACATGATGCAGACCAGACTCCCAGTGCAGGCTAGCAGTGAGCAAGTGGAGCAGGCAGGGTGGGGAGCTAACATGATGCAGACCAGACTCCCAGTGCAGGCTAGCAGTGAGCAAGTGGAGCAGCAGGGTGGGGAGCTAACATGATGCAGACCAGACTCCCAGTGCAGGCTAGCAGTGAGCAAGTGGAGCAGGCAGGTGGGGAGCTAACATGATGCAGGACCAGACTCCCAGTGCAGGCTAGCAGTGAGCAAGTGAGCAGGCAGGGTGGGGAGCTAACATGATGCAGACCAGACTCCCAGTGCAGGCTAGCAGTGAGCAAGTGGAGCAGGCAGGGTGGGGAGCTAACATGATGCAGACCAGACTCCCAGTGCAGGCTAGCAGTGAGCAAGTGGAGTAGGCAGGGTGGGGAGCTAACATGATGCAGACCAGGACTCCCAGTGCAGGCTAGCAGTGAGCAAGTGGAGCAGGCAGGGTGGGGAGCTAACATGATGCAGACCAGACTCCCAGTGCAGGCTAGCAGTGAGCAAGTGGAGCAGGCAGGGTGGGGAGCTAACATGATGCAGACCAGACTCCCAGTGCAGGCTAGCAGTGAGCAAGTGGAGCAGGCAGGGTGGGGAGCTAACATGATGCAGACCAGACTCCCAGTGCAGGCTAGCAGTGAGCAAGTGGAGCAGGCAGGGTGGGGAGCTAACATGATGCAGACCAGACTCCCAGTGCAGGCTAGCAGTGAGCAAGTGGAGCAGGCAGGGTGGGGAGCTAACATGATGCAGACCAGACTCCCAGTGCAGGCTAGCAGTGAGCAAGTGGAGCAGGCAGGGGTGGGGAGCTAACATGATGCAGACCAGACTCCCAGTGCAGGCTAGCAGTGAGCAAGTGGAGCAGGCAGGGTGGGGAGCTAACATGATGCAGACCAGACTCCCAGTGCAGGCTAGCAGTGAGCAAGTGGAGCAGGCAGGGTGGGGAGCTAACATGATGCAGACCAGACTCCCAGTGCAGGCTAGCAGTGAGCAAGTGGAGCAGGCAGGGTGGGGAGCTAACATGATGCAGACCAGACTCCCAGTGCAGGCTAGCAGTGAGCAAGTGGAGCAGGCAGGGTGGGGAGCTAACATGATGCAGACCAGGCTCCCAGTGCAGGCTAGCAGTGAGCAAGTGGAGCAGGCAGGGTGGGGAGCTAACATGATGCAGACCAGACTCCCAGTGCAGGCTAGCAGTGAGCAAGTGGAGCAGGCAGGGTGGGGAGCTAACATGATGCAGACCAGACTCCCAGTGCAGGCTAGCAGTGAGCAAGTGGAGCAGGCAGGGTGGGGAGCTAACATGATGCAGACCAGACTCCCAGTGCAGGCTAGCAGTGAGCAAGTGGAGCAGGCAGGGTGGGGAGCTAACATGATGCAGACCAGACTCCCAGTGCAGGCTAGCAGTGAGCAAGTGGAGCAGGCAGGGTGGGGAGCTAACATGATGCAGACCAGACTCCCAGTGCAGGCTAGCAGTGAGCAAGTGGAGCAGGCAGGGTGGGGAGCTAACATGATGCAGACCAGACTCCCAGTGCAGGCTAGCAGTGAGCAAGTGGAGCAGGCAGGGTGGGGAGCTAACATGATGCAGACCAGACTCCCAGTGCAGGCTAGCAGTGAGCAAGTGGAGCAGGCAGGGTGGGGAGCTAACATGATGCAGACCAGACTCCCAGTGCAGGCTAGCAGTGAGCAAGTGGAGCAGGCAGGGTGGGGAGCTAACATGATGCAGACCAGACTCCCAGTGCAGGCTAGCAGTGAGCAAGTGGAGCAGGCAGGGTGCGCTCCGTGGCGGACGTCGGCTGCGCTGAAAGACGGACCTGTTTTGATCCTTGAGCCCCATTTTGACAGAAGTGCTGAAAGTAACAAACATTCTAGTACCGAACCGCTTTTCATGTTGTAGTATCAAAGTTTCGGTATACCGTGGAACACTAGAGTCTCTCGTGTGTCTCTGAGTCTGTCTGTTTCTTTTCCGTCTTTGTTATGTCCATGTCTACGTGTGTTCGGTTTCTCTCCTGTCTCTACCGGTCTGTGTCTACCGGTCTGTCTCACTCTGCCCTGTGTCTCCCCCTCTCTCAGTGGAGGACCATAAGGAGGTGCTGTCTCCAGTGAACCCTGAGCTGCGACACAAGGAAGTACAGATGAACTTCTTCAACCAGCTGACCTCTGTGTTCAACCCTGACCTCACCCTGCTGGCCTCTCCCTCAGGACACACACAGGTCAGTGTAACAGGAAGAGCAGACTAGGAACTGTAAGATGGGGATTGACAATCGACCAGACTAGGAGCAATGTGCTTTTGATTATATTCACTTTGCATTTTGAAGGGATAGTTGTATCTTATTTCCGACTTACCGACGGGGTCGTTTCATGTCAATTTGTATTTGCATTTTCACTTCTGAAACACAAAGGGGGGTTTTGTAATTCAGTCTTTTACTGTTGTGCTGCCTGTTCAGGCGGAGAGTGAGAGTGACGACCAGGCCACGACAGACCAGACCTTCCAGGCCAAAATGAAGAATGCCTTCGTGTCCCAGAACGTGTCCAGTCTCCAGGAGCTGGGCGGGTCAGAGAAGTTGCTGCGTGTCTGCCTCAACCTCCCTTACTTCCTGCGCTATATCAACCGGTTCCAGGACGCCGTCTCGGCCAACTCCTTCTTCATCATGCCCGCCACCGTCGGAGACGCAACCGCTGTCCGCAACGGGTGGGTTGTGCGAATTTTGGGGGGAGTGTTTCTGGAATTTTTGGGGATTTGTATTTCTAGAACTTTGCCAACAAACCTACTTGTCTTACCGAACAGATTTCTCTGGTCCTCCAATATATTGCCGCTCTATAGCGATCAATACGTTTGGATGAGTGATTTGTTGTTGTCATAGAACAAATACGTTCAAGTCAGTTGTCTTGTCTATTTATAGTTGGACCGAGACCCATATATGGACCCACTTTGTTGATGTATTAGTGCTCCGAGTTGGTTCTTGTACTTATCATTTAATGCCGTGTCCAGCTGCTGATGTGCATTGGGAGGCAGTATCCCTCTGAGCTCTCTAGCTCTCTCTTTTTGATCTGTCATGTTATTCACGCATCATCATCAATATTTCTGGCTCACTGCCACTGCTTACCTCAGTGTGTTTTTGTGGTGTCGCTGACATTGTGTGTGACCTCTCTGACTTGGTCCCCCCCCCCCTCAGGTTCCACTCCCTGGTGATAGATGTGACCATGGCCCTGGACACCCTGTCCCTGCCCGTCCTGGAGCCACTGACCCCTGGGAGACTGCTGGACATGACTGTCCTGGCCCTCAGCTGTCTCTACGCCGGTACGTTATGGGTTCAGTGTTGGGTTCCATCTCTGGTTTGGACACGGATAGGAGCGTACTGTCCCTTTTTTAATGGCAGAGTATAGTCAAGTCAACTTTTCAAGCTGATAGTGCTGAGCGATTTAGTGCTTTCTGATGTAGTTTCGGTAAGGTTATAAATGGATTATCACGGATTTCTATAATTTTTTTGAACATTAAATGCACTATGCATTAATGTGGGTTGAATGCTGTAACAACACAGAATAAAAATATCAAGAAGTGTCCCATGATGGTAGTGACTGCCCATTACTGCTTATTTTTTTAATTTTACCTTTATTTAACTAGGCAAGTCAGTTAAGAACAAATTCTTATTTACAATGACGGCCTACACCGGCCAAACCCGGACGACGCTGGCCCAATTGTGCGCCGCCCTATGGGACTCCCAATCACAGCCGGTTGTGATACAGCCTGGAATCGAACCAGGGGGTCTGTAGTGACACCTCAAGCGCTGAGATGCAGTGCCTTAGACCGCTGAGAGGCAGTGCCTTAGACCGCTGAGACGCAGTGCCTCAGACCGCTGAGATGCAGTGCCTTAGACCGCTGAGATGCAGGGCCTTAGACCGCTGAGATGCAGTGCCTTAGACCGCTGAGACGCAGTGCCTCAGACCGCTGAGATGCAGTGCCTTAGACCGCTGAGATGCAGTGCCTTAGACCGCTGAGATGCAGTGCCTCAGACCGCTGAGATGCAGTGCCTTAGACCGCTGAGATGCAGTGCCTTAGACCGCTGAGATGCAGTGCCTTAGACCGCTGAGATGCAGTGCCTTAGACCGCTGAGATGCAGTGCCTTAGACCGCTGAGACGCAGTGCCTTAGACCGCTGAGACGCAGTGCCTTAGACCGCTGAGACGCAGTGCCTTAGACCGCTGAGAGGCAGTGCCTTAGACCGCTGAGACGCAGTGCCTCAGACCGCTGAGATGCAGTGCCTTAGACCGCTGAGATGCAGTGCCTTAGACCGCTGAGATGCAGTGCCTTAGACCGCTGAGATGCAGTGCCTTAGACCGCTGAGATGCAGTGCCTTAGACCGCTGAGATGCAGTGCCTTAGACCGCTGAGATGCAGTGCCTTAGACCGCTGAGACGCAGTGCCTTAGACCGCTGAGACGCAGGGCCTTAGACCGCTGAGATGCAGGGCCTTAGACCGCTGAGATGCAGGGCCTTAGACCGCTGAGATGCAGTGCCTTAGACCGCTGAGACGCAGTGCCTTAGACCGCTGAGATGCAGGGCCTTAGACCGCTGAGATGCAGGGCCTTAGACCGCTGAGACGCAGTGCCTTAGACCGCTGCGATGCAGTGCCTTAGACCGCTGAGACGCAGTGCCTTAGACCGCTGAGACGCAGTGCCTTAGACCGCTGAGACGCAGTGCCTTAGACCGCTGAGATGCAGTGCCTTAGACCGCTGAGATGCAGTGCCTTAGACCGCTCCGCTGTTTTATTTGATTACTTTATTATTTAATTCCAAGTCATCTCAACATCACTATTTTAGTAGTTCTTCAAAGTAAATAAGGCATACTTTTATGACTGCTGAATACCAACTATCAATCACTTGTGGTCCTCTGTAGCTCAGCTGGTAGAGCACGGCGCTTGTAACGCGAAGGTAGTGGGTTCGATCCCCGGGACCACCCATACACTAAAAAAATTGTATGCACACATGACTGTAGGTCTCTTTGGATAAAAGCGTCTGCTAAATGGCATATTATTATTATATTATTACTTGGATCATGTATTTTCAGGTAGAGATGCGAAGCAACTGCCCTCTTATTCCTCTCCATCACACGTCTTCCATCTCTTCTGCCCCACGCAGACCGGACACGTAGGCGCAATGAATTATGGTCATTGTAGTTAATTACAACATTTTCTGTGCTGAACAATGTAGATTATCGGCCTGTTGGAAACTACAACTCCCTAATACATCGCACAGTTCGGGCTTGATCTGATTAGTCTCTAGAGAAACTGCGCATTGAGCTGAAAAAATAAACAAATGCTAAATGGGATTCAAGTAATTGAACACACGTCGGTCAATGAGTTGTTTAAAAACCGGAAAATGACCGACATTTCGGATAATCGCTCAGCACTACAAGCTGAAAATCAATATTCTTCTGACTGGGCTTAATCATGAGTTCTGTACAATGATTTTAGTCTGGAAATCATTTATTTAGTGGAAATATGTTTTACTTTGGTTTTGACTTCTCCTGCTCCTACCTCCTAATCATGGTTGCTGCCTCATCATTGACTGACTGTATCTATAATACTAATGCGTGCTCCTCCTCTCCTCCAGGCGTGAGCGTTGCCACGTGCATGGCCATCCTGCAGGTTGGCAGCGGCCTGCAGCTTCGCACAGCCTCCACCGGCTCCAAAGAGGAGGACTATGAAAATGACGCTGCTACCATCGTACAGAAATGTGTAAGTGTATATATATTGAGTGTACAAAATTTTAAGAACACTTTCCTAATATTGGGTTTCAACCCCTTTAGCCCTCAGGACGGCCTCAATTCATTTACATTTACGTCATTTAGCAGACGCTCTTATCCAGAGTGACTTACAAATTGGTGCATTCACCCTATAGCCAGTGGGATAACCACTTTACACATTAAAAAAAAAATTTTTTGGGGGGGTGGGTAGAAGGATTACTTTATCCTATCCCAGGTATTCCTTAAAGAGGTGGGGTTTCAAATGTCTCCGGAAGGTGGTGAGTGACTCCTGGCGTCGTTGGGGGCATGGACTCTACAAGGTGTCGAAAGCGTTCCACAGGGATGCTGGCCCCATGTTGACTCCAATGCTTCCCAAAGTTGTGTCAAGTTGGCTGGTTGTCCTTTGGGTGGTGGACCATTCTTGATACACACAGGAAACTGTTGAGCGTGAAAAACCCAGCAGCATTGCACATTTTTGACACAAACCGGTGCACCTGGCACCTACTACCATACCCCCGTTCAAAGGCACTTACATTTTTTGTCTTGCCCATTCACCCTCTGAATGGACACATACACAATCCATGTCTCAATTGTCTCAAGGTTTAAAAATCCTTCTTTAAACTGTCTCCTCCCCTTCATCTACACTGATTGAAGTGGATTTAACAAGTCACATCAATAAGGGATCATAGCTTCCACCTGGTCAGTCATAGCTTATATATATATATATATATATATATATATATATATATATATATACATATATATACATATATACATATATATACATACATACATACATACATACATACGTACTTACACCACTGGGTGCACCGATGGTATCTGTAGTACTCTGTATCAGCCTGATAAGGGACTCATCTGAAAAAAATGATGGCATCAGTGCACCCCAATCCTCTACTCCAATAAATAGGATATCAGGAAACACATTCTTCTCTCTTGGTTGCTTTTGATTGAGCTAATTTCTCATTGGCTCTGTGTGTTTTTGAAACAGCTGGACATTTATGAAATGATCGGCCAAGCCATCAGCAGCTCTCGCAGAGCTGGAGGAGAGCATTACCAGAACTTCCAGCTGCTGGGCGCGTGGTGTCTTCTGAACAGCCTCTACCTGATACTGAACCTGAGTCCCACAGCCCTGGCCGACAAGGGCAAGGAGAAGGACCCTCTGGCCGCCCTCAGGGTCCGAGACATCGCATCCCGCACCAAGGACGGCGCCGGGTCCCCTAAACTGGGCCCTGCCAAAGGGTGGGTGGCGCTCTTGTAGTTTTTCACCGTTGTTGTGCTGATAAATGGTTAATGGTAAGATTGCGTACAACAATCTCCATGAAATTAACATAAAGTGACAACTAACGATCCTACCTTAAACTGTCTACATTTTCCAAGCAATATATAACTATTTGAGAATATACTTTTATTTTCAAAACTTTGGACCTGAAAGTACCAAAGAAAGACCAATGAAAACGTCTGTTTGCTGTTCCGGTGTTCTCTCGCCTCAGACATCAAGGCTTTGGTGTCCTGTCGGTGATCCTGGCTAACCACGCCATCAAGCTGCTCACCTCCCTGTTCCAAGACCTGCAAGTGGAGGCTCTGCACCGGGTCAGTGCAGTAAGTAACAAACACTCTCTCCACTGCTGCTTATTGGACGGTTACATGGACACAACGTTTCTTATCGAACTGGGACACAAATATTTTGAAAATATGTTCTCAGGCTAACAACCAGATATATATATATATACCCTTTGATAGATTAATGATATATGAAAAATATGATTTATCAATAAAAATCCAGCCCACACCATACATGGATCAATCATTATTTTCATTATTTTCATAATTGATGATGATTCTTATGCTTGAGACCCAGTGAAGCTCCAGCCCTCTGTCTCCCTCTCTCTCTGTCTCCCTCTCTCTCTGTCCCCCTCTCTCTTTGTCCCCACTCTGTCTCTCTCTCTCCCCGTCTCTCTGTCCCCCTCTCTCTGTCCCCCTCTCTGTCTCCCTGTCTCTCTGTCTCCCCTGTCCCTGTCTCCCCTGTCCCTCTCTCCGTCTCCCTCTGTCCCCCTCTCTCTGTCCCCCCCCCTCTCTCCGTCTCCCTCTGTCTCCGTCTCCCTCTGTCCCCCCCCCCTCTCTCCGTCTCCCTCTGTCTCCGTCTCCCTCTGTCCCCCTCTCTCTGTCTCCCTCTGTCCCCCTCGCTCCGTCTCCCTCTGTCCCCCTCGCTCTGTCTCCCTCTGTCCCCCTCTTTCCCTCTCTCTGTCCCCCTCTCTCTGTCCCCCCCTCTCTGTCTCCCCCTCGTCTCCCCTTCTGTACCGCTCTCCCTCCCCCTCTGTTCCCCCTCGTCTCCCCCTCTGTTCCCCCTCGTCTCCCCCTCTGTTCCCCCTCGTCTCCCCCTTCTGTACCGCTCTCCCTCCCCCTCTGTTCCCCCTCCCCTCCTCCCCGTCTGTTCCCCCCCTCCCCCTCTGTTCCCCTCCCTCCCACCCCCCCTCTCTCCCCCTCCTTCCTTCTCCTCTCTCCCTCCCTCTCTCCCCAGGGTTGGGCAAGTGACGGGCCCCCAGCAGAGCTCAACATCATGGCCCAGAGCACCTCCATCCAGAGGGTGCAGAGACTCCTAGACTCTGTTCCCCTTACCAACCTGCTGTTCAACCTGCTCTCCACATCATACAAGAAGGTATTTACCAAAACTGTTTTTAAATTATATATACTGAACAAAATGGTCCCATGTTTTTCCATACGCACAAAAAGCTTATTTCTCTCAAATGTTGTGCACAAATTTGTTTACATCCCTGTTAGTGAGCATTTCTCCTTTGCCAAGATAATCCATCCACTTGACAGGTGTGGTATATCAAGAAGCTGATTAAACAGCATGATCATTACACAGTTGCACCTTGTGCTGGGGACAATAAAAGGCCACTCTAAAGCGTGCAGTTTTGTCTCACAACACAATGCCACAGATGTCTCAAGTTTTCAGGGAGCGTGCAATTGGCACGCTGACTGCAGGAATGTCCACCAGAGCTGTTGCCAGAGAATTTAATGTTCATTTCTCAACCATAAGCCGCCTCCAACATCGTTTTAGAGAATTTGTCAGTATGTCCAACCGGCCTCACAACCGCAGACCACGTGTAACCACGCCAGCCCAGGACCTCCACATCTGGCTTCTTCACCTGCCACCCTGACAGCTGACGAAACTGAGGAGTATTTCTGTCTGTAATAATGGCCTTTCGTGGGGAAATACTCATTCTGATTGGCTGGGCCTGGCTGCCCCGTGGCCCACCCATGGCTCCACCCCTGCCCAGTCATATGAAATACATAGATTAGGTCCTAATGAATTTATTTAAATTGACTGATTTCCTTCTATGAACTGTAACTCAGTAAAAATCTTTGAAATTGTTGAATGTTTTATATGTTTTATATTTTTGTTGAGTATATTAAAAATATATATATTTTGATGTAACAGAGAGGATGACAGTTGGGGAAAATAGAGGTTGTTTCAAAGGGCAGACAGTAGGCCAGATTCACCACCATAGATGTGTGCTGGAGGCTCCAGCATTACCACTAAACCAGCCAGGCCACTACCGTATGGTCTCATCTGGTCCTCATAGGCCTGCCATGCGGGCATCATGTGGTAACCACACTTTTAATCTGGTATAGTCTGTATGTGACATGGAAACCGCTCTTCCTCTATGACACTTGATCTGTGTCTGCATTCTCCTCCAGTAAATAATTATTACAATCTGCCACTCAGTTTTTGACAAATCCTCAATTTCTATCCCTGCTTCTAATACAGCAGGCTTTGAAGGCTTTGAAAAAGGTATAAGCGCCTGGCCTGAATAATGCCTGTCTTGACGTGTTGCACCCCCCCCCCCCCCCTCACCTCCAGGCCTGTGTGCTGCAGCGCCAGAGGAAAGGCTCTGTCAGCAGTGACGCCAGTGCATCCACAGACTCCAACACCTACTATGAAGACGACTTCAGCAGCACAGAGGAGGACAGCAGCCAAGGTACTGCCCTATCCCCTCATCCCTCTCTCTCGCTCGCTCGCTCTCTCTTTCTTTCTCTCTCTCTCTCTCGCTCGCTCGCTCGCTCGCTCGCTCTTTCTCTCTCCCTCTCTCTGTCTCTCGCTCTGTCGCTCTCTCTCTCTGTCTCTCGCTCTCTTTCTCTCTCTCGCTCGCTCGCTCTCTTTCTCTCGCTCTCGCTCTCTCTCGCTCTCTCTCTCTTTCTCTCCACTCCCCCGCGTCACAAAGGACCGCATCACTTCCTTCTCATTTCCTATCACGAGGGCTGAGAGCGCTCCCAAGTCGTCATATACATTGTAAAAACTTTGACGCCAACCACATACATAAATCAGAGATGCTGTGTATTTTAAAGATATTAGGCAGAGAGTAGATGGAAGTGGTCTTGTCTGCCAGATCTGATAACCTTTTTTTGAAAGTGTTCTAGAAGTGTAATGCTGTGTCTGTGTGACAGCTGCTGTGTCTGAAGGTGTGTGTTACCTTTTTTTTTTTGAAAGCTGTTTTTTTTGTGTGTGTTTGTTTTTTTAACTGTGTGTCTGGGCTAGCGTCAGGCCTGAGGAGAGTCAAGAATGTGTTCAGGCAGTTGTTGTGCGCTGCAGGACGTTGTAGAATCACCACAGGGGGAAGTAGCAGTAGCAGCCGCAGCCGCAGGGTAGACACAGCAGGTAGGTCAGTGGAGGCTGGTGTCACTTTTTAAACAGGAGGATGGGCTCACTGTAATGGCCGGAATGGAATAGATGGAACGTTATGAAGTGTGTTACAGTGACCACGTCCTCCGGTATTAAAGGGACACCGGCCTCCACTGGTCAGAAGACGGATGTATGACAACTAGGACAGAATCCCACACCCAACTAGAGTATATGGCTAATAATGATGTATGCCCATTTATCAAACACTTATCCAATGCAACTTACAGGACAGTGAGTGCAGACATTTTTTGTGTACGTGGCCCCAGCGGAAATCAAACCCACGACCTTGGTGTTACTAGCGCCATGCTCTTACCAACTGAGCCACACAGGACCATCTCCACCCACTATAGCAGTGTTATACTCTTACCAACTGAGCCACACAGGACCATCTCCACCCACTATAGCAGTGTTTATATTTCAGCAGCAGAGAGAAGACAGAGGACAGCAAGAACAGCTAATGTTTCAGGTCAGCAGCTAGCTTTCTGTCCCTTAGGTCACACACCGTAGTTTACACCTCGCAGTCTTGGGTTAATTTGCTTACTTTATTGTGTGCATCACAATAAAGTTAGATTTTGGACCGTGGCACCCCCCGCCCAAACGCAGCAGAGGCAGTAGCACCAGATTCCTAGAAATACAGAGTTCTGAAAGAGATTTTATAATTTTTGATGGGTTCTATGTTGGCATCAAAAGTTCCAAGACAATAGTTGGAACACAAATTAGATTGTCGTGAACGTTTTGCTGCCTACACAATCTCTGTATTTCTTTTGTCTCTGAGTAGCGCTGAATGTAAGCCTCACAAGCCAATATCCTAAATATGGCATAAAATACTTTTATCATACCCCCTTTGACGCATGCAATGATATGCATTTTTAATCTCAGCTTCAGTTGATGAGTGGTTTTACTTGCGATCACTTGTCATGGCATGTGTGACAGCAGACCAATTGCACCAAAGGAATTTTAACATTGTTCTGACCTTGTGAAAGGTTATGACAGTGTGATGAAGGCTAAATATAGCGTTATGATGGCTAAATGTAGCCTGGTGTTATGAGACTATATTGTTATGAAGGCTAAATGGCTGCGTTTACACAGGCAGCCCAATTCTGATCTTTTGTCCAATAATTGGTATTTTGACCAATCACATCAGGTCTTTTCACATCAGGTCTTTTTCAGAGATTATATGATTGGTCAAAAGAACAATTAGTGGAAAGAAATATCAGAATTGGGCTGACTGTGAAAACACAGCCAATGTAATCTTATGAAGGCTAAATTTAGCCTAGTGTTATGAATGCTAAATGTAGTCTTGCAAAGACTAATGTAATGTTATGAAGGATCAATGTAGTGTTATGAAGGCTAAATGTAGTGTTATGCACTGCAAAAAATGTAAATCTTACCTCGATGTTTTTAGTATTGTATTGAGATGAAGTTAAAATGACTTGTTCTGAGTTGATTTTTCTCACCCAGAAAATGCATCAAGATAGTTTGTCTTGTTTTAAGATATTCTGACTTGTTTCAAACCTTTAAAGTTAAAGTATTATCTGCCAGTGCACTAAGATAATTTGCCTTGGTAAGACGTCAAGTCAATGCATTCTAATGGTAAGAGATATCTAGGTAAGATCAAATTTTTTTGCAGTGTTATGAAGGCTAAATGTAGTGTTATGAAGGCTAAATGTAGTGTTTCAAATACTAATTTAATGCAATGTTATGAAGGCTAAACGAGAGAGCTGGCTTAGGACATGCCTATAGATGCCATAGGATGATGTCAGTGCTTTGGATAGATGGCATGGTAGAACTCAACCCTGAGACATGGCCGTCTATGTATAACCCTGTGTCCTACCCGTCCTGATCCAGATGACGACAGCGAGCCCATTTTGGGCCTGTGGTTCGAGGAGACCATCTCCCCAACCAAAGACAAGGTGGCCCCCCCACCTCCTCCCCCACCCCCGCCCCTGGAGACCTCTCCCAGACTGAAGAGCCCCTCCAAGCAGAACGCAGGAGAGAACGGAAACATCCTGTCCGGACGCAAGGACCCCGAGCTGGTGAGGCGTTGTGGTGTTAGGACACACAACACAGACTTTAAAATTAAACAATATAGCTATCGGCATTGGCTGTGGTCCGGTTCTGTACCCTTCTCCCAATGTGTCCACGTTACACCCCCTTCATAGTTTTAACAGTAATGGGCTGGTGGAAGGAATATGGTGGAAACTCCCTCCAGCTATGCTTGCCTCCAATTCATGAAGTGGAATGAAAGAGTGCAATCCTCTGGGGTGAAGGGGAAGAGAATTGGAAACTATGCTACAGGCCTGTGCGTATTACTGTTAGATATTTATTTATGAATTGACGTTTCAGTTCCTGAGCCTGGCCTCCAGCATCCTGAACTTCATCACCACTTCCATGTTGAAGTCCAGGAACAACTTCATCAGGAACTACCTGTCAGTCTCCCTGACAGAACAACACATGGCCTCGCTGGCCAGCATCATCAAGGACGTCGACAAAGACGTCAAAGGTGGGTCGGAAATAAAAATATACAAGTACCATTTTATTATTATCATCATACGTGCATTTAGTAAATGCTCTCTCTCTCTCTCGCTCCGAGTCTCTCAGTCCCTGAAGTATTTCAATTCAATTTAAACTATTGACGCCCTTGGATGGAAAGTGCGGAGATCATCCTTTCATTACATTTTTCAATGCAAATCAGGTGTTATAACTGTCTCGAATGTGTCTTTTTAAAAATAAATTCATAACATCGTCCCCCTCAGGTGCGTCAGATGAAGAGTTTGCCTCTGCGCTGTATTTCTTCAACCACACCCTGGTGACGTCAGACCTGCCCTCTCCAGCCCTGCAGGTAAGGACGGGGAACCTCGTTTGTAATGCATTCATTTCACTTTCATTATCTAATTACAAATGCCTCGAGTCCTGTCACTACTAATAACCTAGACTGAAATATACTTTTTAATGTTTTTGCATACTGCACCTTTTTAAGAACTTTAATTCGAACACACATACTCAGAGGGAAGGTAACAGATGTACACTACCGGTCAAATGTTTTAGAACACCTACTCATTCAAGTGTTTTTCTTAATTTTTTTACTATTTTCTACATTGTAAAATAATAGTGAAGACATCAACTATGAAATAACACATATGGAATCATGTAGTAACCAAAAAAAAGTGTTAAACAAATCAAAATATATTTTATATTTGAGATTCTTCAAATAGCCACCCTTTGCCTTGATGACAGCTTTGCACACTCTTGGCATTCTCTCAACCAGCTTCACCTGGAATGCTTTTCCAACAGTCTTGAAGGAGTTCCCACATATGCTGAGAACTTGTTGGCTGCTTTTCCTTCACTCTGCCGTCCGACTCATCCCAAACCATCTAAATTTGGTTGAGGTCGGGTGATTGTGGAGTCCAGGTCATCTGATGCAGCACTCCATCACTCTCCTTGGTAAAATAGCCATTACACAGCCTGGAGGTGTGTTGGGTCATTGTCCTGTTGAAAAACAAATCATAGTCCCATTAAGCCCAAACTAGATGGGATGGCGTATCGCTGCAGAATGTTGTGGTAGCCATGCTGGTTAAGTGTGCCTTGAATTCTAAATAAATCAGACAGCGTCACCAGCAAAGCACCCCCACACCATAACACCTCCTCCTCCATGCTTTACGGTGGGAAATACACATGCGGAGATCATCTGTTCACCCACACCACATCTCACAAAGACACGGCGGTTGGAACCAAAAATCTCCAATTTGGACTCCAGACTAAAGGACACATTTCCACCGGTCTAATGTCCATTGTTCGTGTTTCTTGGCCCAAGCAAGTCTCTTCTTCTTATTGGTGTCCTTTAGTAGTGGTTTCTTTGCAGCAATTCGACCATGAAGGCCTGATTCACACAGTCTCTGAACAGTTGATGGTGTCTGTTACTTGAACTCTGTGAAGCATTTATTTGGGCTGCAATTTCTGAGGCTGGTAACTCTAATGAATTTATCCTCTGCAGCAGAGGTAACTCTGGGTCTTCCATTCCTGTGGCGGTCCTCATGAGAGCCAGTTTCATCATAGTGCTTGATGGTTTTAGCGACTGCACTTGAAGAAACTTTCTTGAAATGTTCCGTATTGACTGACCTTCATGTCTTAAAGTAATGATGGACTGTCATTTCTCTTTGCTTATTTGAGCTGTTCTTGCCATAATATGGACTTGGTATTTTACCAAATAGGGCTATCTTCTGTATACCCCCCCCCTACCTTGTCACAACACAACTGATTGGCTCAAACGCATTAAGAAGGAAATAAATTCCACAAATTAACTTTTAAGAAGGCACACCTGTTAATTGAAATGCATTCCAGGTGACTACCTCATGAAGCTGGTTGAGAGAATACCAAGAGTGTGCAAAGCTGTCATCAAGGCAAAGGGTGGCTATTTGAAGAATCTCAAATATAAAATATATTTTGATTTGTTTAACACTTTTTTTTGGTTACTACGTGATTCCATATGTGTTATTTCATAGTTTTGATGTCTTCACTATTATTCTACAATGTAGAAAATAGTAAAAAGAAAAGAAAAACCCTTGAATGAGTAGGTGTTCTAAAACCTTTGACCGGTAGTGTACTCAGAGGGAAGGTAACAGACTCGCGTGTTTTTGCACAGTAGCTGCTGTTAGTCTGACTTAAGTCTTATTCGTCTTTCCCAGAACACCCTGCTGCAGCAGTTGGGCGTAGCTCCGTTCTCTGACGGCCCGTGGCCCCTGTACATCAACCCCCAGTCCCTGTCGGTGCTCTCCAGAGTCCTGCTCATCTGGCAGCACAAGGCCTCTCTGCAGGGAGACCCAGACGTACCTGAGTGTATGACGATCTGGGAGAGGTAAGGCCACAAAATTCAATAAAACACTTTTGATATTATATTGTAAGTGAAGTTTCCCAACAAGAAACCAAAAATCGTCGCTCAAACAGAAGGGAGAACTAACAGAGTCACTGAGAACAACCAAAACGAAACTGGTAGGGTTTTCGAAGTGGTTCTCAAATACCTCACTGAAAGTGGCAAAGCAACAAGAAATATATGTCCGAAAAGGCAATCAAAAATAAAAACCCACACCACCTTTTAATATGGAGTATAATATAATAATATAATATGCCATTTAGCAGACGCTTTTATCCAAAGCGACTTACAGTCATGCGTGCATACATTATTTTGTGTGTATGTAAACCAAACAGGAAGACCGAATAAAAGGTTTACATTTAGATTTTAGTCATTTAGCAGACGCTCTTATCCAGAGCGACTTACAGGAGCAATAAGGGGTTAAGTGCCTTGCTCAAGGGCACATCGACAGATTTTTTCACCTAGTCGGCTCGTGGGATTAGAACCTGCGACCTTTCGGTTACTGGCACAACGCTCTTAACCACTGAGCTACCTGCCGCCCTTAGACTAAAAGGTTTTGATTCTCACATATTTAAACAGCTCTCTAGCTCTTCCAGCATCTCTCAACTGGAACACTGCGCCAGCACGGGTGGAACTAACGAGGCGGCATCCTGACCAATGAGGATGATTCCAATCAGGGCAAGCCTGTCCCAAACAGAACCAACCTCAAAATCGAAAACTAAATCGAGCAAAACCCCTAAAGCCTATAACACTACTATATTGTATATTTACATTTTTAGTCATTTAGCAGACGCTCTTATCCAGAGCGACTTACAGGAGCAATAAGGGGTTAAGTGCCTTGCTCAAGGGCACATCGACAGATTTTTCACCTATGGGTGTAAAGGTCCGGGAGAGGGTTTTCAATCATTCAGATTTAATTTAGATTGTTCAGGTTCACCATAAGAAATCGTTTTGGTTTAAACAGTCAGTGTATTTGGTCATTTTTACATGAGCAGGGTAATTTCATAAAGGACAGCAACCATATATATTTTTTTGCATTCATTGGTCTGAGCGGGAGAAGATCTGTACAATTCTGCACGATGACCAGTTAGTCAGTGGCTGATGGAGATTCCAGATAAAATGACCCGTTAGTCAGTGGCTGATGGAGATTCCAGATAAAATGACCAGTTAGTCAGTGGCTGATGGAGATTCCAGATAAAATGACCAGTTAGTCAGTGGCTGATGGAGATTCCAGATAAAATGACCAGTTAGTCAGTGGCTGATGGAGATTCCAGATAAAATGACCAGTTTAGTCAGTGGCTGATGGAGATTCCAGATAAAATGACCAGTTAGTCAGTGGCTGATGGAGATTCCAGATAAAATGACCAGTTAGTCAGTGGCTGATGGAGATTCCAGATAAAATGACCAGTTAGTCAGTGGCTGATGGAGATTCCAGATAAAATGACCAGTTAGTCAGTGGCTGATGGAGATTCCAGATAAAATGACCAGTTAGTCAGTGGCTGATGGAGATTCCAGATAAAATGACCAGTTAGTCAGTGGCTGATGGAGATTCCAGATAAAATGACCAGTTAGTCAGTGGCTGATGGAGATTCCAGATAAAATGACCAGTTAGTCAGTGGCTGATGGAGATTCCAGATAAAATGACCAGTTAGTCAGTGGGTGATGGAGATTCCAGATAAAATGACCCGTTAGTCAGTGGCTGATGGAGATTCCAGATAAAATGACCAGTTAGTCAGTGGCTGATGGAGATTCCAGATAAAATGACCAGTTAGTCAGTGGCTGATGGAGATTCCAGATAAAATGACCAGTTAGTCAGTGGCTGATGGAGATTCCAGATAAAATGACCAGTTAGTCAGTGGCTGATGGAGATTCCAGATAAAATGACCAGTTAGTCAGTGGCTGATGGAGATTCCAGATAAAATGACCAGTTAGTCAGTGGCTGATGGAGATTCCAGATAAAATGACCAGTTAGTCAGTGGCTGATGGAGATTCCAGATAAAATGACCAGTTAGTCAGTGGCTGATGGAGATTCCAGATAAAATGACCAGTTAGTCAGTGGCTGATGGAGATTCCAGATAAAATGACCAGTTAGTCAGTGGCTGATGGAGATTCCAGATAAAATGACCAGTTAGTCAGTGGCTGATGGAGATTCCAGATAAAATGACCAGTTAGTCAGTGGCTGATGGAGATTGCAGATAAAATGACCAGTTAGTCAGTGGGTGATGGAGATTCCAGATAAAATGACCAGTTAGTCAGTGGCTGATGGAGATTTCAGATAAAATGACCAGTTAGTCAGTGGCTGATGGAGATTGCAGATAAAATGACCAGTTAGTCAGTGGCTGATGGAGATTCCAGATAAAATGACCAGTTAGTCAGTGGCTGATGGAGATTCCAGATAAAATGACCCGTTAGTCAGTGGCTGATGGAGATTCCAGATAAAATGACCCGTTAGTCAGTGGGTGATGGAGATTCCAGATAAAATGACCAGTTAGTCAGTGGGTGATGGAGATTTCAGATAAAATGACCAGTTAGTCAGCCGCTCAGCTTCAGCTTAGAAAAGTCGTTCCATCAACAGCCGATTTTTATAAATTTTAAATGGATAATGAATGTGTTCATGCAAAGAATGTTAGCGCTTCGAACCGAATCGCATCAATTCGTTCCCCTAATCAAACCGAATTGAATCAATTCGTTCCCCTAATCAAACCGAATCGCACCGCATTGTTTCAAAGTAAAACGTATCGTATCGGAGCCCATGTATCTAGATGCGTATTGAATCGTTCATGAAAGGAGAGATGCACATCCCTAATACTAACGATGCTCTGGGAGAGATGAGTTTCACATCACATTTATTGGGTTAGTTAGTAGTGATACTAATGAGTTATGATGGTCTGGGAGAGATATGGCAGCCAGGGCAGCAGTTTCACACATACAGTGAGGGAAAAAAAGTATTTGATCCCCTGCTGATTTTGTATGTTTGCCCACTGACAAAGAAATGATCAGTCTATAATTTTACTGGTAGGTTTATTTGAATAGTGAGAGACAGAATAACAACAAAAAAATCCAGAAAAATGCATGTCAAAAATGTTATAAATTGATTTGCATTTTAATGAGGGAAATAAGTATTTGACCCCTCTGCAAAACATGACTCAGTACTTGGTGGCAAAACCCTTGTTGGCAATCAGAGGTCAGACGTTTCTTGTAGTTGGCCAACAGGTTTGCACACATCTCAGGAGGGATTTTGTCCCACTCCTCTTTGCAGATCTTCTCCAAGTCATTAAGGTTTCGAGGCTGACGTTTGGCAACTCGAACCTTCAGCTCCCTCCACAGATTTTCTATGGGATTAAGGTCTGGAGACTGGCTAGGCCACTCCAGGACCTTAATGTGCTTCTTCTTGAGCCACTCCTTTGTTTCCTTGGCCGTGTGTTTTGGGTCATTGTCATGCTGGAATACCCATCCACGACCCATTTTCAATGCCCTGGCTGAGGGAAGGAGGTTCTCACCCAAGATTTGACGGTACATGGCCCCGTCCATCGTCCCTTTGATGCGGTGAAGTTGTCCTGTCCCCTTAGCAGAAAAACACCCCCAAAGCATAATGTTTCCACCTCCATGTTTGACGGTGGGGATGGTGTTCTTGGGGTCATAGGCAGCATTCCTCCTCCTCCAAACACGGCGAGTTGAGTTGATGCCAAAGAGCTCCATTTTGGTCTCATCTGACCACAACACTTTCACCCAGTTCTCCCCTGAATCATTCAGATGTTCATTGGCAAACTTCAGACGGGCATGTATATGTGCTTTCTTGAGCAGGGGGACCTTGCGGGCGCTGCAGGATTTCAGTCCTTCACGGCGTAGTGTGTTACCAATTGTTTTCTTCGTGACTATGGTCCCAGCTGCCTTGAGATCATTGACAAGATCCTCCTGTGTAGTTCTGGGCTGATTCCTCACCGTTCTCATGATCATTGCAACTCCACGAGGTGAGATCTTGCATGGAGCCCCAGGCCGAGGGAGATTGACAGTTATTTTGTGTTTCTTCCATTTGCGAATAATCGCACCAACTGTTGTCACCTTCTCACCAAGCTGCTTGGCGATGGTCTTGTAGCCCATTCCAGCCTTGTGTAGGTCTACAATCTTGTCCCTGACGTCCTTGGAGAGCTCTTTGATCTTGGCCATGATGGAGAGTTTGGAATCTGATTGATTGATTGCTTCTGTGGACCGGTGTCTTTTATACAGGTAACAAGCTGAGATTAGGAGCACTCCCTTTCAGAGTGTGCTCCTAATCTCAGCTCGTTACCTGTATAAAAGACACCTGGGAGCCAGAAATCTTTCTGATTGAGAGGGAGTCAAATACTTATTTCCCTCATTAAAATGCAAATAAATTTATAACATTTTTGACATGCGTTTTTCTGGATTTTTTTGTTGTTATTCTGTCTCTCACTGTTAAAATAAACCTACCATTAAAATGATAGACTGATAATTTCTTTGTCAGTGGACAAACGTACAAAATCAGCAGGGGATCAAATACTTTTTTCCCTCACTGTACATATTCACATGTTTATATACGTTGTTATATACATTATAAAAGTTATTTGGTGCCAGAATCTGGCATAGCGATAACATTCCCGACTTCGGACCACAAATGCCCCCTGGCAACGGGGGTCAGCCGAATGTCTGTGTGCTAGTGATGCGCTGGGGTTGACTCAACTCGCATCGCAGTCCCAGCGGTTATATCCGTGGGGCGGGAGGGTCATTTAAAATATTGTTTGGCGTGCGGGCGGGTTGACTAAAGAGAAAACAATGCTTTAAAAATCCATAAACTTAGAATTCTTGTGCAGTTAATGTCTGTAGGCTACATTTAGGTTTTTCTTTCATTATGTTTTATCTGCCGTTAGTGCGTAAGCTTTAGGGCCTAACTGTACGGGCCAAATACACGCCAAATGCTTTTGGGAACTTGTGCAGAAAAAGTTAACGTCGATCCACCAAAGCAAAAAGGACAATGTCAGAGTTGAATTCAATAAGAGAAAAGCTGCGAAGTGGAGAGTTGAAAGCAGAGAGAGGGGAGGTCCGGAACAGTAGTCTAATGTTGGGGAAGGATTTGTCGATTTTGGTTAAAAGAGGATGGTAGCATTGATGCGCGATTAATTGTGAGGCGCTATACACATTTGACAGTCAAAAGACGAGCAAATATGGCATGTCAAGGGAACTGGAGCCTACTGGTCAGATAGATAGCCTAACTGAAATCTGGAAACTGACTGTAGGTCTGTAACCTCTCACATAGCCTTAATATTGACTCCTGCAGAATTAAGCATTTCTTGCAGAAACTGTATGCACCAAATGTACATTTTAACTCGGGAAAAGGAGTGGAGAGAAATTATTTATTTATTTATTTATTTATTTATTTCAGCATCTTGAGAGAATGAATGCGCGGTTAGGGACCGTCTGTAAATGTTGCTATCTTCACCAGCGTCATTAAAAGCTGATGGTATTTCAACCAGCAAATATCCATCCAAGCCAAACTGAATTCTTATCAGAAACATGTTGGGTCGTTTTTCACTGCTTTTAATCTCCTTAAAAACCGGTCAAACAGATTTTCACTTTATCACATACACTGAGTATACAAACATTACGAACATTTTTCATAAGACTGGCCAGGTGAATGTAGGCGAAAGCTATGATCCCTTATTGATGTCACTTGTTAAATCCACTTCAATCAGTGTAGATGAAGGGGAGGAGACGGGTTAAAGAAGGATTTTTAAGCCTTGAGACATGGATTGTGTATGTGTGCCATTCAGAGGGTGAATGGGCAAGACAAAAGATTGAAGTGCCTTTGAATGGGGTATGGTAGTAGGTGCCAGACGCACCGGTTTGTGTCAAGAACTACAACGCTGCTGGGTTTTTCATGCTTAACAGTTTCCCGTGTGTATCAAGAATGGTCCACCACCCAAAGGACATCCAGCAAACTTGACACAACCGTGGGAAGCATTGGAGTCAACACGGGGCCAGCATCCCTGTGGAACGCTTTCGTCACCTTGTAGAGTCCATGCCCCCAACGAATTGAGGCTGTTCTGAGGGCAAAAAGGGGTTGAAACTCAATATTAGGAAGGTGTTCCTAATGTTTTGGTATACTGCGGATGGGTTATTCGCAATTGCAGGCGGGTATGGGTGAACAAACAGCTGACCTACGCATCACTACTGCGCGCGTCTTACCTACTCGTTTCTAACTGGCCTGTCTCGGGGGGGAAAAAACTATAAAAATACTGAAGGGATGTTCAGAACTCTGATCTCCTTTTTAAAATAAATTATGTTTACTCAAGGTTTCTCTCTCTCTCTACTGTCTCTCTTCCCCCCTCTAGGTTTGTGGGTACCTTGAAGCAGCACGCCTTCCAGGGTTCTGTCCCCGGTGACGAGGACCTAAACGTGGAGCACCTCCAACTCCTGCTGCTCCTCTTCCACAACCTGTCTGAGCGGGGGAGGCGCGCCGTGCTCACCCTGGTCACCCAGGCCATCACAGAGGTATTTAACTGCTCTTTAACTGTGTTGTCTTTTGTATTGTCTTACCAAGGCTTGGACTCGCGTCACAACGATCACGACTTCTGACTCCACCAGTGGTGACTCAGACTTGGACTAGGGTCACAACGATCACGACTTCTGACTCCACCAGTGGTGACTCAGACTTGGACTAGGGTCACAACGATCACGACTTCTGACTCCACCAGTGGTGACTCAGACTTGGACTCGCGTCACAACGATCACGACTTCTGACTCCACCAGTGGTGACTCGGACTTGGACTCGCGTCACAACGATCACGACTTCTGACTCCACCAGTGGTGACTCAGACTTGGTCTTGATCAGTACTGACTTTGTTGTCAGAAAGTCTCTATCCCATAATGCAACATGCTAGCTACAACAGCAAATGTTAGATTGGGGCAATTCCCACGGTAACATTATGATGCTGAGACTACGATTTTTCACTTTAAAAACCAAAACCAATGATCGCAAAGTCAAACAAACCATACAACCCTATGCATGCACAAGCACGACTTAACAATTTCCACAGAAAAGTTTACAAAAACACATTTACTTGAAGAACAGTGCAGATGAAAAGTTTGTTAACAGATTGACGGCACAAACCGCCATTCTGTTACCAAACTCTACATCTGCACGGTTCTTCAAGTGAACGTTATCTTGAGTCACGGCATCATTCTGTTACTGTGGAATTTCCCATAGCTGCTGTAATTAGCTAGCTACCCTTACGAATGTTCCAACACAGCAAGCTAGCAAGCTTTCTCGTATGACAAACCAATAAGATGGCGCCGACGGACATGGCAGCTGTGCTTCTAGCTCCTAAGCAATAATTACAAGCATTTTCGCTACGCCCGCAATAACATCTGCTAAATATGTGACCAATAGCATTTTATTTGATTAATAAAGTCCAATCTCCTGTCCTCTCAGGTGGCGGGTCCCCTCCACCAGGAGGCCCAGCTCAGAGCCGTACCCCTTAACCTGTCCCGAATGCTGCTGGTGCTAGACTACCTGCTCCATCAGTACTCCAAGGTCCCCATGTACCTCTTCCAACAGGTAGGTTGAACGGCCGCTCAGTCCTTTTTTTTGTGTTGGGTTGCAGTTTTTAGAATTGGTAGAAATTGTGTCGTGACCAGCATGGTTTTTATTTAAACTCTCTTGAGTCAATTTACGCGGCCCAGTTGAAATCGAATTAGCGTGATACTAAAATCCCCATAAAAAAATCTGTCTTGTTTAAACCCCATATCTGGAGTTTTGTTGTCCAGCAACATTTCACTTTATGGCTGCAGTGCACTTTTTGCAGTAGGTCGTTGGGCGGAAGAGGCAGACCTCCTAACACAGTGAACTGACTATCTCATCTATTGCTTGCAGGTCCAGTACAATCTACTGACCCCACCGTGGTCAGGCCAGGGTTCAGTCCAGGACGGGTCCAAACGCAGCGCCCTTCCCCTCTACTGCGGCTTTAAAGAGGTGGAGGAGAACTGGTCCAAGCACTGCTCGGCAGGTAGGAGTAAGTCAAGGACTTCCTGTTTTAGTTTTTTTTTTAAAGGGGAGTACCCCATCCGTAGATTTTTACATTTTAGTCATTTTAGCAGACGCTCTTATCCAGAGCGACTTACAGTTAGCGAGTGCATATATTTTTCATACTGGCCCCCCCGTGGGAAACGAACCCACAACCCCTGGCGTTGCAAGCGCCACGCACTACCAACTGAGCTACAGGGGACTAGATCTGGGCGGTATGGACAAAAATCTATATCACCATAAATTGACTGAATTATCATGATAACAATAAATTGAACAATACGTTTATAACATTAATGTGCATCAGTTACTTTTTTTTATATTGTCCTTTAAAGCTACTACTACTTTGAATGTTATTAGTTGTCCTGTTAGCAATATCCCATATTACATTTCAAACTTCACATTCTTCTAGTAAAGGCTACTTGTCGTTGTTATCGAATATAAGTAAAAAGTCCTCAATATATATTTTGTTTGGTTGGTATCGAACATTTTCGTTTTATTCTCCCAGCTTTTAACCGTCTGTATCAGTTCTAGCATTAAACAAGTATTTACTTGTCACCTTCAAGATGGTGCTATTTTTTTCACACATGCTAATTTAACGGCTGAGTGCAGAATTACAAAAACCTTTTGTAGCTGATTGGGGTGTAACCCAGTTTATAATGCATGTTGTCCTCTGTTAGATTCCACAGTAGTGCAGCCCAAATTCTACTGCGTTCTGTCACCCGAAGCATCAGAGGACGACCGAAGCCGACTCGACAGCAAGGTGAAGCTACACGTCAAACCAACCACAAACTGTGGATTTATTAGCCCACTTTCTAATCTCCTCTCTTTTAACTTCTAGGATAAAAAATAAAAGACATAACCCATTATAAGCCTTGTAATAAAACATGATCTAGTCTCATACGTGCTCATAACAACTAATGAAGCGTTAAAGAAACCTGAAGGATATGAGTTAAAGTGCCATGTTTTATTTTGGTCCAGGTTTTCCAGAAGCTGTCCAACGGAGCGGTGAAGTATAATGAGCTTTACGCCTGTCTGGTCTCCCTGCTGTCTGCCGGCTCGCAGTTTGACACAGCCAGGAGACAGGAAAACAAACCCATCACACCTATGGTGAGGAAGGAAGCACGCGCACACAACGCTGTTGTTTCCCTACGTCCTCACAAGTATAGTTATGGAAACACACACGATCATCCTGGAACTAACGCTAGTATGTCGCTTGCGTTCCCAGGAGGCGTGCTCCCTGCAGTACTACTTCCTGGTGCTGTGGAGGATCCTGGGGGTCCTGCCCCCCTCTAAGGCCTACGTGGAGCAGCTGAAGGAGGGCCTAGGAGAACCCAGCGAGAGTGACATCCTCCACACCCTGCGCTGGTCCTCACGACTCAGAGTCACCACATACGTCAACTGGATCAAGGTCTGTGGCCCTCAGTCAGTCAGCCAGTCAGTTAGTTAGTTAGTTGGTCAGCCAGTCAGTTAGTTAGTTGGTCAGCCAGTCAGTTAGTTAGTTGGTCAGCCAGTCAGTTAGTTAGTGGGTCAGTCAGCCAGTCAGTTAGTCAGTTAGTAGGTCAGTCAGTTAGTAGGTCAGTCAGTTAGTTAGTTAGTAGGTCAGTCGTTAGTTAGTTAGTAGGTCAGCAGTCAGTTAGTAGGTCAGTCAGTAGTAGTCAGTCAGTTAGTTAGTTAGTAGGGTCAGTCAGCCAGTCAGGCAGTTAGTTAGTAGGTCAGTCAATCAGTTAGTAGGTCAGTTATTAGTAGGTCAGTCAGTCAGTTAGTTAGTAGGTCAGTCAATCAGTTAGTAGGTCAGTTAGTTAGTAGGTCAGTCAGTCAGTCAGTTAGTTAGTTAGTTAGTTAGTTAGTAGGTCAGCCTGTCAGTTAGTCAGTTAGTAGGTCAGTCAGTTAGTAGGTCAGTCAGTTAGTTAGTAGGTCAGCCAGTCAGTTAGTAGGTCAGTCAGTTAGTAGGTCAGTCAGTTAGTAGGTCAGTCAGTTAGTTAGTTAGTAGGTCAGTCAGCCAGTCAGTCAGTTAGTTAGTAGGTCAGTCAATCAGTTAGTAGGTCAGTCAGTTAGTATGTCAGTCAGTCAGTTAGTTAGTTAGTAGGTCAGTCAGCCAGTCAGTCAGTTAGTTAGTAAGTCAGTCAGTCAGTTAGTTAGTAGGTCAGTCAGTCAGTTAGTTAGTAGGTCAGTCAGTTAGTTAGTTAGTAGGTCAGCCAGTCAGTTAGTTAGTTAGTTAGTTAGTTAGTTAGTAGGCCAGTCAGTTAGGTCAGTCAGTGAGTTAGTTAGTAGGTTAGCCAGCCAGTCAGTCAGTTAGTTAGTAGGTCAGTCAGTGAGTTAGTTATTAGGTTAGCCAGCCAGTCAGTCAGTTAGCCCCCTCAGACAAGCTACTGCCCTGTTTTTTTTCTTCAATATCTTAGCAGCTGTTGTCTTCTTATGTAATAAATAAAACCATAGGTAGCTATTCATGTTTTGTAACTATATTTGATATGATTTCAACCATTTGGATTCCCATCTAAGCCCTTGTGGATTGATAAACCACCTGTTGGATTAAACTGAAATGGAAAAACTCTGACTGTTAAAAATTGTTTCTGCTTCTCAATTCTTCTGTTTTCTCTCCTCAATCTCAGGAGCACCTGGTGACTCAGGGGATGAAGACAGACCAAGCTACGGATCTGATCGAGGCGGCTTCCTCCAAGTGCAGCACCGTCAAGTACGACGTGGAGCTGGCCGAAGAGTACATAGCTAGACAGGTGGGTGTGAGATGGGGCCGGGACGATACCAGTGTCATGGTACTCGTTTAGTATCGTGGCAAGGAAACAAAACACGATGCAGATTCAACTTCTTTAGGACAACAAACCTCATTATGTTGTAATCCAGAGTCACATTGATTTATTTTCCAAGCTATAGCACACAATGTTTTACATACAGGTAGCTTAGTGGTTAAGAGCGTTGTGCCAGTAACCGAAAGGTCGCTGGTTCTAATCCCCGAACCGACTAGGTGAAAAATCTGTCGATGTGCCCTTGAGCAAGGCACTTAACCCTAATTGCTCCTGTAAGTCGCTCTGGATAAGAGCGTCTGCTAAATGACTAATTATTTATTATTTTATTTTATTTTATTTTTGCCATGGAAAACATATTGCGATACTGTTATCCTTCCAGCCCTAGTGTGAGAATGTTTGAACATATACAGTTGAAGTCGGAAGTATACAAACTCTTAGGTTGGAGTCATTAAAACGTGTTTTTCAACCACTCCATAAATGTCTTGTTAACAAACTATAGTTTTGGCAAGTCGGTTAGGACCTCTACTTTGTGCATGACACAGGTAATTTTTCCAGCAATTGTTTACAGACAGATTATTTCACTAATAATTCACTGTATCACAATTCCAGTGGGTCAGAAGTTTACATACACTAAGTTGACTGTGCCTTTAAACAGCTTGGAAAATTCCAGAAAATGATGTCATGGTTTTAGAAGCTTCTGATAGGCTAATTGATATCATTTGAGTCAATTGGAGGTATAGCTCTGTGGATGTATTTCAAGGCCTACCTTCAAACTCAGTGCCTCTTTGCTTGACATCATGGGAAAATCAAAAGAAATCAGCTAAGACTTCAGAAAAAAATGGTAGACCTCCACAAGTCTGGTTCATCCTTGGGAGCAATTTCCAAACGCCTGAAGGTACCACGTTCATCTGTACAAACAATAGTACGCAAGTATAAACACCATGGGACCACGCAGCCATCATACCACTCAGGAAGGAGACGTGTTCTGTCTCCTAGAGATGAACGTACTTTGGTGCGAAAAGTGCAAATCAATCCCAGAACAACAGCAAAGGACCTTGTGAAGATGCTGGAGGAAACAGGTACAAAAGCATCTATATCCACAGTAAAACGAGTCCTATATTGACATAACCTGAAAGGCCGCTCAGCAAGGAAGAAGCCACTGCTCCAAAACCGCCATAAAAAAGCCAGACTACGGTTTGCAACTGCACATGGGGACAAAGATCGTACTTTTTGGAGAAATGTCCTCTGGTCTGATGAAACAAAAATATAACTGTTTGGCCATAATGACCATCGTTATGTTTGCAGGAAAAAGGGGGGACTTGCAAGGCGAAGAACACCATCTCAACCATGAAGCACGGGGGTGGCAGCATCATGCTGTGGGGGTGCTTTGCTGCAGGAGGGACTGGTGCACTTCACAAAATAGATAGCATCATGAGGAAGGAAAATTATGTGGATATATTGAAGCAACATCTCAAGACATCAGTCAGGAAGTTAAAGCTTGGTCACAAATGGGTCTTCCAAATGGACAATGACCCCAAGCATACTTCCAAAGTTGTAGCAAAATGGCTTAAGGACAACAAAGTCAAGGTATTGGAGTGGCCATCACAAAGCCCTGACCTCAATCCTATAGAACATTTGTGGGCAGAACTGAACCCTGACTCAGTTACACCAGCTCTGTCAGGAGGAATGGGCCAAAATTCACCCAACTTATTGTGGGAAGCTTGTGGAAGGCTACCTGAAAAGTTTGACCCAAGTTAAACAATTTAAAGGCAATGCTACCAAATAGTAATTGAGTGTATGTGACCTTCTGACCCACTGGGAAAATGAAGAAAGAAAGAAAAGCTGAAATAAATCATTCTCTCTACTATTATTCTGACATTTCACATTCTTAAAATAAAGTGGTGATCCTAACTGACCTAAAACAGGGAATTTTTACTAGGATTAAATATCAGGAATTGTGAAAAACTGAGTTTAAATGAATTTGGCTAAAGGTGTATGTAAACTTCTGACTTCAACTGTAGGCACTGCGTGTGTTTGTTCAATGCATTTCAATGCTCAATAAATCAACGGCATTATATTATTTACAGATTTGCTACAAATGATGAATAATCTTAATAAAGATGACATTCAGAGCCATCCCTAATTTGTATGGATGTCAGTGTGTAACCTTCGTCTCTTCTATAGATCTCAGCGTTCTCCTGTGTGGACCCCAGCTCCATCCTGGCCTTGCACCAGGTCCCCTCCCTACAGGCCATCTATACTCTGGACGCGGTCATCTCCAAGGTCCAGGTGTCCTTGGACGAACACTTCTCCAAGGTGGCCGCAGAGACTGACCCTCACAAGTCCTCAGAGATCACCAAGAACCTGCTGCCTGCTACGCTGCAGCTCATAGATGTGTACACAGCCTTCACCAGGTGAGAACGATCCACTATCCTCTCTTTTTACCACTCAACTCAAACTATGTTCTCTAGTGGGGCAGAACAACTCAAACGATGTTCTCTAGTGGGGCAGAACAACTCAAACTATGTTCTCTAGTGGGGCAGAACAACTCAGGCTATGTTCTCTAGTGGGGCAGAACAACTCAAACGATGTTCTCTAGTGGGGCAGAACAACTCAAACTATGTTCTCTAGTGGGGCAGAACAACTCAAACTATGTTCTCTAGTGGGGCAGAACAACTCAGGTCTTCAAATAATAGACTCAGTTCGCAGTTCACACAGAAAATGGATGTGTTCTTTCCATCCTGAGAAGAATGTATTGTTTTTGTATTTGGGCAATGATGACTGACTGTTCTGTGTGTCCCAGGTCCTACCTTCTCATGAACCTACCAGAGGAAGGAGAGAACAAGCTGTCAGAGGCTAAACTCCAGGGTTACGCCGCAGTGCTGTCCATAGGCTCCATGCGCTGCAAAGCCAACCTGCTCGGTACGTACTAGTGGGCTTATGGTTTGGGCTCATTCTAGACAAATGAAGACATATTCAGCAAAACCAGTCAGCAATACCTAGTTAAAGTCTACTGTTTTCAATGGGAGACCAGCAGAGCCCCCCTCAGTCTTCCTCTCACTCAACCACGGTGTGTTTTTTTTTTTCACTCATTCAGGTCAGAGTGTGATGCAGAACCTGCCCTCGGCCGTCCAGACACTGTGTGACACCTGGAACAATATCCACACCAACGAGTTCCCTAACATCGGTTCATGGGTGTGTACCCCTGAAAGGGGGTGGATGCGCTCTGTACGTACCCCCATGTGGTAACGGAGGTGGAGCCACCCTCTCGTGAATACCTTCGACACTTGATCAAAGAGTTTGATTCCTGATCAAACCCCAATCGGTCACACGTGCCGTGCCCGTCTCTGTCTGTCTGTCTGTCTGTCTGTGTCTGTCTGTCTGTGTGTCTGTGTCTGTCTGTCTGTCTGTCTGTCTGTCTGTCTGTCTGTCTGTCTGTCTGTCTGTGTCTGTCTGTCTGCAGTTATGAATAATGAGGCTGTCTCAAACTGCACCCCTACCGAAAGTAGTGTAAGAAATAAGGTGCTATTTTGGATACAGCCTGTGTTCCCCCTCAGCATAATGACTGATTTGATTGAATGAGTGACATGATTGATAGATAGATAGATTGGTTGATGGATGGATTGATTGATTTGTCAAACCTTTCCTCGGGGAACCCCCCAGTTGTTCCGTGTAGTTGATGTATTCCAGAGCCTGTCACGCCTGATCCAACTGGTTAACTAGTCATCAAGCCCTGGATTAGGCCAATCAGATGTACTAGCTGTGAAACGTCTGGGTTCCCACGGGGGGGAGACGTTCGAGGATAATGACGTTTTTCCCGACTAACTTGTCTGTCTCTTCTCTCAGCGGAATGCGTTTGCCAACGACACCATCCCGTCTGAGAGCTACATCAGTGCCATCCAAGCAGCTCATCTGAGCACGCTCAGTAACCAGTCCCTGGCCCTGGCCTCCTCTCTCAAACACATCCTGCTCTCTCTGGTGCGTCTCACCGGAGACCTCATAGTGTAAGTTACCCTCCGAGCCGCACCAACGGTGTCTCCAGTACCAGCATCAGCCACTTCCACACGGTCGATATTACATGAACAGTTTCCAGTATTGCAAAGCTAATATACCTTGTGGATAAAAATATGCGATTCTCCCATTGACTGTGGTCTTGAGTTTTCATCAAAGCTAATTAGTAATTAGTTCTCGCTCTCTCTCTTTCGCTCTCTCTCGTTCGCCCCCCCCCCCCCCAGGACGGAGGAGTTGAACCCTCCCCAGGTGGTGCGTTCCCTGCTCCCCCTCCTCTTGGAGAGCAGTACGGAGAGCGTGGCTGAGATCTGCTCTACCTCCCTGGAGCGTATCCTGGGCCCCGCTGAGTCCGAAACCTTCCTGGCCCGCGTCTACGAGAGACTGGTCACAGGATGCTACAACGTCATCGCCAACCACTCCGACCCCAACAGGTGAGACTTTGAAACTTTGACCCGAGCAGTTAGGCTGAGACTCGGGAGTTGAGTCAACTTGAATGACCCCCCCCCCCCCCCCCCCTGTCCATCAATGATACCCTAGTCAACTTGACAGGGCTTGAGAATGGTTACATATACCTCCAACAGAGTGAAAAATTTGACGAGACCTATTCAAAGAAGCGTCCGCTAAATGTAATGGAAAGAGATTGACCGCTGTAATGGTTGAATGTGTCTCTGTTTGTCTCAGTGGTCTGGATGAGTCTGTGTTGGAGGACTGTCTACAGTACCTGGAAAGGCAGCTGGAGAGCAGCCAAGTATGCAAGGCCATGGAAGAGTTCTTCTCCTTCAGGTGTGTCAGTGGGTTTTGTGTGGCTCAGTGGGTTAGAGCGTGGCTCTACCAACCCCGAGGTCGTGGGTTCAATTCCCACAGGGATGTATTATTATAATTGTTATTTTTTTTTGTCATTTAGCAGACGCTCTTATCCAGAGCGACTTACAGGAGCAATTAGGGTTAAGTGCCTTGCTCAAGGGCACACCGACAGATTTTTCACCTAGTTGGCTCAGGGATTAGAACCAGCGACCTTTCGGTTACTGGCACAACGCTCTTAACCACTAAGCTATCTGCCGTATGCATGTATGTATGTATTCCCCACCATGCAATCACAGACTAAGCCATATTGTAGTCACAATCACAGACTAAGCCGTATTGCAATCACAACAGTCTCTCTCATAGGCAGCTCGTGAGTTTCAAGTTTGGGGAAGCAATCTTTTCACCCCAAAAAAAATCACTGCATGTAGAGCATCTATCATCGCATTTACAGACTAATGTAAAATAGCCTACTATTCCTAATGTGATGAGTAGATTGGATAGTCATAAATTAGGATAATAATATAACTAACTCGCTGTTTGTAACAGCTAACGTTTTTTTAAAAGAGGATCCCAGAGAAAATGTGGCCTTTTATAAACAAGTTTTTATGCAATTCTATGAGACTTTACACGACTGGAGGCATATTAGCAGAATCCTAATGACAGGGCACTCTGCTGACACTGACGTCAATAAAAACGACCTTGTCTTGAATCCAACCATCTAATCTAGGCCTAAGAAAAGGTGAGACTCATATTATAGGTTACAATATGACGTCCATCTAGCCTGGAGGAGGAAATTAGATTGTCGTAGAATAACTATCCAGTGGCACTGACTCACCCAATGATAAAGACCAGTGAATATGCGCACTCACCGGAGATATGAGCGATGGTCTAGTCCCAAATAGGACATGCCTACTGTTGGGATAACTAAAGACAGATTAGAGTTTATTTATATATTTTTTGTCTTTTGTATTTTTCCCCACGATTGTATTTTGGAATATTGCAATAGGCCTAGGACTCTTTCAGATGCGTTTCATTGAAAGCCGCACCTCAACAATCAGCTATATTATATGTGCATGCTGCCCAAAATGCGCACTTCTCGACTGTTAGCTTCTTTTGATCCCCAGTGGCTAAATCATGCTCTCTCTGGTGTAGTAATTTGAATAATTGTATTTATTTCTGTATAGACAGGAGTAATTATATCATTTTGGTATTTAATCAAATGTACTTTTTGGGGAAGCTTCCCATAGCCTATTGGACGCGCCACCTATGGTCTTGCTTAGCATTCTCTCTTGTTTGTCTCTCAGTGGAGAACTGGTCCAGATCATGATGGCTACAGCCAATGAAAACCTTTCTGCTAAATTCTGCAACCGGGTGCTGAAATTCTTCACCAAACTCTTCCAGCTCAGTAAGTTTACCCGCACTCCTCTGTTTTCCCTCCCAAACCAGTTCTGCCTCCCAAACCAGTTCTGCCTCCCAAACCAGTTCTGCCTCCCAAACCAGTTCTGCCTCCCAAACCAGTTCTGCCTCCCAAACCAGTTCTGCCTCCCAAACCAGTTCTGCCTCCCAAACCAGTTCTGCCTCCCAAACCAGTTCTGCCTCCCAGACCAGTTCTGCCTCCCAAACCAGTTCTGCCTCCCAAACCAGTTCTGCCTCCCAAACCAGTTCTGCCTCCCAAACCAGTTCTGCCTCCCAAACCAGTTCTGCCTCCCAAACCAAAGTGTTGTCCATATTGAACAACCAGAGACTTGAGAGTTCATCCTAATCTTGACTTTAAACCCTTTTACTCTAGTTTCTCAAGTTCCGTCCATGAGCATTTCAGTTCCTACCATCTCTCTTTTCATATCCTTAAACCTCTCCTTTGCTTATTCCAAACCCAGCGGAGAAGAGTCCCAACCCCAGCCTGCTGTGTCTGTGTGGTTCCCTGGCCCAGCTGGCGTGTGTGGAGCCGGCCCGGCTGCAGGCGTGGCTCACCCGCATGACGGCCACGCCCCCCAAGGACTCGGAGCATCTGGAGACGGTGCAGGAGAACAGGGCGCTGCTACAGGTGTGTGTGTGTGTGTGTGTGTGAGAGTCAGCACAAAAGCCTTTCACAAGACTGGTCAACATGAAACAGTCTCAACGACAGGTAACTACCAAAATAAAGGAAACACTTGAGTAAATGAGGGATACAAAGTATATTGAAAGCAGGTGCTTCCACACAGGTGTGGTTCCTGAGTTAATTAAGCAATTAACATCCCATCATGCTTAGGGTCATGTATAAAAATGTTGGGCAAGCCATTATGTTGGCTACCATGGCTATGCCCCCATAGGATGACAATGCCCCCATCCACAGGGCACGAGAGGTCACTGAATGGTTTGATGAGCATGAAAACGATGTAAACCATATGCCATGGCCATCTCAGTCACCAGATCTCAACCCAATTGAACACTTAGGGGAGATTCTGGAGCGGCGCCAGAGACTGCGTTTTTGCACCACCATCAACAAAACACCAAATGATGGAACTTCCCGTGGAAAATGGTGTCGTATCCCTCCAATAGAGTTCAAGACACTTGTAGAATCTATGCCAAGGTGCATTGAAGCTGTTCTGGCTCGTAGTGGCCCAACGCCCTATTAAGACACTTCATGTTGGTGTTTCCTTTATTTTGGCAGTTAACCTTTATATCCCCTCTTAGTGTTTTTTTCTAGTGTGTTTTGTACCCCTATAGGTGTTGCACGGTATACCAAAGCTTAGATACTACAACATGGGTGGTCCTCTGTAGCTCAGCTGGTAGAGCACGGCGCTTGTAACGCCAGGGTAGTGGGTTCGATCCCCGGGACCACCCATACACAAAAATAAATGTATGCACGCATGACTGTAAGTCGCTTTGGATAAAAGCGTCTGCTAAATGGCATATTATATTATAAAAACGGTTCGGTACTAGACTTTGTATTACTTTCGGTACTTCTGTCAAATGTGTCTCGCGTCGTCTACTGATTGAGAGAGGATCAGGTATGTCTACCAGCGCAGCCGATGTCCCCTCATAGCGCGAGAGCACCGTGCCGATGTCCCCTCGTAGCACGAGAGCACCGTGCCGATGTCCCCTCGTAGCACGAGAGCACCGTTGCCGATGTCCCATCGTAGCGCGAGGAACACGTGCCGATTGTCCCCTCATAGCGCGGAGAGCACCGTTGCCGATGTCCCCTCGTTAGCGCGAGAACACCGTGCCGATGTCCCTCGGTAGCGCGAGAAACCGTGCCGATGTCCCCTCGTAGCGCGAGAGCACCGTGCCGATGTCCCCTCGTAGCGCGAGAGCACCGTGCCGATGTCCCCTCGTAGCGCGAGAGCACCGTGCCGATGTCCCCTCGTAGCGCGAGAGCACCGTGCCGATGTCCCCTCTTAGCGCGGAGAACATCGTGCCAATGTCCCCTCGTAGCGCGAGAGCACCGTGCCGATGTCCCCTCGTAGCGCGAGAGCACCGTGCCGATGTCCCCTCGTAGCGCGAGAGCACCGTGCCGATGTCCCCTCGTAGCGCGAGAGCACCGTGCCGATCCCCCTCGTAGCGCGAGCAGCACCGTGCCGATGTCCCCATCGTACGCGAGAGCACCGTGCCGATGTCCCCTCGTAGCGCGAGAGCACCGGGCCGATGTCCCCTCGTAGCGCGAGAGCAACCGTGCCGATGTCCCCTCGTTTCAGCGCGAGATGCACCGTGCGATGTCCCCTCGTGCGAGAGCACCGTGCCGATGTCCCCATCGTTAGCGCGAGAGCACCGTGCCGATGTCCCCTCGTAGCGCGAGAGCACCGTGCCGATGTCCACTTCTAGTCTGTTCTGAGGAACCACTGCACTCACTGGGAGTCTGGGCTGCATCACCAATTATGCTGAACAGAAGTTAACACACTTGAATAATGGAATCAGCCGAAAACAAGCTCATTAGCTCAATGCATGCACACACTCCTACTGAATATGCATTCACCTGTATTGTGAACAGACCTAGGCTACATCTTGATTTACCCAGTTTATCAATAGACTAGAGATGTAACATTCCAGTACATGATGACCATTGTTTTTATGTAGTTAGTAAAAAAACAACAGTCAAATTGATTTGCATGGTTGTATAATTGATTCATTAATGCATACATTCAAAAATCTCATATTTGATATTGAACTCTACAGATCTGTCTGGATCAAGGGCCATTCTGTGACTTTGGCTAATATGGCTTTTTTTTTTGCTGTGGTATCGTTTTGGTATCGGGTATCGTTTTGGTATCGGGTATCGTGATGCTATCGAGTATCGTGATGCTATCGAGTATCGTGATGCTATCGAGTATCGTGATGCTATCGAGTATCGTGATACTAAACCTGGTATCAGTATCGAAGTCATAAATGTCCTTGTGGAGACTTTTACGTGGATTATCGTCAATAACTAACACCTATCGACCAAACAGATTGGCTGGTTAGCACTAACTGTTTCATGATACGTTCTCCAGGTGCTCACCACGCACATCGTCAGGGACAACAGCCAGGTGGGCGAGGGCGTGTGCACCGTCCTGCTCTCCACCCTCATCCCCATGGCAACGGAAATGCTGGCCAATGGGGACGGAGCTGGCTTCCCGGAACTCATGGTGATCATGGCGACCCTAGCCAGCGCCGGTCAGGGGGCGGGGCATCTGCAGCTGCACCGCGCCGCCATCGACTGGCTGACCAGATGGTAAGAGATTCGTAAAAAATGTTCGCTTTTTTTTTTTTTTTTTTGCGTAGGACTGGTGAAGTGATTGTTATTAGTAAGCTCTAACGAGATCTGTACGATAATTTATGTGTAAATATGCAGTTAGATTCAATATGTATCTGTTTATTTTCTGCAGCAAAAAATACCTGACCCAGAAAAACGTTGTGGAGAAAGTGAGTGCAAACGTGTCCCAGGGCAAAGTAAGTAATAATTAAATCAAAAAAAAGAAAGAAAACGTTTTAGATTCTGAATTCACAAAACTGCCCTGAACTGCCACGTCACCGCAGGTAAACAACCTCTCTCACTCGTATGTTTTTCCCCCGTCAGCACGCCAGTATGCTGGAGTGTTGCTGTCACATCATCTCCTACCTGGCTGACGTGATGAACGCCCTGAGACAGGGCAGTGGTCAGGGCTCCTCTGTGCTGCTGGTGGATGGAGAGGAGAAGGCTGTGGAGGTGGACTCGGACTGGGTGGACGAGCTGGCTGTGGAGGACGACGACTCGCAGGCTGAGGACTCTGTAAGGAACCCCCTCTATCTGTTCAATGGAGATAGATCGGGCTCTACTCTTTAGTAGACTAGATAGGACTTATAAGTGTAGATAGAAGAATATGGAGTAGATAGGTACTTATATAGTGTACAAATATAGAAATATGGAGATAGGATAGGTACTTTATATAGATGTAGTAATAGATAGAAATATGGAGATAGATAGGTACTTTATATAGTGTAGAATATATAGAAATATGGAGATAGATAGGTACTTTATATAGTGTAGAATATATAGAAATATGGAGATGATAGGTACTTTATATAGTGTAGAATATATAGAAATATGGAGATAGATAGGTACTTTATATAGTGTAGAATATATAGAAATATGGAGATAGATAGGTACTTTATATAGTGTAGAATATATAGAAATATGGAGATAGATAGGTACTTTATATAGTGTAGAATTATAGAAATATGGAGATAGATGGTCTTTATTAGTGTGATTTAGAATTGGGATAGATAGGTACTTTATTAGTGTAGAATTATGAAATATGGAGATAGATAGGTACTTTATATAGTGTAGAATATATAGAAATATGGAGATGGATAGGTACTTTATATGTGTAGAATTATAGAAATATGGAGATGATAGGTACTTTATATAGTTGTTGAATGATATTAGAAATATGGAGATAGATAGGTACTTTATATAGTGTGTAGATTATGGAATAGTGGTCTTTTTAGTTATTTAGAATATGGGTGTAGTACTTTATATATGTAGAATATATAGAAATATGGCGATAGATAGGTACTTTTATATGTAGAATAGATAGAACTTGGAGATAGATAGGTACTTTATATATGTACGATATATAGAAATATGGAGATAGATAGGTACTTTATATAGTGTAGAATAGATAGAAATATGGAGATAGATAGGTACTTTATATAGTGTAGAATATATAGGAGGAGAAGGCTAGAGGACTCGGTAAGGAACCCCTTAACGTCACACCAGCTGTCTCACTATTAGAGACACTGGAATTTTAGAAAATACTTCCCACACCGTGGCTCTACCTCCATCCGTCTCTCTGTGATTCCTCCCATCCTATCTTCTTGCCTCTTCCTCAACCGTGTCATAGGAGAAGGCCCGAGGTCCTTTCCCCTCGGATATTCTTCTCCTATGCGTTTTGAGAAGGAGGATGCGAGGAATCAAGGAAAGGTTAATTGAGAAAAAGCAGATGGTTGTGTTCAGTAGGGAGAAAACAGCAGTTTTGAATCTGAGTGTAATGGACAGGTAATACCCGACCATATCTATTAGAAATGAGGAAATGGGGAAAACCAAGCTGATGTGTCTCTTTGCTGTGCCGTAGGATGAAGACTCCCAGTGCAATAAGCTGTGTACCTTCACCATCACCCAGAAGGAGTTCATGAACCAGCATTGGTAAAAGAAGCCCCCCACACCCCCGTGTGATCAATACCATTCCTTCACAGTATTCCACGTCCACATAGACTGTGTCCCAATAATCTGTACTTTCTGCCAAAGTGTGCAGGGGAATGCCTCATATAAGACATCTGGTGGACTGGAAACGCCCTCTACCCCACCAATCCCCAATGCTTTACAGTGGTAGGGAGTAGTGTTCTATACGAGTGTACACTTTAGGAGAAAGGGCAGGTTATTGAGACATCTCTAGTACTACTAGTATAACTCAACACCCTCCCTCCTCCCTCCTCTCTCTCTCTAGGTACCACTGTCACACCTGTAAAATGGTGGATGGGGTAGGTGTGTGCACAGTGTGCGCCAAGGTCTGCCACAAAGACCATGAGATCTCCTATGCCAAATACGGCTCTTTCTTCTGTGACTGCGGGGCAAAGGAGGACGGTACCTGTCAGGTGAGACCGAATACCTCAGGTCACCATGGGAAGAGAAACACTGCGGTAACTTTTTGGCTTTTGCAATATCACTTATACCACCCATCCATTTGATTAGCGTCATAACCATCGGCACCCAGTTAGTCTGAGTTCTAGCTATTAAAGCGACCCCCCCCCTCCCCAACATATTACGGCCAGAAGTTAGGGAATCCATCCACGATGTCTGTCTGTGTCTGTTTTATGAAGTAGTACAAATTTAAAACATCTCAGAATTAACTGGCTGACATGATTCAAACTTAAACAGAATTAATTCAAGTAATTAATATAGACAGAATTTTCTTTTTATTGATAATTTTTTTGTAATAATATCCGCATGACATATTAGCGTAGATGTGTGTTTGTTCACTTTGTGTGTCTGTGTGTCTGTGTGTCTGTGTGTGTGTGTGTCTGTGTGTCTGTGTGTGTGTGTGTGTGCGTGTCCATAACCGTGGTCTTGAATGCGTGTGTGTTTAGACGGTCTTCCATCTCCTCTAACGAACCAGTCATCCCTCCTCAGGCCCTGGTGAAGCGCAGCCTCAGCAGTGGGATCGGCTCCACCGTGAAGGAGTCGTCGGCCTTCCAGAGTGAAATGAGGATGCCGGACAGTGCCATCCGCCGTCAGAGCTCCCTGGGCCCCAGCGACAAGGGCAAGGTAAGATAACATAAGATTAGATCGCGTCTATTTTCTCAGAAATGTGCCTTGCGTCATAGAAATGACGCCTGCGTTAACCTTTCCACTCTTTGTCATGTTTGGATTTCAGGCTAATTTAAAACTCCTTACACGACATGAAACAACAACAACAACAGACAATATACAACATCTAGAGGGCTGTGGACTGTACAAGTAATTAAAAATCGTTGTTCACGTCACAGGTGACCATCTGTGAGGGCAAGCCTGGCGACGAGGACCGGCCCAAGAAGAGCAGTGTCTGTAAGAACATCGAGGGATGCCAGGAGGAGCTTCTGGCGCAAGTGGTGAGGAGTTCAGCTGAAGCAGAACGTCTCAGAACGTCTCAGAACGTCTCAGAACGTCTCAGAACGTCTCAGAACCTCTCAGAACGTCTCAGAACGTCTCTGAGATCAGATATTTATGTGCTAAGCTTTCAGTCAAAACAGACCTACATCACTTCTGTGTAAAGAAATGCGTATCAGGTACACATAGTCCCCCTGCAGTGTATCTGTCATAACGGTTTCCTGTACATGCTAAATTACAGTCTTGACATTCAGCGACATTTAAGATCACTATTTGTTATGTGTCGTGTATGACAATGTTATGACGCTCTTATGACATATCATAGGTTGACGTTGACTTCCCTCTCTCTCTCTCTCTCCAGTCTGGCTCGTCCACGGCGGCAGTGGTTCTGGAGATGCTGGTCTTCATGATGGATGCCATCCAGACCAACTTCCAGCAGGCCTCCGCTGTAGGCAGCAGCAGCCGAGCCCAGCAGGCCCTCAATGAGTTACACACACTGGACAAGAGTGTTGAGATGACTGACCAACTCATGGTAGGACTTTATTCATAACCCTAACCCTGACCAACTCATGGTAGGACTTTATTCATAACCCTAACCCTGACCAACTCATGGTAGGACTTTATTCCTAACCCTGACCCTGACCAACTCATGGTAGGACTTTATTCATAACCCTGACCCTGACCAACTCATGGTAGGACTTTATTCCTAACCCTAACCCTGACCAACTCATGGTAGGACTTTATTCATAACCCTAACCCTGACCAACTCATGGTAGGACTTTATTCATAACCCTAACCCTGACCAACTCATGGTAGGACTTTATTCCTAACCCTAACCAACTCATGGTAGGACTTTATTCATAACCCTAACCCTGACCAACTCATGGTAGGACTTTATTCATAACCCTGACCCTGACCAACTCATGGTAGGACTTTATTCATAACCCTAACCCTGACCAACTCATGGTAGGACTTTATTCATAACCCTAACCCTGACCAACTCATGGTAGGACTTTATTCATAACCCTAACCCTGACCAACTCATGGTAGGACTTTATTCATAACCCTAACCCTAACCCTGACCAACTCATGGTAGGTCTTTATTCATAACCCTAACCCTAACCAACTCATGGTAGGACTTTATTCATAACCCTAACCCTGACCAACTCATGGTAGGACTTTATTCATAACCCTGACCCTGACCAACTCATGGTAGGACTTTATTCATAACCCTAACCCTACCCTGACCAACTCATGGTAGGACTTTATTCATAACCCTAACCCTAACACCATGAGGATCAACCAACTCATGGTAGGACTTATTCATAACCCTAACCCTAATGACCTGACCAACATGTAGGATTGAACTGACTGACCAACTATGTACTTTATTCTATAATACAACTATGGAGGAGTTTCAACCACTGACAACTGAGGTAGATTTCATTCAGCGTGAACCAACACCTATCATGTTAGGACTATAAACAACCTGATCAGTCAACAGCGTGGAACCTTGATTCATTACCACGGTAAAACCCTGACCAATCAGTAGGACTATATAATAAAACCACCTGATTCAGTTCATCCAAGCTGAAAACCCTGATTCAGCTTTCATCGGTGAAACACCTGATTCATTCACGGTGGAAAAACCCTGATTCAGTTCAGCGTGAAACACCTGATCAGTTCAGCGTGTAAAACACCTGAATTCAGGTTCAGACTTTGACAAACACCCTGATTGTCAGATTCAGCGTTGAAACCCAACCCTGATTCAGTCAGCGGATATAAACCCTGAACTCAGTCAACGGTGATTATAACCTAACCTATCAGTTCAGCGGTTGATAAAACACCTGATTCAGTTCAGCGGTGAAAACACCTGATTCAGTTCAGCGGTGAAAACACCTGATTCAGTTCAGCGGTGAAAACACCTGATTCAGTCTCAGCGGTGAAAACACCTGATTCAGTTCTCAGCGGTGAAAACACCTGATTCAGTTCTCAGCGGTGAAAACACCTGATTCAGTTCAGCGGTGAAAACACCTGATTCAGTTCACAGCGGTGAAAACACCTGATTCAGTTCACAGCGGTGAAAACACCTGATTCATCTGATCAAGGTGTAGAACTTAGCTGGGACAAAAACAGCAGTGCTGCTGCAGCTCTCCAGGAGTAGGGTTGAGGATGTCTAAGCTTAGCGAAATGTGAGAAACATGCAGTATTTGATGCTGAATTAAGACTCCCTGTCCTCCCTCATGACTAACATGCCCCTTCCTCCCCTCTCCCCAGGTGCCCACCCTTGGTTCCCAGGAGGGAGCGTTTGAGAACGTGCGTATGAACTACAGTGGGGACCAGGGCCAGACCATCAGACAGCTCATCAGTGCCCACGTGCTGCGTCGCGTCGCCATGTGTGTGTTGTCTTCGCCCCAGGGCCGTCGCCAGCACCTCGCCGTCAGCCACGAGAAGGGCAAGGTGGGCACTGGCACCACACACAAGGACACGCAGGGACACACAGGCAGGGACACACACAGGCAGAGAGACACACACACACACACAGGCAGAGAGACACACACACACACGGGCAGACACACACACACACACACACACACACAGGCAGAGACACACACACAGGCAGAGAGACACACACACACACACACGGGCAGACACACACACACACACACACACACACACACACACACAGGCAGAGAGACACACACAGGCAGAGACACAGGGTTCATGTGGGGTCATACTGGTTTCTTCGTGCCATTGTTGCACTAAATTGTGTGCTTTTAGATGCTAACCAATCTTGGTTTAATTGAACCAGAACGCTAGGTACCCCTTATGTCTGGTGCTGAACCAGGGTTCCCTAACCCTCTGCTCTCTCCTCTCCTCTCCTGTCCTGTCCCCCTTCTCCCCTCGTCTCCAGATCACCGTCCTGCAGCTGTCGGCTCTCCTAAAGCAGGCTGACTCCAGTAAGAGGAAGTTAACCCTGACTCGTCTGGCCTCGGCCCCCGTCCCCTTCACCGTGCTCAGCCTCACTGGGAACCCCTGCAACGAAGACTACCTGGCTGTCTGTGGACTCAAGGTTAGTCAGATTCACTAAATGGCCTTCAGAAGCTTCTACCACTGTTGTGGAAAATAACCACTGTACTTTATTAAAAATCAAAGGTCTTAATGATAATCCATTAAAAATACACATCACCACGTAGACATGGTAGGCTATGTCTACGATTCCTCACATCCTGGCTTCTTGCCTCCCTCTCAACCATATGGGGGCAGAGGGTTCAAGGTCCTCCCCTTTGACCTTCTTCTCCAATGCGTTTTCAGAAGGAGGCGAGGAGAGAATGCAAGGAATTGAGAAAGAACCCCTGTCTCTAGATTTAGGGCATATCTAAGTATTCAGACTAGGGCTGTTGCGGTGACCGTATTACCGCCACACCGGCGGTCACGAGTCATGAAGGCAGTCAAATTCCACGTTTAGTCATGGTAATTATCCTTCTCCAAGCTCTGATGCTGCTGATGGTCTACCAAACTTGCTAACTGCCTGGTACTCAGCACTCCATTGTCCCTCTAATCACTCTGACATCAATGCAATTGAAAATCTAATCAAACACTTCATGAGAGCCCATGAGCTCATGTTGCGCAACATTTCTATAGGCTATGCAGTTGCATGAGAAAACAGAGTTTTGATGGCCTCTATTAAAAAGAGGAGGATCCCATCAGCTTTCTATAGGCTAGGCCTACTATATTTATTTCTCAACTTTCCTAATATTAAGCACATTGCTTCTCTTTACAACAGGAGTATAGCCTACCTGGCTGGCATGAAAATGAACCACGGGGAAAAGCATCCTCCATTCGCTATTTAAGTGCATAGATGACATGTATTTTTTCCCCTGCCTCTGTTCTGAGACAGGTGCATGATAATGGTCCATTCTAAATCAAAACTAACTTCATACATATATTATAGTCTCCCGAGTGGCGCAGTGGTCTAAGGCACTGCATCGCAGTGCTAGCTGTGCCACTAGAGATCCTGGTTCGAATCCAGGCTCTGTCGTAGCCGGCCACGACCATGGCGTTTGCAATGCCAGGGTTGTGGGTTCGATACCCACGGGGGGCCAGTATGAAAAAATAAAAAATAAGATAATGTAAGTCGCTCTGGATAAGAGCGTCTGCTAAATGACTAAAATGTAAAAATGTAAACGTAATTTAACATATGTAAAGACAAGATTAAATCAAGAATAGTGTGATGGGTGACAATATTAGCCTTAATTAGCCATAATTATATATTATCTCTTGTGAATGATGCCCAGCGTAAGAAACAATGCTTTTTTTTGTGACTTTTTCTAATCATAGTCGCATACCTCATGTATCCTTGCCCATAGGCCTATATGTTTTAATAAAGTTTATATCACAACTAAAGTGGTCAAATAACGTCTTAAAATTAAGCACATTAATCTGCTTTACGAGGGGTGCAGAGCCCAACTGGCATATATAAGTACCGCGTGAGTTTCAAGTTTGGGGAAGATAATTTTCACCATAAAAATGCACGTTTATAATAAAAGCATTACATGCATTTGCGGTCACTTTTGATCATGGTGTTTTTCCGCTAATGGAACATTCAAACGTATAGCCTACTGCCCCGTACGCATTGCTGCACTTATAATGTGAAGAAATAGCCTAATAGTTTATCAACATTTTAAGCTAAACGTTCTGATCTGTTATGTCAGCCACTTTGCGTAAAAAATGTTTTTTTGATGCTAGTGGTTGTATTAATTTGGGATCTATCGCATCCCACAACTGTCCCAGACTATGTTTGGAATATTTATTTCTCGCAAAGAATAGAAATGGGTTGACTGTGGGGGATAGTAGATTGACATAGGCTAGCGCTTTTGCTGTTCATTAAGCCTACTCATCTTGTTGGCTGACGAAAAGTAAATGGGGACAGTTCTTCCAATATCTTCAATATGCACCTCGGGAATTGGATAAGAAGACGCGCAGTTGGGTCCCCAATGTGTCTGTCTTCACTTGTAGCCTGTGAGAAAGACCCGATCACGTGATGGAGAACCATGTGAGTGAGAGGTGCTTCGGAGCGTGCAGCATTTTTTTTTAGGGTGGCATTACGGTCACACAAAGGGGATGCCGCCCGTGAAATTCGAGGTGTTATCAAGTGCTTGTCAAATTGTGACTGATGAAGTGTGTACAGCCCTGCCCAAAAAACAAAGCAGAGCTCGTGGCTTTTCAAGCAACTTTTTTCAAATCATCATTGGAGTCGCATCATGCAGCCCAACGTTTGTAGAACAACTAAAGTTACATAAATACCTCTAAATTAAGCATATAGGAGGACCTGTTTCTTTGTTAACCGCTCAACACAGAATAGCCGCATGTGCGCACTCCCTCAAATCATTTGGAGAAAATATCCTTTCTATTTTATTCAGCTTTGTTCAATTGTATTCTTCACACTATAAAATAATGCCACGGAATTCTTAGCAAATCTTGTCTGCTAAATGAACTAGTGTAGCCCACAGCCATTTGGCATAGCCAGATCAGGACCTAACATAATGCAGAGGATGCTATTCTGTTCTTCTGAAATAGACTACATTTTCTTCATATCATACTTCTTAGACCTGTCAAATAAATAAGGGATTTATTGTGAAGGTGTAGGCTATATTACATGGATTTGTTAGACTTTTTAAAATGTAGATGTTCCAAAGGTCTGCATCAGTGGCTAGTAGGCTGTGTGTGGAAGCCAGGAGATGCTAAATGTGTTTATGTTAATTAACGGTTAATTTACCGTGAGACCGACAGTTATTTGCTTGACAATCACCGGCTGAAGAAATTCCGTGACCGCCACAGCCCTAATTCAGACCCCTTCCCCCTTTCCACATTTTGTTATGTTACAGCCTTATTCTAAAATGGATTAAATACATGTTTTTCCTCATCAATATACACGCAAAACCCCATAATGACACAGCGAAAACAGGTTTTTAGAAATTGAAATGCAATATTTAAATAAGTATTCAGACCCTTTGCTTTGAGACTCGAAATTGAGCTCAGGTGCATCCTGTTTCATCCTTGAGATGTTTCTACAACTTGATTGGAGTCCACCTGTGGTAAATCCAATTGATTGGACATGATTTGTAAAGGCACACACCTGTCTAAATAAGGTCCCACAGTTGACAGTGCATGTCAGAGCAAAAACCAAGCCATGAGGTCGAAGGAATTGTCCATAGAGCTCCGAGACAGGATTGTGTCGAGGCACAGATCTGGGGAAGGGTACAAAAAAATGTCTGCAGCATTGAAGGTCCCCAAGAACACAGTGGCCTCCATCATTCTTAAATGGATGAAATTTGGAACCACCAAGACTCTTCCTAGAGCTGGCCACCCGGCCAAACTGAGCAATCGGGGGAGAAGGGCCTTGGTCAGGGAGGTGACCAAGAACCTGATGGTCACTCTGACAGAGCTCCAGAGTTCCTCTGTGGAGATGTGAGAACCTTCCAGAAGGACAACCATCTCTGCAGCACCAGCAATCAGGCCTTTATGGTAGAGTGGCCAGACGGAAGCCACTCCTCAGTAAAAGGCACATGACAGCCCGCTTGGAGTTTGCCAAAAGGCACTTAAAGGACTCTCAGACCATGAGAAACAAGATTCTCTGGTTTGATGAAATCAAGATTGAACTCTTTGGCCTGAATGCCAAGCGTCACATCTGGAGGAAACCTGATACCATCCCTACGGTGAAGCATGGTGGTGGCAGCATCATGCTGTGGGGATGTTTTTCAGCAGCAGGAACTGGGAGACTAGTCAGGAACGAGAGAAAGATGAACGGAGCAAAGTACAGAGATCCTTGATGAAAACCTGCTCCAGAGCGCTCAGCACCTCAGACTGGGGTGAAGGTTCACCTTCCAACAGGACAATGACCCTAAGCACACAGCCAAGACAACCTGGCTTCGGGACAAGTCTCTGAATGTCCTTGAGTGGCCCAGCCAGAGCCCGGACTTGAACCCAATCGAACGTCTCTGGAGAGACCTGAAAATAGCTGTGCAGCGATGCTCCCCATTCAACCTGACAGAGCGTGAGAGGATCTGCAGAGAAGAATTGGGGAAACTCTCCAAATACAGGTGTGCCAAGCTTATAGCGTCATACCCAAGAAGACTTGAGGCTGTAATCGCTGCCAAAGGTGCTTACATTTACATTTACGTCATTTAGCAGACGCTCTTATCCAGAGCGACTTACAAATAGGTGCATTCACCTTACAGCCAGTGGGATAACCACTTTACAATGTTTTTTTTTTTTTTTTGGGGGGGGGTTGGAGTAAAGGGGGGGGGGGGGGGTAGAAGGATTACTTTATCCTATCCCAGGTATTTCTTAAAGAGGTGGGGTTTCAAATGTCTCCGGAAGGTGGTCAGTGACTCCGCTGTCCTGGCGTCGTGAGGGAGCTTGTTCCACCATTGGGGTGCCAGAGCAGCGAACAGTTTTGACTGTTTTGACAGTTTTGACACAGTACTTTGCTTCAACAAAGTACTGTGTAAAGGGTCTGAATGGTTATGTAAATGTGATATTTCAGTTTTTGCTTGTCATTATGAGGTATTGTGTGTAGATTGATGAGGGGAAAAAAACTTAATCAATTTTAGAATAAGGCTGTAACATAACAAAATGTGGAAAAAGTCAAGGGGTCTGAATACTTTCAAAATGCACTGTATATATGTTTAGCTTTATTTGGAGAACTTGCTAGCAGGCCACAGTGGAACCCTGAGTAGTAATATCTCTCTCCTCTTCTCTCTCTCTCTCTCTCTCTCTCTCTCCCTCTCCTCTCCTCTCCTCTCTCGCTCTCTCGCTCTCTCCTCTCTTCTCTCGCTCTCTTCTCTCTCTCTCTCTCCTCTCCTCTCCTCTCCTCTCCTCTCTCAGGACTGCCACGTTCTGACTTTCAGCAGTACAGGCTCCGTATCGGACCACCTGGTGCTGCACCCTCAGCTGGCTACTGGGAACTTCATTATCAAGGCTATCTGGCTGCCTGGCTCCCAGACTGAGCTGGCCATCATCACGGCCGACTTCGTCAAGGTACTACATCCGCTCTTATAAAGTTTGCTTTTATAGTTCATGGCTAAGTGATTGCTTCAAGAGATTCCTGGGCAAATCCTTTTGCAAACCAGCTCTTGAGGTAGTATAATCTGCATGCCTTAGACAGGGACCTAACTGTAAAAAAAAACTAATTCACAGTAAGCATAGAGGAGAGGAGAGGAGAATGGAAAATCCACAGTCTTAGTTTTTTCCTTATATCTTCCAATAGGAGAATGGAATATAAGGATTGATTGCATAACAGCGTTGATTGGTTTGACTTTTAGTTTCTTCTCTCCCTTCAGATCTATGACCTGTCAGTGGACGCTCTGAGCCCTGTGTACTACTTCCTGCTGCCGAGCTCCAAGATCCGAGACGCCACCTTCTTGTTCAACGAGGAAGGGAAGAGCATCATCGTCATCATGTCCTCTGCTGGCTACATGTACACACAGGTCATGGACGAGTCGTCCAGCGCCCAGCACGGACCCTTCTATGTTACCTCAGTACTGGAGATCAACCACCAGGACCTCAAGGTACATACACATACCTGGGTTGAACACAGAAATTGTTCATGTAGTTTCTCTGTACTTTCAAAACAGAGCGCCTGCCTGGATTGCCAGAATGGGTGGGGTTTGCTTTTGGGCCGGGCAAACTCAATCAAGCGCAGCTTGAGGAGGTGGCAGAGGAGGAGTGTCTTTACTACAGCCATGGTCTCCAGATGCTTTACTACAGCCATGGTCTCCATATGCTTTACTACAGCCATGGTCTCCAGATGCTTTACTACAGCCATGGTCTCCAGATGCTTTACTACAGCCATGGTCTCCAGATGCTGTTCTTCAGCTGACTGACTGACGGACTGACTGACGGACTGACTGACGGACTGACTGACGGACTGACGGTCTGACTAACTGACTGACGGTCTGACTGACTGATGGACGGTCTGACTGACTGACTGACGGACTGACTGACGGACTGACTGACGGACTGACTGACGGACTGACTGACTGACTGACTGACTGACTGACTGACGGACTGACGGTCTGACTGACTGACTGACTGACTGACGGACTGACGGTCTGACTGACTGACTGACTGACTGACTGACTGACGGACTGACTGACGGACTGACTGACGGACTGACTGACGGACTGACTGACGGACTGACTGACGGACTGACTGACGGACTGACTGACGGTCTGACTGACGGTCTGACTGACTGACGGTCTGGTATAACGGTCTGACTGCTCTCTCTGTTCTGACTGCTCTCTCTGTCATTCCAGGACAGTAACGGTCAGGTTGCTGGAGGCGGTGTATCTGTGTACTACAGCCACGTTCTCCAGATGCTGTTCTTCAGCTACAGCCAGGGCAAGTCGTTTGCTGCCACCGTCAGCCGCAGCACCACCGACGTACAGAGACTCTTCACCATCAACGTCAAAGGGTAAGGATGATCAACTGAGTATCGAGTATGGACAAACATTTTAGATTTTTTTTATTTGTATTAATAAGTAGACAACTGGATCATTAGAATTATGCACCACTTGTTGTAATTGGACAAAATTTGTCAGGAGTATAATCCTTAGAAAAATAAAAAGCCTTAAAAAAATTCTCTAACTCTCTCCCTCCTCCCTCCAGCTCCAACGGTGGCGGTAAGACGTCTCCAGCTCTGTGCCAGTGGTCTGAGGTGATGAACCACCCAGGCTTAGTGTGCTGCGTCCAGCAGACTACTGGCATTCCTCTGGTCATCATGGTCAAACCTGACACCTTCCTCATCCAGGAGATCAAGACCCTGCCCGCTAAGGCTAAGGTATAGCAAACACACGCTAAAGACATGCCAAACACACACACACACACACACATACACATACACACACACACACACACATACACACACACACACACACACACATACACATACACACACACACACACACACACACACACACACACACACACACACATACACACACACACACACACATACACATACACACACACACACACACACACACACAAACACACACTCTGGTCATCAGGGTCAAACCTGACACCTTCCGCGTCCAGGAGATCAAGATCCTCCCTTCTAAGGTAGGATATCTGAGCCCAATAAACAGGCTGTTTCTCAATGTGTCTTTCCTTAAGGTAGGATATCTGAGCCCAATAAACAGGCTGTTTCTCGATGTGTCTTTCCTTAAGGTAGGATATCTGAGCCCAATAAACAGGCTGTTTCTCAATGTGTCTTTCCTTAAGGTAGGATATCTGAGGCCAATAAACAGGCTGTTTCTCAATGTGTCTTTCCTTAAGGTAGGATATCTGAGCCCAATAAACAGGCTGTTTCTCAATGTGTCTTTCCTTAAGGTAGGATATCTGAGCCCAATAAACAGGCTGTTTCTCAATGTGTCTTTCCTTAAGGTAGGATATCTGAGCCCAATAAACAGGCTGTTTCTCAATGTGTCTTTCCTTAAGGTAGGATATCTGAGCCCAATAAACAGGCTGTTTCTCAATGTGTCTTTCCTTAATAATAATAATAATAATAATAATAATAATAATAATAATAATAATACACACACAGGTAGGATAGGATAAGGTAGGATAAGGTAGGATATCTGAGCCCAATAAACAGGCTGTTTCTCAATGTGTCTTTCCTTAAGGTAGGATATCTGAGCCCAATAAACAGGCTGTTTCTCAATGTGTCTTTCCTTAAGGTAGGATATCTGAGCCCAATAAACAGGCTGTTTCTCAATGTGTCTTTCCTTAAGGTAGGATATCTGAGCCCAATAAACAGGCTGTTTCTCAATGTGTCTTTCCTTAAGGTAGGATATCTGAGCCCAATAAACAGGCTGTTTCTCAATGTGTCTTTCCTCGGCTCCTCTTACTTTACTTCCTGCTCAGAAGGCATTGGAGGAAACTTCAGATCTGCTGTGTTGTGAGGAGGCAAGGAGAGATATACAAACCCCACTGAGCCACACACACACACAAACAACACTGCTACTTCTCTCTCCTCCCTTCAGATCCAGGACATGGTATCCATCCGCCACACGGCGTCTAACGAGCAGCAGCGTACCACCATGATCCTGCTGTGTGAGGATGGCTCTCTGAGGATCTACATGGCCAACGTAGACAACACCTCCTACTGGCTCCAGCCCTCCCTGCAGCCCAGCTCGGCCATCTCCATCATGAAGCCTGTCAGGAAACGCAAGGCCGCTGCTGCCAGTGAGTTAAACTAACAACCCTTTTCATGGCATCAATCTGTCCGTCGGATGCCCCTCTGGTCCACTCAAATTTGTACCTACGCTTTGGAATCCAAAACGCTCTCGTTTCACTTCACTCATTCAGTTTGGTTTCCCAGGCTACCAGTGCCAGGTTCTATCCTCCAAAATGCTTTAGACAACTGAATCAAGCACACACACACTTCTTCTAGTTTGAATATGCTAAAACGTTCAAAATGATCAATTGATATCTAATGAATTGTCTGTTCCACTTGCCGCTCTGTTCCAGCCACTCGTACCTCCAGTCAGGTGACGTTCCCGGTGGACTTCTTTGAGCACAACCAGCAGTTGACGGAGGTGGAGTTTGGAGGAAACGACCTCTTGCAGGTTTACAACGGACAGCAGATCAAACACAGACTCAACTCCACTGGGATGTATGTAGCCAACACTAAGGTATGAAGAAAGATGACTTTGTCTTTTGTTACAATGCCCACCTCTCCTTCTAAGTCGCTACAACTCTGGGCTTGGATAGAACTGCTCCGGGATAACTAGAAATACATTTCCAATCTTTCATAAACCTGTTTGATTATTGCCTTTTAGAATATACAGTACCAGTCAAACGTTTTGACCCACCTACTCATTCAAGGGTTTTTCTTTATTTTTACTATTTTCTGCATTGTAGAATAATAGTGAAGACATCAAAACTATGAAATAACACATATGGAATCGTGTTGGAACCAAAACCATGTGTTAAACAAATCAAAATATATTTTACATTTTAGATTCTTCAAAGTAGCCACCCTTTGCCTTGATGACAGCTTTGCACACTCTTGGCATTCTCTCAACCAGCTTCATGAGGAATGCTTTTCCAACAGTCTTGAAGGAGTTCCCACATATGCTGAGCACTTGTTGGCTGCTTTTCCTTCACTCTGCGGTCCAACTCATCCAAAACCATCTCGATTGGGTTGAGGTCGGGGATTGTGGAGTCCAGGTCATCTGAGGCAGCACTCCATCACTCTCCTCCTTGGTCAAATAGCCCTTACACAGCCTGGAGGTGTGTTTTGGGTCATTGTCCTGTTGAAAAACAAATGACAGTCCCACTAAGCCCAAACCAGATGGGATGGCGTATCGCTGCAGAATGCTGTGGTAGCCATGCTGGTTAAGTGTGCCTTGAATTCTAAATAAATCACAGACAGTGTCACCAGCAAAGCACCCCCACACCATCACATCTCCTCCTCCATGCTTCACGGTGGGAACCACACATGCGGAGATCATCCGTTCACCTACTCTGCGTCTCACAAAGACACAGCAGTTGGAACCAAAAATCTCACATTTGGACTCGATCAGACCAAAGGACAGATTTCCACCGGTCTAATGTCCATTGCTCATGATACTTGGTCCAAGCAGGTCTCTTCTTCTTATTGGTGTCCTTTAGTAGTGGTTTCTTTGCAGTAATTTGACAATGAAGGCCTGATTCACACAGTCTCCTCTGAACAGTTGATGTTGAGATGTGTCTGTTACTTGAACTTGGTGAAGCATTTATTTGGGCTGCAATTTCTGAGGCTGGTAACTCTAATGAACGTATCCTCTGCAGCAGAGGTAACTCTGGGTCTTCCATTCCTGTGGCGGTCCTCATGAGAGCCAGTTTCATCATAGCGATAGATGGTTTTAGCGACTGCACTTTTCGGATTGACTGACCTTCATGTCTTAAAGTAATGATGGACTGTCGTTTCTCTTTGCTTATTTGACCTGTTCTTGACATAATATGGACTTGGTCTTTTACCAAATAGGGCTTTCTTCTGTATTTCCCCCCTACCTTGTCACAACACGGCTGATTGGCTCAAACGCATTAACTTTTAACAAGGCACACCTGTTAATTGAAATGCATTCCAGGTGACTACCTCATGAAGCTGGTTGAGAGAATGCCAAGAGTGTGCAAAGCTGTCATCAAGGCAAAGGGTGGCTATTTGAAGAATCTCAAATAGAAAATATATTTTGATTTGTTTAACACTTTTTTGGTTACCACATGATTCCATATGTGTCATTTCAATAGTTTTGATCTCTTCACTATTATTCTACAATGTAGAAAATAGTTTTAAAAAATTAAGAAAAACCTTGGAATGAGCAGGTGTTCTAAAACTTTTGACCGGTAGTTGTTTTTTTAATGGAAGGCTGTGGAACCATTTTGGAGGACAAAGTTACACATGCACACTGTATTTCTACATGCTGTTCAGACTGCCCCCTTTTTCTCATCTTAATGACATGGTTATCTGTTCCCCCCCTCTGCCCAGCCTGGAGGCTTCACAGTAGAGACGGTAAACAACAACATCTCCATGGTGATGACAGGCATGCGGGTGCAGGTGGGCACCCAGGCCGTCGAGCGGGCGCCCTCTTACCTGGAGATCTTTGGGCGCACCATGCAGATGAACATGACCCGGGCTCGCTGGTTCGACTTCCCCTTCACCAGGGAGGAGGCTCTGCAGGCAGACAAGAAACTCTCCATCTTCAGTAAGAACACAGGATGTGATGTCACAGTTTTCCTCACAGAAACCCGACTAGTCCTGGACTAAAACACACATTCAATGGAGATGGTAATCCAGAGATAGGTTTAGTATGGGTCGGCAAACTGGCCCTGAGATATGTGCCAATCTAGTGTTCAATATGGGCTAGTTTGGTTATACACTGAAAGCGTGAACATTTATCTGCTGTGCAAATTGCTTAACATCTGAAAAATGTAAATTTTCCCTCGAGTCGTAAACGTCTGCCCGCTGTCTCCGACTAACCTCTCCTTTTTCTTCCTTCCTCCAGTCGGAGCGTCAGTGGACCCGGCGGGCGTCACCATGCTGGACTCTATAAAGATCTATGGTAAAACCAAGGAGCAGTTTGGCTGGCCTGACGAGCCCCCCGAGGACTTCCCCTCGGCCTCCGTCAACAACGTGTGCTCTCCCAACCTCAACACCGGCAACGGCACCGGGGAAGGTGACATCGTCTCGCCAACCTCCACCGGCGGCACCGTGCTGGAGAGGTTAGTGTTAAAGGTCACGGGCAAACGTAACAGGGTTCAAAGGTTAACCAAAGGGTCAACTAGACTAGAGACAGGTTCCCACAAGAAGCTCCAAAACGGTGAGGGATTTATCCAAAAATAAACACTTATTTTGTTTTCCATGCAAAACATTTTGCTACAATGTGCCCTAATGAACACGACCCAAGCTACAACCAGTAGAATAGCATTAGCTGTAGAACTTATAGTCTCTCTGTAATATAGTTCCCTCTCTCCTGACCCCTCAGTCTCCCTGTAATATAGTTCCCTCTCTCCTGACCCCTCAGTCTCCCTGTAATATAGTTCCTCACCCCTCAGTCTCTCTGTAATATAGTTCCTCTCTCCTGACCCCTCAGTCTCTCTGTAATATAGTTCCCTCTCTCCTGACCCCTCAGTCTCCCTGTAATATAGTTCCTCTCTCCTGACCCCTCAGTCTCTGTGTAATATAGTTCCTCTCTCCTCACCCCTCAGTCTCCCTGTAATATAGTTCCTCTCTCCTCACCCCTCAGTCTCTCTGTAATATAGTTCCTCTCTCCTCACCCCTCAGTCTCTCTGTAATATAGTTCCCTCTCTCCTCACCCCTCAGTCTCTCTGTAATATAGTTCCCTCTCTCCTCACCCCTCAGTCTCTCTGTAATATAGTTCCCTCTCTCCTCACCCCTCAGTCTCTCTGTAATATAGTTCCTCTCTCCTCACCCCTCAGTCTCTCTGTAATATAGTTCCTCTCTCCTCACCCCTCAGTCTCTCTGTAATATAGTTCCTCTCTCCTCACCCCTCAGTCTCTCTGTAATATAGTTCCTCTCTCCTCACCCCTCAGTCTCCCTGTAATATAGTTCCCTCTCTCCTCACCCCTCAGTCTCTCTGTAATATAGTTTCCTCTCTCCTCACCCCTCAGTCTCTCTGTAATATAGTTCCCTCTCTCCTCACCCCCCAGTCTCTCTGTAATATAGTTCCCTCTCTCCTCACCCCTCAGCCTCTCTGTAATATAGTTCCTCTCTCCTCACCCCTCAGTCTCTCTGTAATATAGTTCCTCTCTCCTCACCCCTCAGTCTCTCTGTAATATAGTTCCCTCTCTCCTGACCCCTCAGTCTCTCTGTAATATAGTTCCCTCTCTCCTGACCCCTCAGTCTCTCTGTAATATAGTTCCCTCTCTCCTCACCCCTCAGTCTCTCTGTAATATAGTTCCCTCTCTCCTCACCCCTCAGTCTCTCTGTAATATAGTTCCCTCTCTCCTCACCCCTCAGTCTCTCTGTAATATAGTTCCTCTCTCCTCACCCTCAGTCTCTCTGTAATATAGTTCCTCTCTCCTCACCCCTCAGTCTCCCTGTAATATAGTTCCTCTCTCCTCACCCCTCAGTCTCTCTGTAATATAGTTCCCTCTCTCCTCACCCCTCAGTCTCTCTGTAATATAGTTCCTCTCTCCTCACCCCTCAGTCTCCCTGTAATATAGTTCCTCTCTCCTCACCCCTCAGTCTCTCTGTAATATAGTCTCTCCCTCCCTCTCCTCATCCCCTCAGTCTCTACTGTAATATAGTTTCTCTCTCCTCACCCCTCAGTCTCTCTGTAATATAGTTCCCTCTCTCCTCACCCCTCAGTCTCCTCTGTTCAATATAGTTCCTCTCTCCTCACCCCTCAGTCTCTCTGTAATATAGTTCCCTCTCTCACTCACCCCTCAGTCTCTCTGTAATATAGTTCCCCTCTCCTCACCCCTCAGTCTCTCTGTAATATAGTTCCCTCTCACCTGACCCCTCAGTCCTCTCTGTAATATAGTTCCCTCTCTCCTCACCCCTCAGTCTCTCTGTAATATAGTTCCCTCTTCTCTCACCCCCTCAGTCTCTCTGTAATATAGTTCCCTCTCTCTCCTCACCCTCAGTCTCTCTGTAATATAGTTCCCTCTCTCCTCACCCCTCAGTCTCTCTGTAATATAGTTCCCCTCTCCTCACCCCATCAGTCTCTCTGTAATATAGTTCCCTCTCTCCTGACCCCTCAGTCTCTCTGTAATATAGTTCCTCCTCTCCTCACCCCTCAGTCTCTCTGTAATATAGTTCCCTCTCTCCTCACCCCTCAGTCTCTCTGTAATATAGTTCCCTCTCTCCTCACCCCTCAGTCTCTCTGTAATATAGTTCCCTCTCTCCTGACCCCTCAGTCTCTCTGTAATATAGTTCCTCTCTCCTCACCCCTCAGTCTCTCTGTAATATAGTTCCCTCTCTCCTCACCCCCCAGTCTCTCTGTAATATAGTTCCTCTCTCCTCACCCCTCAGTCTCTCTGTAATATAGTTCCTCTCTCCTCACCCCTCAGTCTCTCTGTAATATAGTTCCTCTCTCCTCACCCCCGTGGAGTCTGTATAGTAGGGTCAGGAATTTAGGTGGTTGTGTGTGTGTGTGTGTGTGTGTGAGAGAGAGAGAGAGAGTGTTTGTGTCTATCTGTGTGTGTGGTGTGTGTGTGTGTGTGTGTGTGTGTGAGAGAGAGAGAGAGAGAGTGTTTGTGTCTATCTGTGTGTGTGTGTGTGTGTGTGCGGGTCCGCTGCATGGCTGCAATCATAATGGCTTGTTGTTCTGCTTCTTCCTCTGTTCACCAATTTTCTTTTTCTTGGTTTCTTTCTGTGATCCTCACACATTGTTTTTCTTTTTCTCGGTTTCTTTCTGTGATCCTCACACATTGTTTTTCTTTTTCTTTGCTCCCAAAAATACAATCAATAAAAAAGTTGTGAAACTGAGTCCTTATCAACCTTGGACCGGTTAGTAACCGCTCTTTCTCTGCTTGTTAGCATGGTGTGTGTGTGTGTGCGTAGAGGAGAGAGAGTGTGTGTGTGTGTGTGTGTTTGTGCGTGCGTGTGAGACTGAACATGACATGTGAAATGCACTCTTCAAAAATATCATCATTCTGATGTTTGCTCTAACAATGCAACTCATTATTACAACAAGGCTTGTTCTCACTTTAAACATTGAATGGATGTTTGATGGAAGTTTTTTTTTTTTTTATTCAATAGACTAGCTTAGACTTGATTTGAAGTTGTTTTTGATTGATTGTTTGATTATATTGATTATTGATTAATTGATCAATTAATTCACTACTCCTTAGGTTGGTGGTGAGCTCTCTGGAAGCACTGGAGAGCTGCTTTGCTGTGGGCTCCTCCAATGAAAAGGCAAGGTCTTCACTACATCTTTCACAGAGAAAGACGCTCTCGTTTCACACTACTTTTTGCATTGTCCAAATCAGGCCCACAATCCTCAATTTAGTACCAATGTAGTAGTATTTTGTCTGTTGTAAAACTAGACAGAAACAGAAGCTGCATGTTGAGTGGTCTTATTATAGAGCTTTACAAGACAGAAACCATCTCTGTAGCTACCTACCTCTGTAGCTCAGCTGGTAGAGCATGGCGCTTGTAACGCCAGGGTAGTGGGTTCGATCCCCGGGACCACCCATACGCAAAAATGTATGCACACATGACTGTAAGTCGCTTTGGATAAAAGCGTCTGCTAAATGGCATATTATTATTATTATATTATGTGTAGTAAACTATATAAATTGTGTATGTGACGGTTCAGGAGAAGAACAAGGCTGCAGCGCTGGAGTTGGCCACCTTGCTCCTGTCCATGTCCACTCCCTCTGGGTTCAGCAGCAGACCAAAGGCCTGCTGGCCAGCCTACCACCAGCCGTACTGCCTACCACACCACAAGGTAATAGCCTACACACCAGCCGTACTGCCTACACAACCACAAGGTAACTAACGTACACACCAGCCGTACTGCCTACCACAACCACAAGGTAACTAACATACACACCAGCCGTACTGCCTACCACAACCACAAGGTAACTAGCCTACACACCAGCCGTACTGCCTACCACAACCACAAGGTAACTAACATACACACCAGCCGTACTGCCTACCACAACCACAAGGTAACTAACATACACACCAGCCGTACTGCCTACCACAACCACAAGTAACTAACATCACACCACCTACTGCCTACCACAAACCACAAGGTAACTAACATACACACCAGCCGTATGCCTACCACAACCACAAGGGTAACTAACATACACAACACCGTACTGCCTACCACAACCCAAGGTAACTACATACTCACCAGCCGACTGCCTACCACAACCACAAGGTAACTAGCATACACACCAGCCGTACTGCCTACCACCAACCACAAGGTAACTACATACACACCAGCCGTACTGCCTACCAAAACCACAAGGTAACTAACATACACACCAGCCGTACTGCCTACCACACCAAGTAACTAACATACACACCAGCCGTACTGCCTACCACACACAAGGTAACTAACATCCACAACCACGCCGTACTGCCTACCACAACCCAAGGTAACTAACATACCACACCAGCCGTACTGCCTACACAACCACAAGGTAACTACATACACAACCAGCCGTACTGCCTACCACAACCACAAGTGTAACTAACATACTCACCAGCCGTACTGCCTACCACAACCACAAGGTAACTAACATACTCACCAGCCTTACTGCCTACCAACAACCACAAGGTAACTAGCCTACACACCAGCCGTACTGCCTACCACAACCACAAGGTAACTAACATACTCACCAGCCGTACTGCCTACCACAACCACAAGGTAACTAGCATACACACCAGCCGTACTGCCTACCACAACCACAAGGTAACTAACCTACACACCAGCCGTACTGCCTACCACAACCACAAGGTAACTAACATACACACCAGCCGTACTGCCTACCACAACCACAAGGTAACTAAACATACACACCAGCCGTACTGCCTACCACAACCACAAGGTAACTAACATACACACCAGCCGTACTGCCTACCACAACCACAAGGTAACTAACATACACACCAGCCGTACTGCCTACCACAACCACAAGGTAACTAACATACACACCAGCCGTACTGCCTACCACAACCACAAGGTAACTAACATACACACCAGCCGTACTGCCTACCACAACCACAAGGTAACTAACATACACACCAGCCGTACTGCCTACCACAACCACAAGGTAACTAGCCTACACACCAGCCGTACTGCTACCACAACCACAAGGTAACTAACATACACACCAGCCGTACTGCCTACCACAACCACAAGGTAACTACCTACACACCAGCCTACTGCCTACCACAACCACAAGGTAGTAGCATACACACAGCCGTACTGCCTACCACAACCACAAGGTAACTAGCATACACACCAGCCGTACTGCCTACCACAACCACAAGGTAACTAACATACACACCAGCGTACTGCCTACACAACCACAAGGTAACTAACATACACACCAGCCGTACTGCCTACCACAACCACAAGGTAACTAACATACACACCAGCCGTACTGCCTACCACAACCACAAGGTAACTAGCCTACACACCAGCCGTACTGCCTACCACAACCACAAGGTAACTAGCATACACACCAGCCGTACTGCCTACCACAACCACAAGGTAACTAACATACACACCAGCCGTACTGCCTACCACAACCACAAGGTAACTAACATACACACCAGCCGTACTGCCTACCACAACCACAAGGTAACTAACATACACACCAGCCGTACTGCCTACCACAACCACAAGGTAACTAATTTTCCCATGACAAACGTTTTCTTCTCCTCCATGAAAACTGAATTGTCCCTCTTTGAAGCCTAATGAGGTTTCCACTTTGTGCTTAATGAATGTGAGATTGCATTCCTGAGACCAGTCCCACTCACCCCTCTCTCCCATAACTTCTCTCTCTCCTAGGACCAGTCCCACTCACCCCTCTCTCCCATAACTTCTCTCTCTCCTAGGACCAGTCCCACTCACCCCTCTCTCCCATAACTTCTCTCTCTCCTAGGACCAGTCCCACTCACCCCTCTCTCCCATAACTTCTCTCTCCCCTAGGACCAGTCCCACTCACCCCTCTCTCCATAACTTCTCTCTCCGGGTCTACTCACCCCTCTCTCTCCCATAACTTCTCCTCTCCCCTAGGACCAGTCCCACTCACCCCTCTCTCCCATAACTTCTCTCTCTCCTAGGACCAGTCCACCACTCACCCCTCTCTCCCATAAACTTCTCTCTCTCCTAGGACCAGTCCCACTCACCCCTCTCTCCCATAACTTCTCTCTCTCCTAGGACCAGTCCCACTCACCCCTCTCTCCCATAACTTCTCTCTCTCCTAGGACCAGTCCCACTCACCCCTCTCTCCCATAACTTCTCTCTCTCCTAGGACCAGTCGCTGCTCAGCAACGCGGTGCAGTGTCTGAACAGCTGTAGTCGTGACAGCAGAGACCTGGACCCTGACGTGTTCCAGAGGCTGGTCATCACCGCACGCTCCATCGCCATAATGAGACCCAATAACCTGGTGCACTTCACTGAGACCAAGCCCCCTAATATTGATACAGGTAAAAACCTATTCACTGAGACCAAGCCCCCTAATATTGATACAGGTAAAAACCTATTCACTGAGACCAAGCCCCCTAATATTGATACAGGTAAAAACCTATTCACTGAGACCAAGCCCCCTAATATTGATACAGGTAAAAACCTATTCACTGAGACCAAGCCCCCTAATATTGATACAGGTAAAAACCTATTCACTGAGACCAAGCCCCCTAATATTGATACAGGTAAAAACCTACCCACTCTAGTTTTAGATCAGTTTATGGGTGGTCCTCTGTAGCTCAGTTGGTAGAGCACGGCGCTTGTAACGCCAGGGTAGTGGGTTCGATCCCCGGGACCACCCATACGTAAAAATGTATGCACACGTGACTGTAAGTCGCTTTGGATAAAAGCGTCTGCTAAATGGGATATTATTTATATTATAGTTTAGGCTGTACACTTCATATTGACTAGTCAGCTGTTCCCGTCACTAGATGAAGCCTCTCCTGTTGTGTTAATACTCTCCGTCACCACTACATGAATGTATTGTCTCCACAATCACTATTAGGAAACAGTTCCATCACACTGCTTCATTCAGGTCCATGATAGAGGTCGAAGGGTACAATATGGTGTAACACTTCTTGTTTGTTTCTTTGTTCAGAGATGACCGAGGAGGGTCAGAAACAGATGGACAGTGAGGGATGTAACTTCATCATGCAGCTGGTCAATAACTTCTGGAAGCTCCACGCACTCAAACCAAAGAACGCTTTCCTGGCCCCAGCCTGTCTGCCAGGTAAACTAACATTGCCTTTCCTGGCCCCTGCCTGTCTGCCAGGTAAACTAACATTGCCTTTCCTGGCCCCAGCCTGTCTGCCAGGTAAACTAACATTGCCTTTCCTGGCCCCTGCCTGTCTGCCAGGTAAACTAACATTGCCTTTCCTGGCCCCTGCCTGTCTGCCAGGTAAACTAACATTGCCTTTCCTGGCCCCAGCCTGTCTGCCAGGTAAACTAACATTGCCTATCCTTGCTCCCGCCTGTCTGCCAGGTAAACTAGCATCGTCTCATAGCTGGGTAGTGTTCCATTTGGCAAAACATTTTGTCGAACCCACATTTTTGTTGCTACGGTGTGCCCTACCTGGAACATTTTGATCCACTGTGACGTTTTTCCGGACGTTGGTGGAGACTAATTTTATGAATCGTCAATCGATCAATCATTGTTTCTCTCCAGGTCTGACCCACATTGAAGCCACAGTGAACGCATTGGTGGACATCATCCATGGCTACTGCACCTGTGAGCTGGACTACATTAACGTGGCCTCCAAGATATACATGCAGATGCTGCTGTGCCCCGTACGTTCCTCAGTAATACTTTAGAGACACACACTTATAAGTAACACTGATTCTTCAGCATTTAGTCTACTGTAGCCCTGTGAAATTTTCAATAGTCATTTAGCTGTGTTGATCCTGGATCGTCATTTAGCTGTGTTGATCCTGGATCGTCATTTAGCTGTGTTGATCCTGGATCGTCATTTAGCTGTGTTGATCCTGGATCGTCATTTAGCTGTGTTGATCCTGGATCGTCATTTAGCTGTGTTGATCCTGGATCGTCATTTAGCTGTGTTGATCCTGGATCGTCATTTAGCTGTGTTGATTCTGGAACGTCATTTAGCTGTGTTGATCCTGGATCGTCATTTAGCTGTGTTGATCCTGGATCGTCATTTTGCTGTGTTGATCCTGGATCGTCATTTAGCTGTGTTGATCCTGGATTGTCATTTAGCTGTGTTGATCCTGGATCGTCATTTTGCTGTGTTGATCCTGGATCGTCATTTAGCTGTGTTGATCCTGGATCGTCATTTAGCTGTGTTGATTCTGGAACGTCATTTAGCTGTGTTGATCCTGGATTGTCATTTAGCTGTGTTGATCCTGGATCGTCATTTAGCTGTGTTGATCCTGGATCGTCATTTAGCTGTGTTGATCCTGGATCGTCATTTAGCTGTGTTGATCCTGGATCGTCATTTAGCTGTGTTGATCCTGGATCGTCATTTAGCTGTGTTGATCCTGGATCGTCATTTAGCTGTGTTGATCCTGGATCGTCATTTAGCTGTGTTGATCCTGGATCGTCATTTAGCTGTGTTGATCCTGGATCGTCATTTAGCTGTGTTGATCCTGGATCGTCATTTAGCTGTGTTGATTCTGGATCGTCATTTAGCTGTGTTGATCCTGGATCGTCATTTAGCTGTGTTGATCCTGGATCGTCATTTACCAGTGTTTTATTGTTGTGGATCGTTGATCCTGTGTTCAGACTTGACCAACTTGTGTTTCTTTACCTAAATGGCCCCTAAATGATGTAAAAAGGGCATTATAAAATATATTTCAGTGATTAATTCTGATCTGTATTCCAGGACACGTCTGTGAGCTTTGCCTGTAAGCAAGCACTGATCCGAGTGCTCCGACCCAGGAACAAACACCGTCACGTGACTCTTCCGTCTCCCCCACGCTCCAACACACCCATGGGTAGGTATCCAGTTATTTCTTACCCCTGAGTCAGACCAGGGCTTTCCAACCCTATTTTCCTGGAGAGCTATCCTCCTGTAGGTTTTCACTTCAATCCCATTTTGTAACTAATCTGATTCAGTTGATGAACCAGCTAATCATTAGAATCAGGTGTGTTAGATTAGGGTTGGAGCAAAAACCTAGAGGACGGCAGCTCACCAGGAACAGGGTTGGAGTTAAACCTAGAGGACTGTAGCTCTCCAGGATCAGGGTTGGAGTTAAACCTAGAGGACTGTAGCTCTCCAGGAACAGGGTTGGAGTTAAACCTAGAGGACTGTAGCTCTCCAGGATCAGGGTTGGAGTTAAACCTAGAGGACTGTAACTCTCCAGGAACAGGGTTGGAGTTAAACCTAGAGGACTGTAGCTCTCCAGGAACAGGGTTGGAGTTAAACCTAGAGGACTGTAGCTCTCCAGGAACAGGGTTGGATAGCCCTGAACTAGACCAATAGAAGGGCCAGATAAAGTGTTTGCAAGTTAATTTCAGAACGGTATCTTTAAAAAACACACCAAATAACAGTAACATTTGTTTCGACTTTTCAGTTCGTATATCTGTATTTGAATTTTTTTCAACATCTTCTGCTCTATTAATCCCTTCAAGAGTTAGGAGCAAACGCTTGTACAAATCAGAAACCCCTATAAATGTTTCCATCGTCACTGAGTGTTCTCTGTCCCCTCTCTTTTTCCCCTCCTCCTCCTGTTCCTCCTCCTCTCCTCTCTCCCTGTTCCTCCTCCTCTCCTCTCTCCCTGCTCCTCCTCCTCTCCCTGCTCCTCCTCCTCCTCCTCTCCTCTCTCCCTGTTCCTCCTCCTCTCCTCTCTCCCCGTTCCTCCTCCTCCTCTCCCTGTTCCTCCTCCTCCTCTCCCTGTTCCTCCTCCTCTCCCTCCTCTCCCTGTTCCTCCTCCTCTCCTCTCTCCCTATTCCTCCTCCTCCTCTCCCTGTTTCTCCTCTCTCCCTGTTCCTCCTCTCTCCCTGTTCCTCCTCTCTCCCTGTTCCTCCTCTCTCCCGGTTCCTCCCTGTTTCCTCCTCCCTCTCCCTGTTCCTCCTCCTCCTCCTCTCCCTTTCCTCTCCTCCTCTCCCTTTTTCCTCCTCCTCCTCCCCTGTTCCCCTCCTCCTCCTCTCCCTTTCCTTTCCTCCTCCTCTTCCCTGTTCTCCTCTCCTCCCTCTCTCCTGTTCCTCCTCCTCTCTCCCTGTTTCTCCTCCTCTCTCCCTGTTCTCTCCTCTCTCCCTGTTCCACCTCCTCTCCCTTTTCCTCCTCCTCTCCTGTTCCTTCCCTCTCCTCCCTGTTTTCCTCCTCCTCTCTCCCTTCTCCTCCTGTCCTCTTCCCTCTCCCTGTTCCTCCTCCTCCTCTCCCTGTTTTCTCCTCCTGTTTCCTCTCTCCTCCGTCTCCCTCTCTCCCTGTTCCTCCTCCTCTTCCTATCCTCTCTCCCCTTTTCTCCTCCTGTTTCCTCCTCTCCTCTCTCTCTCCCCCTTGTTCCTCCTCCTCCCTCCTCTCCCTTTCCTCCTTTTTCCTCCTCCTCTCTCCCTGTTTTTCTTCCTCCTGTTTCCTATTCCTCCTCCTCTCCTCTCTCCTTGTTTCCTCCTCCTCCTCCTCTCTCCTTGTTCCTCCTCCTCTCCTCTCCTCTCTCCTTGTTCCTCCTCCTCTCCTCTCCCTCCCTGTTCCTCCTCCTCTCTCTCCTTGTTCCTCCTCCTCTCCTCTCTCCCTGTTCCTCCTCCTCTCCTCTCTCCCTATTCCTCCTCCTCTCCTCTCCCTCTCTCCCTGTTCCTCCTCCTCTCCTCTCTCCCTGTTCCTCCTCCTCCCTCTCTCCCTGTTCCTCCTCCTCTCCTCTCTCCCTGTTCCTCCTCCTCTCCTCTCTCCCTGTTCCTCCTCCTCTCCTCTCCTCTCTCCCTGTTCCTCCTCTCCTCTCTCCCTGTTCCTCCTCCTCCAGGAGACAAAGACGATGATGATGAGGATGATGTTGATGACAAGATGCAGCCGTCTGGGCTGACGGGAGGAGATGGGGGCAGGCAGGAGATTCAGGAGCAGGGTGAGGTCGACCATGGCGACTTTGAGATGGTGGTGAGTCTCTTTGAGATGGTGGTGAGTCTGGTCCAACCGCTAGTGTCCACTCCTCCTCACCCACTCCTCATACACGCTCCTCACACACTGTAGTAATCTAGGGTCCACTCCTCCTCACACACTGTAGTAATCTAGGGTCCACTCCTCCTCACACACTGTAGTAATCTAGGGTCTGATTAGGGTTGGGCGAGTAAACTTATGTGTAGTAAACTAGGGGTTAGGGTTGGGCGATATTACCACAGCACAGAACAGACACCGTATCTATGTTGTTTAGCTGTTTTAAGAAACGTATCCTATGTCCCCTTGTCTCTCCGTTCCATAGGCTAAATCAATATGACTGAAGGCTACGCTTCATCGTTTTATGCATGACTTTCTCCTGATCAAAGAATGAATGTAGTTCCAACTCAAAAGTTATTTGAATAGCCTGACAACGAAGCCATGGGACTCGTAATGATGGAACTAACAATATCAATAGTTTATAGAAAATATTTTATGAAAGTCCGTCCATGCGATGGTTGAAAACCAAATGGCCCGTAACCTATCGTCATTCCTCCAACTGGCCTATCATACAAGCTTTAATACAAGTTAAGGTTATGAACAGTTGACTTATTTCCCAAATATTCTAGTTTGCAAAGGTGTTGTCCTAAAGTTGTGGCTTTCAAAAATAACAAGACTGAAAGTCTATAGCCTAAGCCAAGGCAAGGATATTCTCAATCACAGCTTTATGATAGATAGATCGAACAAACAATATTATTTATTTTTCTATTATTTTATGAGGCAAATAAAGCAATTATTATCCAGTTGTGAAGATGGTAGACTGCTTATTTCCAGCCCATGATGTCGCTACGGTAAGACAGACCGTTCCTCATCAGACAGTCACTTCTCCATCAAAGCAGGTGTGGTCCTCTGTAGCTCAGCTGGTAGAGCACGGCGCTTGTAACGCCAAGGTAGTGGGTTCGATCCCCGGGACCACCCATACACAAAAATGTATGCACGCATGACTGTAAGTCGCTTTGGATAAAAGCGTCTGCTAAATGGCATATTATATTATTATATTATATTATTATATTATTATATTATTATTATATTATATTATAAAGCGCGCCACACACACAAGCCTGCTCCATGCTGAAGCTCCTCCAACAGAAAGGAATATTAGAAAAGATTTGCCTGCACTTAGCCTCTGCCCAGGCTTTCAACAACATTATCTTTCGTCATGATTGGCCCAGGCTTTCAACAACATTATCTTTCGTCATGATTGGTCCAGGCTTTCAACAACATTATCTTTCGTCATGATTGGTCCAGGCTTTCAACAACATTACCTTTCGTCATGATTGGCCCAGGCTTTCAACAACATTATCTTTCGTCATGATTCGTCCAGTTGCATTCGATTTCTCGCTATAGCCCAACTGTTGTGTTAGCTGAGTTTTTGTTTGGGGGATCTGATAGGGGGCGATAGCATGTTTTATGGGTTACATAATTATTATGTTTTATGGGTTACATAATTATTATGTTTTATGGGTTACATAATTATTATGTTTTATGGGTTACGTAATCATTATGTTTTATGGGTTACGTAATCATTATGTTTTATGGGTTACGTAATCATTATGTTTTATGGGTTACATAATCATTATGTTTTATGGGTTACATAATCATTATGTTTTATGGGTTACATAATCATTGTTTTATGGGTTACATAATCATTATGTTTTATGGGTACATAATCATCATGTTTTATGGGTACATAATCATCATGTTTTATGGGTTACATAATCATGTTTTATGGGTTACATAATCATGTTTTATGGGTACATAATCATCATGTTTTATGGGTACATAATCATCATGTTTTATGGGTTACTTAATCATGTTGTTTTATGGGTACATAATAATGTTTTATGGGTTACATAATCATGTTTTATGGGTTACATAATCATGTTGTTTTATGGGTACATAATCATGATAGGACAAAGGTTGACATCGCCCAACCCTATAGTGATCTAGTGTCCACTCCTCCTCACACTCCCTACACACAACCGCTAGTGGCCACTCCTCCCCATACACTCTTCCTCACACACTTCTCACACAGGGTAGTGGCCACTTCTACTCTCACTTTCTAGTGCCCACTCCACCTCACACATTCTCTACACACTATCTTTCTCATAGCCAGGGCCTAAAATTAACACCTGCCAAATTGCGGGTAGATTTTGTAATTGGCGGGTAATATGTCTATTTCACTAGCCACATTGGCAGGTGCTCAGGGCTCCACAGTACGAGCATTTCACTCGCATTTGTGAAAAAAAAAATAGTCAAGCATGATCACATTTATAGTAAAATAAATGCTGCAGTAGCTGTTTTCAAAGTATTTCTGCCGTTTTTGTTTCATAGCTGGTAAAATAATCGCGCACAGTCAAAGAACTATAAATCCTATATAGCGTGTTCAACCTCGCGCTGCAACACTGCCTGGCTGGGGGCTGTGCGCACGTGAAAAGCTGAGTGAAAGAATCCTTTTTAGAAGCGCTGCGCACAGCCTTAAACGTTGGTCTAATTTACTTGAAACGAACGTCTACTGAAGTGAAACCTGGGCCTTGTGTTTCTTGGCTATTTACATTGTTTTGTTCACAGGCTAGGTTTTTTTCTTCTTCTATGTTTGAGTTTCAACTGCTAGGGGAGAAAATGCAACACCTTCTAGTCATGACTCAAGTCGCGTTACCACGGTAACCTCCCACCCTTAAAGGGGCGGGTAAACATTTTTGTCTCATCTGTAATATTTTGGTTAAAAGACTAGGGTCACACAAAATGTGATTAAACAATATATCACATTACTTCTTACTAGTAATACATTTATTGTTTTAGAAACATTACAAAGCATGCTCATCCGTTTTTGTTTTGTTGGTGTAATTTTAGAGGGGGGGGGAAATATTTTGGCTGGTAAAAAAAAATCTGATTGCCTGGTAGATTTTTTAAAACTACCTGCCATAGTGGCTGGTGGACCAAAAAGTTAATTTTAGGCCCTGCAAATAGCCATATGAGATATGTACAACATGTGTATTTATTTATTTATTTATTTAAACACACAAAAATACTGTTCACGATGAAACATTTTTTAAAAATGTTATCTGTCGTTTTGATACAGTTTGCTTATTGTCTGTTGTGTCTTGTCTGTGTGTCTCTCTCTCCAGTCCGAGTCGATGGTTCTGGAGACAGCAGGGAATGCGAACAACGGGAACCCGTCTCCCCTGGAGGCTCTGCTGGCCGGCGCCGAGGGCTTCCCCCCCATGCTGGACATCCCCCCAGACGCAGACGACGAGACCATGGTGGAGCTGGCCATCGCACTGAGTCTCCAGCAGGAGCAGCAAGGTCAATACTCACTAAGACCACACCACCGTGAGAGTCATTCACTTGAATATTCAAATTCTAATTAATACTCCGGTCCAGATAATACATCTTGTGTTACTTAATCTGGATTGCCAATAATCTTTTGCCTGGGGAAAAAAAAAAAAAGTTACCTAAAATGTTTATCAACTGACTGTTTCTGCATTATTGCTTGACATGATAGCATAGTTGGCTAATGCTAGCATCGCCATCGGGATCAATGCACTGTTTGCGTGGGAGTTGAGGTTTGACAGCCCCTTTGTAGTTGTAATATTCTAGGCTCCAGCAGCAGTGCCCTGGACCTCCAGTCTCTGGGTCTGTCAGGTCAGGCTCACTGTAGCAGTGAACTGTGTTTGTGTGGCGGTCTAGGTGTGTTGATAATGATGTTGTGGTGTTATTGTATGTTGTTCCAGGCTCCAGCAGCAGTGCCCTGGGTCTCCAGTCTCTGGGTCTGTCGGGCCAGGCTCCCAGCTCCTCCTCACTGGACGCAGGCACCCTGTCTGACACCACCGCATCAGGTAATGAAGCCCGTCTACACACAGACTACTACTTCTCTTCTAAATCTGTTTTAAAATGACCACTTCTCTTCTAAATCTGTTTTAAAACGACCCTTTCTCTTCTAATTTTTTTAAAACGACCATTTCTCTTCTAATCTGTTTTAAAACGACCACTTCTCTTCTAAATCTGTTTTAAAACGACCACTTCTCTTCTAAATCTGTTTTAAAACGACCACTTCTCTTCTAAATCTGTTTTAAAACGACCACTTCTCTTCTAAATCTGTTTTAAAACGACCACTTCTCTTCTAAATCTGTTTTAAAACTACCACTTCTCTTCTAAATCTGTTTTAAAACTACCACTTCTCTTCTAAATCTGTTTTAAAACTACCACTTCTCTTCTAAATCTGTTTTAAAACGACCACTTCTCTTCTAAATCTGTTTTAAAACGACCACTTCTCTTCTAAATCTGTTTTTAAAACGACCACTTTCTCTTCTAAATCTGTTTTTAAAACGACCACTTCTCTTCTAAATCTGTTTTAAAACTACCACTTCTCTTCTAAATCTGTTTTAAAACTACCACTTCTCTTCTAAATCTGTTTTAAAACTACCACTTCTCTCTGTTTTAAAACTACCACTTCTCTTCTAAATCTGTTTTAAAACGACCACTTCTCTTCTAAATCTGTTTTAAAACGACCACTTCTCTTCTAAATCTGTTTTAAAACGACCACTTCTCTTCTAAATCTGTTTTAAAACACCACTTTCAGGGACGGTTTAAGCCTCTTGGTTCTCCGTTGAAAGTGTATTTTAGTTCAAGACTTAATCTGTGTTTGGGCACAATAGAGGAGGGAGGGTGTTTCTCCTGTAACAGCTGTGGTTATGCTTCTTGAGGAGGGAGGGTGTTTCTCCTATAACAGCTGTGGTTATGCTTCTAGAGGAGGAGGGTGTTTCTCCTGTAACAGCTGTGGTTTATGCTTCTAGAGGAGGAGGGTGTTTTCTCCTATAACAGCTGTGGTTTATGCTTCTAGAGGAGGGAGGGTGCTTCTCATGTAACAGCTGTGGTTATGCTTCTAGAGGAGGGAGGGTGTTTCTCCTGTAACAGCTGTGGTTATGCTTCTAGAGGAGGGAGGGTGTTTCTCCTGTAAC